AATATATATATATATATATATATATATATATATATATATATATATATATATATATATATATATATATATATATATATATATATATATATATATATATATATATAGCTAATAATTAATTTATATTACTTAATATTCATGACGTATATCGTCGATCAATGCATGTACACTTAAATGTATATTATTATTCGTAATTTTCGAACTGAAAAGAAGATCCATTCTGTGTTTTTTCGCAAATAGGATGATAATCCAGAGACCAGAAGACACAAAATCAAACGAAAAACGCAAATAGACAAATATTAATTAATTAACTGTAGTAGCTCAATATTGATACATACACATGACAGCATTACAAAGATCTGGTATTAAGTATTAACCACAGGTTATAACATCATAAACAGCACTGTGGTTAATCCTCAGATCATGATAATTAATATACATATATATATAATAAGCTGCATGCAAATCCAGCTTCAAACTAAATCGATCGATCACGTTTATCTTACAAGAAAAACATCAGGCCTATACTAGTTTTTTTTTTTTTTTTTTTTGTACTCTTATAAATAACTTAAACACCTATATATCCGGAGCAGTGTTTCAAGATCAATAGTTAGGTTATATATATATATTCTTATTATTTACAAGAAACTGTATATATATTTATATACAGTCTTGCATTCACTTCCACATCTCATTCTGACAGCTAGAAGACGAAGCCGAAGTATTTGCCAGTGCGATTTCGCCTTTGTTCCGATTTCGACCAATCACATTAGACAATTCTTCATCACTTGCATGGAATGTATTAATTCCCTTTGAAATTTCTTCATGGCTTAGCTGAGAAGCAACAAACTTGTCCAACACCCTCCAATCTGTAACCTGATCCTCCGACAATATTATCGACTGATCAATATTCCGATGATTATGATCAAGTAGTGTTTGATGCATCACCATTTGTTCCTGATCACCAGGGTTAAGATTATTTAGACCGCCGTAAAAGGGCATTTTCGGGCTTTCATCTAAATGCGGAAGATGGTGGTGATCAAGAAAATGATGAGGTGGCGGCATTCCGTTGTTGTTGATGCCGTATAAGTGCAAATCCATCTCCTTCTTCTTGCAGGAATTGTTGTTGTTGTTGTAAGGAATATTATTATGGTGGTGGTGGTAAGAAAGATTCGGAGAGTCTATACGATGATCCGGCATGAACGAAACTTGATCTTCGTACCAAATGGGAGAATCGTGCTCGTTTATTCTTCGCATTGTGGCTATCCTTTTCTTGAATACTCTACACACAACCCATCCTTCTTCCTGCATGCATGCATGAATTAATTATTTATTTATTTATTTAGATATATTTTATTATCATATAATATAACAAAAGTTATGAAGTTCTTTTATTCACTTTATGTTTGGTCTTTTCAATTTTATTTTTAAATTAATTAATTAATGTATATTTCTCTAACATTCAATATACATTTGATTGCTAGATATGTAATGATATGAGTGTAATGATTTTGATGGGCATGCCACAATGAGAATGTTTTGCATTCATCTTTTCTTAGCTAGTACTATAATTGGAGAGGACCAATATATTTCATGCACATTTTGACTACTATATATCACACATTAATCATATGCGCAAACAGTCGTAATACGTATATAATTAATATTCCGTTTAATTTATTCGTGAAGAAATTAATTAGTACTTGCCTGAGGGGCTCCGTTTTCGTCCGTCTCGAGGCGATATTCGTGCATTATCCAATCCGATTTTTGGCCGTTTGGAGCTCTCCCTTTGTAAAACACCAATGTTTTTCTCATGCCAATTAAGTCGTTCTTGGAGTAAATAGCTTTGTCTCGACCCGTTGCTTTCCAGAATCCAGCTGTCGTCGCCCTATTGGTGCGTGTCCCCGTTGGATATTTCTTGTCCTTGTGGCTGAAAAAATACCACTCGTTTTGCTCTTCCGTTCCTATTCTGCATAGCTCTATACATACCAAAAACATATCAAGAAATACTATTTATTATAGTTTTGTAATCTTGTTTTTATGCAATTTGCTAATAATTAATTTTATATATATAGTATATACCTTGAAGATCCCAAGGCTCGATTTTGTAAAGATCGACATCTTTAATTACGTCTAAGTCGATAGGTCTTGAATTAATCTTCCTCCTAAGGTAATAATCTACGAGCTCTTCATCGGTTGGATGGAATCGAAAACCAGGAGGAACATGTGAAAAAGTATTCATAATAATTACCTCCTGGTTTTTATTATATATATCAGCCTGCAAAAAGTATTCATTAATCACATCGAAAACATTACATATAAGAATAAATTAATCGTGGGCTCGATCGATAACAGCAAGAACTTTTTAACCTTGCTATTATGCGCTCGTCGTCGATCATATTATAGAGAGCTACACGTCTGTATAGACCACTGATCGATGATCAATTATTTTCAGGATGTAATGAATTGATTTCAAGAATCAAAGCAAATCATTGTAAGTTTTAGTGGTGTACTAATAAATGATTAGAAACAAACGTAGATATATATATATGTGTGTGTGTGTGTGTATTGTTTGTCTCACTTGATGAATCATCACTAATATAAATTAAATGACTTTAATTATTAAACGTAGAACAATGTTGCTGATTATGAGATAAGGTCTGCATAATCCCTAACATAATCATAGGAGGTGACAAACAATGCAATCATATTATTAATTAATTTCTACAATCCCATATTAATTAATATCATTCTTCCACAAAAAAAAAAAAAGTATATCCCATGCAAAACATCTAATTAATTGCTTGTCATGAATGTTTTATTCTGATAATTGCTTGAAATCATGCATAATTAATTAATTAATTAATGCAGTGGTTACATATGGAGGCACAAATATGACATGTTATATCACAATAATTGCACAAAATATATACAAAATTAATTAATATAGTATTGCCCTTATTAAATTCTTGAAGTGACTCACTGTATATGCAAAAAATTCCAGCAAATTTTCTAGGTTTAACAGACAAAGTAAAGATCCCTTAATAATATTCCATTAACTTAAGTAGTCATGATTGTCTTAAACACACACACACACACACACACACACACACACACACACACACACACACACACACACACACACACACACACACACACACACACAAAAGAAGGTGAAACTGAGATGATGATGAATGAAAGAAAGAAAGAAAGAAAAATCAAACCTTGAGATCAGAGATTTCCAATATGATCCAGTCTGTGTACACACACAATTAGTACTGTACTACTCGATCGGGTTCTCCCAGAATAGAAAGTTTCAGTATAATATTTTGGTAAGGAATACCAATAACTAGGAAATTTGGCATCAAGACAAAGACAGCTACAAGACAAGAAAAAACATATATAAAGAAAAGCGGAACAAGGGTTTGTTTTTGTTTTAATAAATATATATATCGGGAATTGAATTGAAGCAGGTGTGATGGATGGATGGATGAAAAGGGTTTACAGCTATCGGCGTGTCTTTTAGCTGTCGGCCTGCTGGACCAGATGATCCTGACAAAAGGCTTTCTTTCCTTTCCTTTTGTTGTGAATATTACAAAGCAGACTGAGTAGCTACATATGTGAGCAAGGGAAGAATGGAACAACAAATAAAATGGGACTTCTCTCTATATATAATGAATTAGATTGCATAAACACAACACAACGAAATTCTAGAGAGAGAGAGTCTAGAGAGAGAGAGTCTAGAGAGAGAGAGAGAGGGGGGGGGGGGAAACCCTAGCTAATGATGAAAGGGACTGTATATATGTATGTAGCAGCTAGGGTTGATTAATTAGCTAATATTCATATATATTCATTGTCTCTCACTATCAACACTCACCTGAATTGTTGCCTAAGCTTTTTTCTCTCTTTTCTTTTTTTATTTGCGCGCGATTAAAAGGTGGCGCAGAATTTGCCCACAGAGAGAGAGAGAGAGAGAGAGAGAGAGAGAGAGAGAGAGAGCAGCGTGTAGGCAACCGCCACCTCCGCCACCAGCCACTGATAGAGACCCCAATTTCCTTTTTTATTTATTTTTATTTATAGTAGAGACAGAATTAATGAACTGTACGTGTATAATAAATTTATTTTGGATTTTCAATTTCTTGAATTATATATACACCACTAGCTAACTCCAACATCATTTACCTTCAATATATATACACACATCAAAGAAACAAACATTCATTCCTTGTACTAACATGAATTTAAAATTTAAATTCTTGTGAAATATTGCTGTTGAGGAGAGATACTAGACACAAAAAAAGGAGGGGCCCACAGAAGAAACCCAATCAGCCAATGAGAAAAAGCCCCCCCCACAAGACACCAAAAAGGGGGCCAATAAACTATATATAAAGGGACCCCCTTATTTTGGGGGGCATGATGACTTAATGGAACAGTCTCACACCAAAAAGCCAGAATCCCATCTGTCTTAATGGGGCAATGTGTGTGGGTCCCACCTCTCCCATCTTATGTTTCTTTGTCCCCACCATTTCTTCTTCTTCTTCTTCTTCATTGATGCACAACCGCACGGTGCACACTTTTTTTTTTTTTTTTTTTTTTTAATAATGTTATGGACATTGGTGGGGTAATATAATTAATTAACTTTATTTATATCGAGAAATTAAAAAAAAAAAAGACTTTGGTTTGGATGGTGTTTGTTTAAGTTAATCATTGTAATTAATTAGCTTATCCTGTACATGCTGTATCATTTATTTCAAGTGGTTAGCTGGTTAATTATCTCAATTATTACCACCATTATTCCCATCTCTTTTAGTCACTAATTTAGCCCCTTCTTTTACTTTAATACGTCTGCTTATTGTCTCCACAATTCAATGTCATCGATTAAGGCTTACCAATTTGTACCCCTAACCAAAATTATATACCAATATTAAATCATTAAAATTGGAATTAAAAAATAATAAATTAAAATAAAAAGCTACATCTAATTAAATATTTTAAACAAAAATGTTTTTTTTTTTATTATTATTTTAGTGTGTGGATTAATATATAGTACATATAAATATATATATTGAGGAAATTAATGATTGAAAATAGCAGCCTCTTCTTGCTCGTGACAAATACGCTTCCCACACCACCACCGCCTCTCATCATTATACACTCTAATCTAACTTATAATTATTATTTTTAAATAAATAAATATATATCTATATATTATAATAAATATGTTATTATATATACATATAGGTCAATCATCATGTACTTTTCATCAGTATACATATGAACATAGATAAATATAGTTGAAGCTGAGTAAAAAGGCCGGGCTCAAGCCCAAGCCCGTTGTAACGCCACTAGTTTTCAACCCCGTCCAGCTTCATCTTTCCTTGAAATGAGCCGAGCTCAGCTGATCGAGCTGTCTAATTAGCTGGCTAATGGCTATATTGGTGGAATGTGGGTCCCAAGTTTGATGTTTGGCGGCTCAGTAGTCTGGCGTGGGTTAGCTGATATCATTGAGCTTAGTGGGGGCTCTGATCCCCGTTAGTTGCACTGTTATTTTATTTTGAGGATTTCTTGTTGAATGACGTGGTGCTCTCTGGTTGGTTGGCCAACAACCAATGACATTGCGCCATCTACACTATTATACTATTTGTGTGGTCCCATATTTAATACTCATCATTGGAAGGCCTACCTACTCCGGATCTACTACTCTCTCCCCATATACGCGGGCCCTATACAATATTTTGTAGTGTGATTTGTGGGCCCACATGGATTGTCCCTATTGGGTATTTCCCAAGTTTAAAAGTCTTTAAAAAGACAATAATGCCCTCATTCCCCCAATATTAAGCCTTAAATACAATACAGTAAAAGAAAAAACAAGATAAAAAGAAAAGAAAAGACCATAAAGTAGTAGTAATAATAATAATAATAATAATAATAATTTTAATAATTTGAACCGGACTGCCTCATTGCCAGGTTTCAGTTTTAACCGGTTTGATCGGTCAGTCTGGTCCAGTTTTGACTACATTGCTTATGCACTTTAATTATTGAAAAAATCCTAGTTTTATTTTTGGCGAATATTTATTATTGGAAAAAAAAGAGTATATTTCGATAGTAATTGTATACCTGCAAATATGAGTAAAAGATACTCAAAAATAGAGTATGAATACATGTAGGCCATTCTTGATAGAAATATATACATACATATACCCTCATCATTTTGTAGAGTACAATAAGCGTGAAGAGTGTTCACCACCATTTTTATACATGTTTTATTTTTATTCTTTATATTTATATATATATATATATATATATGAATTATCCAATTTGTATATTATATTAAGGCGGTGGATATATGCAAGCCCATTTTTTTATTAGTTCAAGACCTCCAACATAAAAATACTAATTTACCCTTAATGAAAGTCAAAAAAAAAATAATAATATTAAATAAATAAACTCCTTTATATGAGTTTGAACTAATAAAAAAATGAGTTTGCATATATCCACCGCCTTATATGAGTTATAATTATATCTTGATAAAATGGTTTACAATATGATCCTCTCAATGTGCATGGCATGTGGCCGGATCAACTTGCATGGTAAGCATAGTGATTCCATTAATATGATATGATAACAAAAATATTTGAAATCATTAAAAGTTTCTCAAACTTTTAAATTTAAGATTAATATATATAGTCCTAATTAAGACGACGCAATCGAAAATTGTGACCAAAATTTTATGATCTATATATCACCTTTTCAAGGAGGAAGCTAGAAACCCTAATCTAATTATGCGTAATTATGTATTATAAGTAGGGTATTATGATTACAAATTGGTTTAAAAGTCTCTCTCAAAATTATAATCCCTATTAGAGTTATTAATATAGATCGAGTAAGAAATGAGAGCAAATAATTAAGCGATAACAAGAGTGGAAACGGAAATGATTAGAATCGTATTCATAATACACGAGCGAGATATAAATCGCGTCCTCCTTTATATACGCAATGGGTCTTAATTAAAATATAATCGATAATTAATTAAAGTGCAAACAAAATTCTCATTTATTCACGATTTGTTCTATGCTGCAATCGGTGAACTTCATCGTATTGTATCTTAGTATGTATTACATGTGTATGGATTCAATTCGTACATTAACATGGAAAATTAATTGGGCCCCTTTCTGTAATAATCCAAGCCCACTGGATCGGATTCTAATTTATTAAAATTCACTATTTCACAAGGCTAAGGGCTTACCATTTATCATCAAGAAATTAAATTCCAATAAACTATTTTTTTTTGTTGTTATTTTGAAGGACAAATTACGGTCACACCCATGAGGTATGACTAAATTAAGAAAAAAAACCTATTGTTTGGTTAATTACGGTCACTCACTCATTTTAAATATTTTTACATAAAATTTATGTAATTCGGTTATTACCGAACCAAATCGTATTATTGAGTTCGGTAAATGGTTTGAAATGTTGTCATACTGAAATTTTGATTCGATTTTACCAATTTAATATCCCTAAATTTCTCTATGGAAAGGTTTTTTCGTAAAATAATACATAGTTTAGGAGATAACTGTAATTATCCAAATATGAGAGAAGTTTTTGCAATTTGACAATAACTCAGGGGGCCGTAATTTGTTCTTATTTTAAATAAGAAGTATTTATTTATTTATTTTTCTTCTTCTTTCCGGGATAAGTAAACTGTAAACCCCGGCTAAGGGGTTTAAGCAGCCAAACCGGAAACCCCTAATTATTCTGTACAAAATCAATTCTGAAAATCAGAGAAACACACAATTTAGGTCTGTTGTTGTTCTTCCATGGAGTTCAATTGACGAAGCACGGCGGCGAACGGCCGCGTTTCTGCGGAGGTTTTTGCCCCGAGGACGAAAATTTCAAACTACACAGAAGCTTCCTCTTACACGATTATGATCAAGCAGAGATTTCTGCTGTCCAAATTTGTTAGAAGACGAACGTTCAGCAGTTGCCCATTGCCATTTGAGCCCAAAACGACGTCGTTTTCTTCTTCACCATCCCAAATCACCCAAAAAGATTTGTGCTTTTCGTTAGCGGACCAGCTGATGAGCCGGGGCTTAGTTTCTTCAGCTCAGAAAGTGATTCAAAGGCTTATCTCTCAATGCTCTTCCGCTCCAGAAGCAACCTCGGCCGCTGAGTTCGCCATTGCAAGAGGTATGGACCTTGGTTTTGGCGGTTATGTTTGTCTTATTCGAAAACTTGTGATTTCCGGTGATGCCCTAACGGCAGAGTCACTGTACATGGATTGCATAGTGGGGCAAGGCCTCGAACCAGATCGTAATTTGTTGAATTCTATGATCATCTGTTACTCTAAGCTCGGTAAGTTAGATCTGGCGAAATCTTGTTTCGATAGCGTTATCAAATTGGGGTTTACACCTTGGGTTGGTGCATGCAATGCTATAATCAAAGGGTTTTCTGAGCAGGATAGATTCTTGGAGGCTTACGATTGTTTTCGTCAAATTGGTGGTGCTTGTGATACTGTACTCCATTTTTCTTGTTACAATAGGCTGGTTAATGGATTGTCTCGTAGAGGGTTCTTAGACGAGGGGATTTATGTTTTCGGTGTGATGAAAAATAACGGGGTGTTGCCTACTGTTCATATGTGCAAATCATTGATTATTGGCTTTTGTAAATGGGGTCGTGTTGAACAAGCCGAGATTTTGTGTACAGAAATTGAATCTAATGGTTTTGTAGTGGATAAATACTTGTACACTTATCTTATCAATTCATATTGCAAAGTAAGGAAAATCGAAATGGCGATGAGATTGTTTATGAGGATGCTAGAAATGGGCTACGAGGCTGATAATTATACTTATAATACATTGATTCATGGATTCTTTAACTTGGGTTTGTTTTCCAGAGGCTGGGCGTTGTGTAATAAGATGGTGAGGTCTTGTTTGAAACCCGATTTAGTTACGTACCAAATCATGCTTAGTAAGTACTGCAAAGACCGGAAAGTTGACCGTGCATTAGAGCTCTTGGATTACATGCTTCGGTGCAATATTCCTCCCAATGTGCACTGTTATACTGTCGTACTAGCTGCACTATGTACGGAACGAAAGTTTAAGGAACTTTATAGTTTGTATCATAAGATGTTGGATAATGGAGTTGTTCCTGATCATGTTTTCTTCTTCATCTTTGCCAAGAACCATCCGATAGGGGATCCATTATATTTCGCCCAAACAATTTTGCAAGCCATCGCAAAAGAATCTTGCAGTTTCGACGTTTTCTTTACGAGGCCTAAATCTACGAGGGGTGCAATTCTTGAAATCGAGCGTCTTCTGGAGGAGATAGTAAAAGGCAACTCTGTTTCGGCAGATAAGGCTTTTAGTATATACATAATAGCTTTATGTATAGCGGGAAAACTGGATTCTGCTCTGCATTGTCTTGAAAAAATGAAGAATCTTTGCATGTTGCCTTTGCCCACCGCTTTGAATTCCTTGGTTAAGTTACTTGCACAAGAAGGAAATGTCGACGCTGCTGAATCTTTAATTGAAGTTTTGCAGGAGCAGGGGCTAGTACCGAAGCAGTCGACTTTCGCGATTATAGTGAACGAGCACTGTATAAAGGGTGACGTGGCATCGGCCATAGATGTTCTTGATAAAATTGAAGAAATGGGAATTGGGGCAAATATTTCTGTGTACAACTCGATTATTGGTTGTTTAGGACGACAGAAAATGATGCGTGAGGCGGAAAAGTTTTACTACAGAATGCGCGAGCATGGTATAGATCCAGATGAAACCCTTTTCGTCACTATGATTAACGCGTATTCAAATAACGGATGGGTGAACGAAGCCCGTGAATTCTTCAAGAAAATGACGGAACACAATCTTAGGCCGAATTCCCGTGCTTATACAGCACTTATAACCGGGCTGGTTAAGAAAAATATGACGGAGAAAAGCTGTTTGTACCTCAATAAAATGATGAAAGATGGTTTCATGCCGAATGCCGTTCTTTATACCTCCCTTGTTAAGCAGTTCTTGAGGAAGAGGGAGTTCGAGTTCGCGTTCAGATTGGTTGACTTGATGAAGAAAAGTCAACTCGAGCAAGATTTGGTCACGTATATCACAATAGTCAGCGGTGTGTCTAGAAATATCCGCCGGTTCGACAGAAAACGGTACCTATCGAGGACAAATTTGGACAAGGGTAAAAATTTGCTGTTTCATTTACTGCACGAGAAAGCAATTTTGCTGAATCGAAAGAGTTTGCAAGTCCTCGTCACTTGTGAGGAAGAAATGAAATCAGCTGTCCTGCAAGTGATTGAGCAGATTAAAAAGGTTCCGTACATGCCAGACTTGCACCTCCACAACGGCATAATATTCGGAATCTGCTTCGCGCAGAGCATGCATGCAGCTTACGAGCATCTCAATCTGATGAGAAAAGAAGGCGTGGAGCCCAATCGAGTGACGTACACTATCTTGATCGATGGGCACATTCAGATCGGGGAACTCCATCTTGCTGTGGGATTGTTTAACGAGATGAACGCAAACGGTTTTCCTCCGGATAGAATGCTCTTCAACACTTTGATTAGAGGCTTCTGTAAGGTTGGGAAGGTTTTTGATGCGTTAACTCTGTCGCATATGATGCAGAAACGAGGGTTTTTGCCTTCGAAGGGTTCTTACGAGAAAATTCTGGGTTCTCTGTGCGCTAACGATTCGGGCTTTTATGCGTTGAAGATTTATGAAGAGATGATTTCGCATGACTATACTCCGTGCCGCTATCACCGTCAGTGGCTGAATTCGATCTCGCATGAAGATAAGCAAGAGTTCCTTTTTGCCTTGGTTGCGGTTATATGGCAAAACATCGTTTTTATTTCTAATCCGATATGATACGAGGTATGTAAATATAATTACTATGTTGTTAAAATTTATTATAAGAAATGATTGATCGAATTTATTACAGGAGAAGAAGTGACGGCCTAATCGAGGGTGGGGATCAGATATCTTAATCTGGCTGAAGTGCTCCGATGATTTCCGCTTGAAATTACGAAATCGAGAATTTCTGCCTTGGTTAGTGATTGTTGATGATTTATTTTGCCTTGTGGTTTTTTAAATTACTTGCACCTAATTAAATTAAATTAAATCAAGAATTTTTATTGTATTTTCTTTATGAAATTGCTGTTGCAGGTTTGAAAAATCACCCTCTGATTTGGAGATTGTGCAGCCAGAAATCAACTTCAAGTTAACATGTATATATATTGTATAATATATTATATATGTATATATATTTCTGTAGTATTTACATATCCATGTTCTTCACAAAAGCCATATATAAACTTTTATTACATTATCCCATGATTAAAAATTCTCTTTCTTTGTCATGAAGACTGTTTAAGTATTTATGAAGGAAATTTGAACAATTTTAATTTCAGAGAATTCAATTATTATACAGAAAGAATAATGAACCAAAAGAATTGCAGAATTAAAAAAAATATAATTTTTTTTCACAAGAATCACAATGCGCAGACAGAATAATAATAAACTCAAAGCCCAGCAGTGAAAGGGACACCGGCGGCAGGCAGCCACGACCGCCCGGCAATGAAGTTCCCAACCGTGAACCGCCCCGCCTCCGCCGCATTTGTTATAACCCGGTAGCCCCTCCAATTAACCCGCCGCGTAGTACTTGAACCCGGACCCGAATTCCTGTACTCACCGTAATACAACGTGTCCAGAGCAAAACTGCCATCCCACTCCAACCACCCGGCCGGATCCACCAGCGAATCTATATACGTCTGCATATAGACGGTCCTAGAGTACAGCTTCCACGGCCGACCCAGAAAGGATCTGAACGACCCGAGAACGGGTACCAGATCTGGAGAAGCCATGACCCGGGAATTGTGGATCGATATCCCGGTGTTCTGGTTCGGGTCGGTTCGTCCCTGGGCGGTGACGACGTTCTTCTGCTTGTCCATTGGGCGGCGTGCGTAGATCATGCAGTTCTGCAGAACGGCGGCGGCGTTGCCAAAGATGAAGTCGACGGTGCCGTAGATGTAGCATTCTTTGTAGAACTGGCGCTGCGAGTGGACGTAGAGTGTGTCTTGGTACCCTTCGAAGCTGCAGCGGTAGAACACGGAGAGGTCGGCGCCGGAGCGCAGCGCCACCGCCTGGTGGTTTTGTGGTCCGGCGGTGTTGCGGATTGTTATGCCGCGTGCGATGAATCCCTCCGCAGTCACAACTGAAAATTAATAATAAATCAGAATTTTAATTAAACAAGTTACATTTATTTGATTTAACTCAAATACTGGCATTAATTCTTTTTCTTTTTTTTTTTGAAATAAAATTTGGCGCTAGCTTCTAGAGATGATTTGAAAAAATCAGCAAAGTGGTATTAATTTAGGTCAATTAACAGCTGGAAAATTGAAACAAACTGTAGTACTATGAATTAAACTACTCTTTGTCAACGATGAGACAATTTCAAACTGAAAAATTAATTTATTGATTACGGTTATTGAAAATTGATGCCACTAGGCCAAAACGCAAGACTGGCGACGAAAATTGAAGCACCGTATTATATTTTTCCGTAGCTACATTATAGTTTGAATTGTAAATTATTTTTACTCTAGTTTCTCTACAATTTACACTTGGCATTATCATAATTACACGAATTAGTTTTGAAAGCAAATTTTCACTTAATAACACACACACATATGTATAGATATAGATATAGATATAGACTTACTAACGGTGGCGGAATTGAAGGTGGTGGAACCGCCTCCGACGCTCCGGCTGCCGGTAATAAAAGTATACTTGATACCATCACCGACCATCATAATATTCTTCATCTTACTCCCAGCAATTTCTAAGTTCTCCCTATAAACACCTCTCTTCACATGTATAACAAACCTCCCGGTGCCGCTCCTCCTTGCCGCCGCATCAAGCGCCGCCTTAATAGTCCTATAATTCCCCGAACCATCCTGCGCCACCACCACATCCGCCCTAACCGCCGCCTGCAGCAGCTTCCGGTCACCCCCAGAAAACCACGCCGGAAAACCAGCCTTGTTATAGTAACCCTTAGTCTCGTGATTCGTCTCGTTACCACCATCTCCGAGCGCCAGAGTGTTGCATATCAATTTCGAGACGTTGTTGTTCGAGATCAACGGGAACACGAAATCCGTTACGTTGAGCTCCAGGAACCCGGTCCGGCAAGTCTCGATGTTGGTCAATGCGGTGCTCAGCCACGTCTGGGAGTCGAAATCGGTGCAGTTTATGGTGGGGTCCACGGTCTTGTTGAGCTGCTCGATGGTGGACTCGTATAGTTTCACGCAGTCGGACCAGGCGGCTCGCTCTCGCTCATTCCTACACTTGGCGCCGAGGGCTCTCGTGTTGCCCACGGCACAAGTAGCGCGCTCTAGGGCTAACTGAATGGCCATTTTTCGAAAATCGGATTTTTTTTGGGGCGAGAAATATTTGCGTGGATTGTTGTTATTGTGGCTCATGAAGTGTTTGCATGGCTCGGGGTACGGGGTTTGGTTGCACCACCAGTTTACATCGCCGCCGGAGGGGGGTTTGATGGCGGCCGCGGCGGGGAGGAGGCCAATGGTGGAGGAGAGAGAAATTAATGTTAGGATCAAGAATTTGAGCTCCATTTTGATGATGCTTTTCTTTTGTGTGTGTGTGGATGAGTATGTAATAACTAAATACGAGGAAGTTGTATTATATATATATAGAGAGTGGAAAAAGATGGTGCATGATAGGATAGCTGTGATGTGGTGTAGTAGATGAGAATGAAAGAGTTGACTATTAACAAAAGCCAATTCAAATATAGGGTACATATGTACTGTAATCTGAAAATCTATTCCCTGTTGTTTTAAATATGATATCTTTTGTCAAACATAATATATAATAAGCTTTTTATCAAATAATAATATTAATTATGAGGATCAATTAGGATATATATATATATATAAAAGAGAGCTGTCTAATTATATATGATCTTCCAAACCACAAACTTTAGTCAATGTTTTTTTTTTTTTTTTAATTTATTTATTTATCAATATTCGCCATTGCTTATTTAATTTATAAGATTGACCATTTTAATTGAAGATAAAAGTGCTAATATATATATATATGGAAAAAAAAACTTATAAATGCATATTCGAAAGATAGTTTGGTGAAGAAAAGACAACAGATGTGGGCTTGGAAACCTGTCTGGAGAGCCTGGAGAGTATAGTTGGTGGCGGCATGGAAAATGCATGCATAAAATTATGTGAAAGACTTGTGGTGAAACCCAACGTACGTACAAGTCAATAATCAATAATTATAATCTCTAATGCTCATCCTCAACCATAAAAAAAAAAAAAAAAAAAAAAAACAATTATAAGGCTAAAAATTTGAATGTAAATAACATGCCATAAATAGATTTAAGATAAATTACGTCCACCCCTAAGGTAATGTCAAATTATGAAAATAACTCTTTCTTATTTGGATAATTACAATTATGAATTATCCCTCAATTGTGAGTCTTCTGACATGTCCACTCTTATGGTGTCAAATTCAATATAATTTTCTTGATTCTGTGGAATATTTTCTAGTTTGTACTCGTTTTGTGCAAAATGCAGTTTCTGATGTACCACGCACAATATGATTTTTATAACCCAAATGACACGAATATAGTAAAACGGGTAAAAATTGGAGAATTATACACATAATCTAAGAGTATCTATTAAATTAGACACCGTAAGGGTGGACGTGTAAAATAATTTATAGTTAAAGGGAGCGGTTATAATTACCCAAACATGAAGGATTTTTTCGTAATTTCACATAGCCCAAGTGAGGTGGCCATAATTTAACCATAGATTTATAAACAATGCTTAATAAAATAGAATATTGAACAACTAGATATATTGACTTTATGTAATCAAAAGAATTTAGTGGCGGTGCTAAACGCGTGCCTTCTTACGTATGTTGATTGGGCACAAAAAGACGTGCCCCAAATCCGGAACCATGTTGGATTTTATTTTTTATTTTTCCTTTTTTTTTCTCAATTCAATGTTCCAAACATTTAACAAGACTTTAAATAATTGTAACACGATTTTGCTGATTTTTCTAATTAATGCAGCCGCGGAATAAATCAATATAAATTCATCTCGATTTTTTTTTAATCCAGTTTAATAATATGGTTGATTACTCTGAAAATTTAAGTCAAGACAAGATAAAATAATTGTAGAATCAGTACCTCCTTAAAAAAATGTACTTCGGAAGTTTAATAATTTCACTAAATTATAATATTTTATAACCATATATTTTGTAAATCTTGGACTAGTAATTAATTAGATCCAGAACGGCATCGTGCTTAAAAATGGAATGTACTTCATGAGCTAAGAAGTGACGTCATTCTCCTATTTTCATGGGTAATTCACATATAAAACATCATAGAATATTACAGGTCAAATAGTTACGTGTCTTATATATTTAATAATTTATTTATATATATATCATATAATAAGCTATTAGGTAGGATCTTGATGAACTTTATGACAAGAGGAATTAACGGTAAGTAACGGTGATGAAGTTTAAAGATATAATATGTTGACATAAATGAAATGATCATTTGATTAGTTTAGCTATAAGATAGTTTAAATTGGGCAAAGCCTTCTTCATTAATTGTGAACATGATAGATTATACATACAATTATGTACAAATACATATATGAAATGTTACCCGCCAAATTTCGCTTCAACAAGCTAAAATTTTGAGTTTCCTAATTATACTTACAACACATTTGATTCTTTAACTTGGTTTTGTTTTCCAAAGTAAGGCTGAGCGTTGCGTAATAAGATGGTGAGATCCAGTTTGAAACTCGATTTAGTTATGTGTTAACTCATTGCTTAACAAGTAGTACTGCAAAGACCGGAAAGTTGACTGTGAATTATAGCTCTTGATCAGTTACATGCTTCGATGCAATATTCCTCCCCAACGTGCAGTACTGCGCAGTATTGTCGTACATGCTGCACTACGTACCGAACGAAAGTTTAATGAAGTATACAGTTTGTATCATAAGATGTTGGATAATGGAGTTGTTCCCGATCGATCATGATTTCTTCTTCATCTTTGCCAAGAACCATCCGATAGGGGGGATCAATTATATTTCGCCCTAAATCTACGAGATTCTGCTTTGCGCGCACGAAGCATGCATGCAGCTTACTAGCATTTCAAAATGATGATTTAAGAGAGAAGGTGTGGGGCCCAATCGAGTGACGACGTACACTATCTTGATCGATTGGGCATATTCAAATTGGGGATCGAACTCGATCTTGCTGTGGGATTATTTAACGATCGAGATGAATGCAAACGTTTTTTCGCTAGATGGAATGGTGCTCTACCACTTTGATTATATGATTGTTTTTTTTTTTTAATATATTATATATTTAATTAGTAGTAATAGATTGATAAAAAAAAAAGTTAATTTACTTCCATGTTAATTAATCTTTATGCATAATGCCATGATTAACAATTCTGTTTCTTTGTTATGAAGTCTATTTAAGTATTTATAAAGGAAATTTAAACAATATTAATTTCAGAGAATTCAATTATTATACAGAAAAAATAACGAACCAAAAGAATTGGAAAAATAAAAAAATAATTCACAGAGAATAATAAACTCAAAGGCCAGCAGTGAAGGGGACACCGGTGGCAGGCAGCCACGACTGCCCGGCAATGAAGTTCGCAACCGTGAACGTACTCGCCTCCGACGCATTTGTTATAACCCGGTACCCGCTCCAATTAACCCGCCGGGTAGTATTTGAACCCGGACCCGAATTCCTGTACTCACCGTAATACAGCGTGTCCAGAGCAAAACTGCCGTCCCACTCCAACCACCCGACCGGATCTATCAGCGAATCGATATACGTCTGCATATAAACCGTCCTCGAGTACAGCTTCCACGGCCGGCCCAAAAAGGATCTGAACGACCCGAGAACGGGTACCAGATCCGGAGAAGCCATGACCCGGGAATTGTGGATCGAGATCCCGGTGTTCTGGTTCGGGTCGGTTCGGCCCTGGGCGGTGACCACGTTCTTCTGCTTGACCATAGGGCGGCGTGCGTAGATCTTGCAGTCCTGTAAAACGGCGGCGGCGTTGCCGAAGATGAAGTCGATTGTGCCGTAGATATCGCATTCTTTGTAGAATTGGCGTTGGGAGTGTACGTAGAGTGTGTCCTGGTACGCTTCGAAGCTGCAGCGGTAGAACACGGAGAGGTCGGCGCCGGAGCGGAGCGCCACCGCCTGGTGGTTTTCTGGTCCGGCGGTGTTGCGGATGGTTATGCCCCGGGCGATGAATCCCTCCGCCGTCACAACTGGAAATTAATGGTAAATCAGAATTTAAATTAAATAATTACACTTTAAATTAATAATTTTTTTGAAATAAAATTTGGCGCCAGCTTCTAGAGATGATTTGAAAAATATGCAACGTGTATTAATTTAGGTCAATTTACAGCTGGAAATTGAAACAATCCATCATGAATTAAATTCATTAATAATATGATTTTGAACCGTACATTTATACAAATAATTGTCCATTAAATATACATACACATAAATGTGTATATTATTTATTATGTGTAGATTAATGGTTTAAAATCACCCAATTTATTTTACCCGATGTAGCATCTACAAAACCATTAACCTTCATTCATTGTCAACGATGAGAAAAGTTCAAACCGAAAAACAAATATTGTAATTAGGGTTATTGAAAATTGATGTCCTAGCGAATTAAGTAATTAACTAACTAACGCGTTGAAAAATGAAGCACCGTATTAGTATTTTACCCTAGCTAGTTTTTTTCTAGAATTTACACTTGACATCATCAGAAATACACAAATTAGTTTTAAAAGAAATTTTTTCACTTGACAAATTAAAACTATTAGAATTTTGAAGGCATAGGTAGCAACACGCATGTATATGTATAGATATAGATATAGACTTACTAACGGTGGCTGATTCGAAGGTGGTGGAACCGCCTCCGACGCTTCGGTTGCCAGTAATAATAGTATTATCGATACCGTCACCGACAATCATAATATTCTTCATCTTACTCCCAGCAATTTCTATGTTCTCACTATAAACACCTCTCTTCACAAGTATAACAAACCTCCCGGCGGTGCTGCTCCTCCTTGCCGCCACATCAAGTGCCGCCTTAATAGTCCTATTATCCCCTGAACCATCCTGCGCCACCACCACGTCCGCACTAACCGTCGTCTGCAACAACCTCCGGTTACCCTTAGAAAACCACGTCGGAAAACCAGCCTTGTTATAGTAACCCTTAGTCTCGTGATTCGTCTCGTTACCACTATCTCCGAGCGCCAGAGTGTTGCATATCAATTTCGAGACGTTGTTGTTCGAGATCAACGGGAACACGAAATCCGTGACGTTGAGCTCCAAGAACCCGGTACGGCAAGTCTCGATGTTGGTCAAGGCGGTGCTCAGCCACGTCTGCGAGTCGAAATCGGTGCAATTTATGGTGGGGTCCACGGTCTTGTTGAGTTGCTCGATTGTGGACTCGTACAGTTTCACGCAGTCGGACCAGGCGGCCCGCTCTCGCTCATTCCTACACTTGGCGCCGAGGGCTTTCGTGTTGCCCACGGCACAAGTAGCGCGCTCTAGGGCTAATTGAATGGCCATTTTTCGAAAATCGGATTTTTTTTGGGGTGAGAAATATTTGCGTGGATTGTTGTTATTTTGGCTCATGAAGTGTTTGCATGGTTCGGGGTAGGGGGTTTGGTTGCACCACCAATTCATGTCGCCGGAGGGGGGTTTGACGGCGGCGGAGGGGAGGTGGAAGGTGGAGGAGAGAGAAATTAATGTTATGATCAAGAAATTGAGCTCCATTTTGATAATGGATATATGTGTTACAACTATATGAGGAAATTGGATTATATATATAGTGTGTGGAAAATAAAAGACTTGATGAATGATGAGAATGAGAGTTGACTATGGTGAACAAAAGCCAATTCAATATAGTACGTGTACATGTGTACTATGTAATGTTGTTGAATAAACTAATTAATTAATAATATTATATAGATATTACTTTTCATCTTTTTTTGAAAATTCCGTAAATAATTGTGAAAATATTTAGATAATATTTTCCCTTATTTGAATTTTTCAGTTGTTAATTAGAGAAAAGTTGTGGTGATCAATTTGCAGGTGGAGTGGTACAGCACAACTTATTTTACTCTTTCTTGTAAAAAGTTTAAAGAATCCACAATTTGTTTTTAATATTATTACTTATATCAGAAACCGGTCTAATATATATAATTGTCATCTATCTATATTAATACATAAAAAAATAAAAAATAAAAATAAATTAAAACCCACTAGGTTTATTGACTTTATGTAATGAAAGAATTTAGTGGTGGTGATTAACGCGTAGGAACAAGCCCTCTTTCCGTAATTAAGTTGATTAGGGACTAATTAAATACGTGCAACAAATTGAGAAACAGAAACTAACCCTCATTTGTTTTCAAATTAAAAAGTTTCAAACATTTAAAAAGACTTTGGACGTTAAAAATTAAATTATATAAATATAATTAATCCACAATAAATTATATAAATATATATTAAAAAAAAAAACATTTCTTTAAATACATTAATCAATCGATCTATACCTAATGTTACAGTTCTAGTCTTCTAGATATTCTTTTTTTTTTTTTTTTTGATGAATTTAGTCTTCTAGATATTCAATTATTCACTCTACAACATATACATATTTACTCGTATATATAATCATGTATGCATTACACATGAAATATTCCCAACATATTTCACCTTATTAGTATCTAAAATAATTATAAAAAAAAAAAAAAAAGTTGCTAGGAATTTGTTTTTCCTATATACCAAAGGAGCGACTCTATAACTAAATTCATTAATCCTTTTATCATAATAAAACCAATTAAACGAATAAAAGAATTCAATAAAAACTATTGACTTGGTGACAACCTCACAACCCGGCAATAAATGGCACACCAGTTGCAGGCAGCCACGCCCGACCCGCTACCAGGCTCCGCACTGTAAATCGAGACGCCTCATCCGGGTTGGTTATAGCATGGTACCCGGTCCAATTAACCCGGTTTTCCAACGAACCGGCCGGTCCGAAATTCTTATACTCCCCATAGTACAAAGTACTCAATGCGAAATCCGAGTCACCCCATCTCGACCATCCCTCCGGTTCGACCAGACCGTCAAGATAACTCTTCATAATCACAGTCCTCGAGTACTGCTGCCACGGCCGGCCCAAGTAGGTTTTAAACGAACCGACAACCGGTTTAAGATCCGGAGCGGGCATGACCCGACAGTTGTGGATCGAGATGCCCGTGTTCTGAAACGGGTCGCCACGACCCTGGGCGGTGATCATGTTCGCCTGGCCGACTAGAGGCTTTCTTACGTAGATGACGGAGTTCTGTATAACGACGGCGGCGTTTCCGAAGATGATGTCGACGGTGCCGTATATGTGGCAGGATTTGAAGAACTGGCGCTGCGCGTGCACGAAAAGCGTGTCTTGGTACCCTTCGAATGCGCAGGCGTAGAACACGGAGAGATCGGAGGCTGACCGGAGAGCCACCGCCTGGCCTTTTTCCGGCCCGGCGGTGTTGCGGAATGTGATTCCCCGGGCCATGAATCCAGCGCCGTCAACCCCTGAAATTAGTCGGTAATTGTAGAAAGAAAATAATTACAGATAAACCTCTATAAATTAATACAGTCGGGACTAATATAATTTTATTAATTTAGCGAATTATTAAATTATTGAGTTAATAATTTAAAATGTTTTCATCGAATCAGGACAAAGGAAAATTATTATTTAATCGAGGTTATTAATTTATTGAGTATTAATTTATCGAGGTTATACTGTACTAATTAAGTCATAAATTATGAAATTATTAATTTCTAATTAGGTTCACTCACCAACGGTGGCGGAGCTGTACGTGGTGAACCCGCCGGAAACGCTCCGGCTGCCGGTGATGACGGTATGTTTGACTCCATCGCCGACCAGCGTAACCTTATTCATCGTCCTGTTGATCAGAATATTCTCCTCGTAAACACCTTTCTTCACATACACAACCACCCGCCCATCTCCGACCCGTTTTGAAGTGGCATAGTCAATCGCAGCCTGAATGGATCTAAACTGACCCGACCCGTCCGGAGACACGGTTACATTTGCTTTCAGCACCAGCGCTGAAACCTGCAACAGTTTCCGATTACCGGGCGTGACCCGACCCGGAAACCGACGACCACTATCCGGGTCATTATTAGCAGCCAGGATTAGTGCCCCATTCGCCGCTAGGCTATTGCTTATCAGCTCCGAAACATAACCCGACAGGATCGGCGAGCGGAACCGGGCGGCGATTTTGAGGTCGTGGGACCCACTGCGGCAGATTTCAACGTTGGTCAACGCTGCACTGAGCCACGTCTGCGCGTCAGAAGTCGCGTTTGAAGTTTTTTGGATGCTTCGAAAAGTCGTGTTTAGTTGGTGGATCGTGTTGCCGATGAGGTTGTAGCAGTCTCGATGGACGGTCTTCTTCCTTTTGCTCTTGCCCTGGAAGCAGAGATTCTTGGCGCGTGTCTGTACGTGGATGGCACGCTCCATTGCTGCCTGGATTGTCAGGGTCCGGAAATCCTGGCGGGTTATCGGGTTGTGCTGATTCGGGTTATAACGACCCATCATGATGAAGTGGTTGCATGGATCCGGGTGTGGAGTTGTACTGCACCACCAGCTGATCGTTCCCTTTTTTATGCTGACGTCATCATCTGCGAATACTGCATGCGAGCATACGTAAGAAAAAAAGAAGAAGAAAAGGGAGAGTTTTGCCATAGGCTCGTGTTGATTTTTTTGAAGATGAGAATGAATTGCATGCAGCTTATTATTAAAACAGGGAATTAAGCTGATTAAATTATAAACATGTATATGTAGACACGACAAAAGGTACCAGAATTTAATTGTATGTGGTAATTACTTTATCTTAAAAATGAAGGGATCCTTGTTTTATGGATCAATTCCATCACACTCAACATGGCTGCACGCAGCTTCAAAACAATATAAAAATGATACGTATATAATAATCTATAGGGTAAATTACAAACACCCCCTGAGGTATGGCCAAATTACAAAAACACCCCTCTTGTTTGGATAATTACAACCACCCCCTCAACTCATCAAATTTAGTGGAATCTTCGAGATTATATGGAATATTATCACTTTTGTACCCGTTTAAACTCTACATTATGAAGCAAGATGACCATAATATGTGATTTTTAGCTTGTATATATCAGTTTGTGGTGCATCGGAAACTGTATTTTTTACACAAAAAGAGTACAAACTAGAGCACATTTCACGGAATCTAGATGAATATGTTGAATTTGGCACCATAAAGGTGGAGGTCTAAGAAAAAATCATAGTTGAGGGGGTAGATGTAATTATCCAAACAAGAGGGGGGTTTTTGTAATTTGACCATACCTCAGGGGGGTGTTTGTAATTTACCCTAATCTATATATATATATATATATATATATATATATATATATATATATATATATATACATGGTTTTATATTATATGCTCATAAAATTGCTACTACAAAGTAGATACATTGAATACTTGAATTACTTAATGCACGGTTTATGCGGAGACGACCATGATTTGTGAAATTAATTAAAGTGTGATTTTATACTGCGGCGCCGGCGCAACATGGAGTTTATATATTTAATTAATTAATTTGTTAAAGATCGTCACTAATTAGTCATTAAATCATCCATCCATGTGTCTTAATTCGATCGCAACTAATATATTTGTTTTAATTAGATTATAGTCCCTACTTGTTTCCAACCTCATTATATGGACCAGATTTGGACAACAGTATAATACTCATCCTGAGATTAAGGAGGGTAGATTATACCAATATTGCCAGAAAAAATATATTATTATTATATATAGGACATATATCGAGTAATTTTGAAGCTATTAAGGAACCAATATTCCACCATGTTTAATTAATTTTGTTTAACTAGAATTCCAAAATCGAGCCATTATTATTTTGGCGGTGATTAGGAGTTGGATTACCCGAAAAGCCCTACTTATTGAGTTAACTTCTTCATTAATCTCTTATTTATTTATCGTCAAATTAGTACATTATTTGACTCGTGGTTTACGTGAACTTGCATCTATCCTAGTGGCACTTTACGTACGTGTAAGTTTGATGGAAATTGAGATAGATTATGTGCACGCAGTCGATGATCATATTTTTTTTTACCTTTGATCCACAAACAGTCACACATATATACATGTGAGCAAACTATACTTTCTGCATCTTCTTTTTCTTCCCCTTCCTAATTTTTGGGGTTGATATAATAAGTAACAATTGCACTAAAGATAAGGGTCGACATCTTATATGTATAGGATATAATTTAGGAAATCGCCAATTATATAACTAAATTAATAAAATATAAATAACCGGGGCAACTCACATGCAAACTAGGGCCCAAAATTAAAATTGTGCCGTTGGGATTGGTGGAGTACATTCAAGTTATAGATATACACAAACATAAGGGCCATAGAGCTAAACGCAACTTGCTCTAATCATTTTTTTTAATCATATACATGCATTTGATAAATATACACTCTCGTATAATAGTATTCATACTATATGAGATACGTAAAATCATAGTAGGCTAATCATGTGTGATCAGCTCGATTTAGAAACCGTTGCAGAGGGATTCGAACTTAACTTACGCTAATTTCTTTATATATATTTGGGTATATATAAATATTGTGTGATTTACAATCGCTCCGATCGAGTCAGGGGTAGATATTTGAGAATGAATCGGGCCATAATTCAACATCATGACATATTGAAGTGTGTCGAATGAACTATATATATTGCTATGAAATATCGCGCATTTTCTATTATCAATTAACAAGTTCAAAATGAATGGTAGAGCGTGATATCTTACAATATAACATTTTACTAAGTGTATCTTAAAGCCTCGTTTGGTTAGGAAGATTAGCCATGATTAATTAAATAATTAAATTTTATTTGATATTCAATATCTCTAATTACTTGTCGAGTCGACTCGCAAATATTATGTTATTTTGACGAGAAAATTGACATTAAAAAAAAAAAAAAAAAGACGACCTTCTTAACAAAGTACGTACTAAAAACAATCTGTATATATCCGAAAGTTGTTAACCATGGACGGCGGCGTAGCTATTGATGAGGGCTAGAGCATTGCTGGTCATATGCGCCACGTTGACAATTCTGGTCCGGATAGCGGATTTGGCGGCGCCGTTCATAAATTTTCCGGCGAACCCCTCCATGCAGGTGTCCTCATCAGTCATGGCGGCGCTGACCCAGGTCTGGATGTCGCTCATCGTCCGCCCGAAGTTGGACCGGTTCATCCGGTTCATCTCGGACATGGACCTCCCGAGTTGCTCCACCGAGTCGCTCAGCTCCTCCACGCAGTCACGCATGGCTCCCGCTTCCCGCGGCGTGATTCCGGCGCGGCGGGAGATCCTCACCATGTCGACGGAGGTGGTGCGGGCGGTGTCTAGGCTGACGGAGAGTGCCACGTGGGCGAGGAGCTTCGGGTCTTGCTGAATTGCGCTCGCGTGGTTTGAGAGGGCGGTGTAGCAGAGTGTTGGGTAGGTGGTGGTGGAGCACGATGTTCGGATGAATCTCGTGTCGGGTTTTCCTCCGGCTGCGGCGGCGCAGCCGGAGTCTATGGAGGAGCCAATAATTAGTATCAGCATTGTAAAAACAGTTGCCACGGATTTTCTCGAAAATAATTTGTCCATCTGTTTGTGTGCGTGTGTGTGTGTGTGTGTGTGAGAGAGAGAGAGAGAGAGAGAGAGAGAGAGAGAGAGAGAGAGAGAGAGAGAGAGAGAGAGAGAGAGAGAGAGAGGATTAATTATGGACTTATTTATAGGGATAAGTTATTATTGACTCTTTTTGATATTTATAATATCATTGGTTATAACTATTCATTCATATACAGTGTGTGTATGTGTTTTACATGCATCGTCAAAATTGGATCTCTAATTTAGCAGCTTAATTAATAAAAAAGTTATGGGTGTAGATCCAAACTCTTTAATTTTTGGGGTCCCATTTAAGAAAATTCGAGAAAATAGGCTGAACTTGTAGGTGTGAGTGACAATGGAAATTAAAAGATATTATATTATGGACTCAACGTCGACATGTTCCTCTAAAAGATATTTTAGATAGAGTGACATATTCAGCAGTCAGCATCTACTTCAATTTTGGAAATACATACTATTATTATACATATATGATATAGTCTTTCAAATAATACAATATTGCATTCTCTTCTCAAATCTTTTTTATTTTTAGAAATTTAATTTTTTTTTTTTAATCAATTTAGCAATTTAATTATGATTGGTAAATGAATCAAATAGTCCTAATTTAATTGGATAAAACAAAATAAGAGAATATTACTATTTTTGCCTATTACCATACCAATTAATAAATTTATAAAATATAAAGTAAAAATAGGAAAATTGATAACTGCAAGATAATATTAAAATATTTGATCGATATAATTCATACTTATTTTTCCAAAATATCTAATTTAATTTACACCCTAGCAAGGCATGCATGCATCAATATCATAAGCCCATAGCCTATTCATTCACTAGATATAATTTTGTTTTTCGGTCCTTCATTTGTTGTATATATATATACCGTTTTGGCCCTTATCTAACTTCAGAGATTTGCAGATTTTAGTCCTAATTAATTGGATTTTGATAAAACTAATCATACAAATTAATTAAGCATCTCTCACATTTAATAAAAAATAAATAAAAAAAGAGTGTTTAATTACTAATTAATTAGCCATGAAAGGCAGCATAGCAATTGATGAGAGCCAAGGCATTGCTCGTCATATGCGCCACGCTAACAATCCTCGTACGAACCGCCGTCTTGGCGGCGCCGTTCATGAATTTTCCGGCGAAGCCCTCCATGCAGGTGTCCTCGTCCGTCAAGGCGGCGCTGACCCAAGTCTGGATGTCACTCATCATCATCGCGAAGTTTGACCCGCCGCCGCCGCCCTTAATCAGCTGGTTCATCTCCGCCATGGATTTTCTGAGTTCGTCCACCGAGTCACTCAGCTCCTCCACGCAGTCCCGCATGGCGCCTGCCTCCCGGCGGGTCATTCCGGCGGCGCGTGAGAGCGTGGCCATGTCGGCGGAGGTGGAGCGGGCCGAATCGAGGCTGACGGAGAGGGCGGCGTGGGCGAGGAGCTTCGGGTCTTTCTTGATGGCGGTTGCTTGGCTTGAGAGGTAGGAGTAGCAGAGCGTGGGGTAGGTGGTGGCGGAGCAAGATGTTCGGATAAACTCTGTGTTGGTGTTTCCGGCGGCCGGTCTGGCGGCGCAGCCCGAGTTTATGGAGGAGTAGATAACGAAAATCACTATTAGAAAAGATGCGGCGGATTTGCAGGAAAATGTTTCCATCTCTCTTCGACTGTGTGTGTGTGTGTGTGTTTAATTAACTACTTTTTTGTTTTTATTTAATTATACTATTAGGTTGTGGAAATATGGAGGGAGAATGCTCTATATTTATAGACTTTTCTTGGGGGTGTGACGTAGATAAATTTAGTACATGTTTGTTATGGGAGAACATATAATTAATTAATTACCAAACACATTAGTGAAATTAAAGTTTCCTACCTAATCCTTAATTCAAGTACATATGTCTCAAGTAAACATGGGTCTTGTGTTGGTCCCATTATTGTATCAAATAGTGGGATTTAGATTTTACACTGGGTGCTGGGTGCTGGGTGCTGGGTGCTGATTGATTGTTAATTTTAGATGGAGTTAAATAACTGTTCACTGAACTCATATACATATGAGTACGGCTGTGTGTGCGTGATTATGTGCAGATCACGGCTAACAACAAACCGTTGTTTAATTTTAATAACCCGGTTGCAACGATCATATATTGATCGCCGCTAAGTTTGTGCACGGGCAAGTTCATGTCAAACGGCCAAATTAGAGTAAATTTGGAGCGGAACTCGCATTTTATATTAGCGTAGTTAATAATTTTTAAACGGTATTTAGGGTTAATCGAAGTGTTGGGTCCGATCGAACTCGGCCCAGAATCCTAGACTTGGATCAGCTTTCGGCCCATATTGCCAAATCAACTCCCATCATACATATACATATGGCCAAATAAATTGTTTAAAACTTGTGAAGCATTTGATAATTTAATTAAAAAAGTAATACTATTGATTTGTGTATGATTTAAGATTTTAATATGAAATGTGGTAGGAGATGCTAAGTAGTAATTATATGATGAAATGATTACAAACATTCTTCTTTTTAAGGGAATTTGGATCCTCTGCTTCAAAGTTATCAAATTCACCAAATTAAATACGAGATAATATATAAAATATCTTTGCAATTACATTATATAATTAATTCAAGCTCCCACTTGGACATGTGCTTGAAAAATCTTAAGAGTTAGCCGCCGTAACAATTTTAAAAATTAATAACCAAAAATATATTAATTAATAGATATGTATGAAAAATCAATTTGAATTGGATATGTGTTTGCAGAAGAAATCTTGAGAAAAAATAGTAGGGCCCTAATTAAAGAAGTTATAATAAGCATTAACAAGTGGTACTATCAATTCTTTGTAGATAGATATGCATCATGTACTTACATGTATCTGCATGCATAAACATCCAAAACACAACTTGGAGTGCAAACAAAAATATATAAAAATAAATAAATAAATAAACAAATCGCAGTCGACCACGCCAACTTGCATATGCACGTGTCGGTATCGTCGAAAGAGGCGTGTTAGTGCAACTAGTAGGACTGAAGAAATCGTTATTGTCTACAATCCCGACGACTAGTATATATGCATGCTTGAATCGTCCGATCCCCACATATGTAAAATCGCTATTTAGGGTATTTAATGAACTTACACCGCATTGCTTCAAATGTACAGTGATGGTTTCACGAGGGGTAAAATCGTCACTTATTAGTAATCACATCTCGAAAAGAGAAAGAAAAAAAAACCGATTCTGCCTAATTTTGAAAACTCGTCAATGCACGAATCTCGTTTTATGATTTATTTCATGCTACTGCGGAAATACATCGAGGAGATCTTTATTATTTATTCACACACAAAACATACACATTCTTCATCATTTATGTAATTTTGTTTTCAACTTAAATAATTTTACATTATTTAGATAATTGTTCTTGAGTTTATGAAAAAAAAAACATAGACATGACCTAATCCGGACCATTTTGATTTTCTTACTTTGGTTTGGGTTTTGGTCCATTAGTTAAGGATTGGGCTGCTTCTGCCTAGTTTAGCCCATTTTGTCTGAGTCCAAATTTGCTTATCAAAATTTCATCATTTTAAAATATTTTTTCTCTCTTTATTTAAAGTAAAAGAAATTAAATTTTGAGCAGATCAGCCGATATTTAATTTAAATCGGATTCCACTAATTTTTTTGATATGTGGCACTTTTAAGTTTTAACTCTTAATAAATCACGCTGATTATAATTACTGTTAGAGGGGTTATGGGTTCTGCTGGGTTTGTTTTTTGTTTTTTTTTTTTCCAATTATTAGAATTTTAATTATATTTATATTTAACTTTCGCGTGTCAATCATCCTATGACATCCAATTTTCCTATTAAAACAGACCATTTGGTCTAAATTTGCACCCAAAGTAAAATATTTAGTTACCGCTTGTTATGTAAATTCGTGCAGTAGTTTTACAACCAAGTTGATTGGGAAATTTTGCTTTTTGGCATCACATGAAAATTTTGTAATTGGTTTTTTTTTTTCTTTTCATAATTTTCATTAACGCATTCAATCCTTTTATATTGCCTTTCATTTTCATGCACTTACCGTTTTACTTCATTTATGAATTATATCTTACTAATTTGAAGTTTTTGTAATTGAACATTGATTTAAACTTTATGCAGTATATTTATTTAACATAATATATATTTACATGATGACATATACCAGGTTATATTTAATTTAAAAATATTTTAATAAAATGACTTTAAAAGGAATAATATAAGAAAACCAAACATACCCACAGCCACAAGCAGTGATAATGGAATTATCTCTTCAGCATTTCACACTCTTCACTGTGTACTGTGTGTTTAATTTCTCTATTACCAGCTGTAAAAGTTGCAAAGATCAAATTACCAGCAAAATTAAAGTAAGAAATATAATTATTCCGAACAGACAAAACTTCTATTCTATTTCACTATATTACAAAAATTTGAGTAACAAAATATATAATTATTATACATCAAACTTGAGAAAACAACCAAACAAGAAAAGGGGACCACAGATTAATAATGTTGACTACTTAATACTTTCCGGCGAACCGATTGCAGAGTGCGAGCGCATTGCTGGTGACCTGAGCCACATGTGTCATTCGGGCCCTAATTGACGATTTGATCCGACCGTTCATAGCCCGGCCCGAAAACCCATCCATGCAGGTGCTGTCGTCGGTCAACGCGGCGCTGACCCACGTCTGCAGGTTGCTCATGTGCCACACGAATTCGGGCCCTCGGGCCGGGCCGAGCTTCTTGAGCTCCTTGACCGACTTGCTCAGGCGGTCGACGCTGTCGCTCACCTCCTCCAGGCAGTCCTTGATGGCGGCGTACTCCCTAGGTTTCAGGCCGCGGAATCTAGTCAGCATGGAGACGAACGTCTTCGTCGATTGGGCCTTCTCCACGCTCACGGAGAGTGCCGTCGTCACCAGTTGTTTCGGGCTCTTCTTAATGGCGGCGGCGTGTGTGTACAGCGACTGTACGCAGACGGAAGGGTATGTGGTGGCGCGGCAAGAAGTTCTGATGAAGCTGGTGGTGGTGACGGCGGCGGCGGCTGATTCGCTTGTGGTGAGTAGATGTAAGAAAGAGAGGAGCACTATTGTAAGTGAGAATGTAAGAGAGAGTTGGTTTGCCATTGTTTTCTTTGTAATAAGTTTTTGTTTGTAGGGAAATATGATTAATGAAACATTTTTATTTATAGACAGGGGTTTTTATGTTAATAATAATTAACTGTGTAATCACATGCAGAAGGGGGAGGGGCCCACAATTAGGTCTGGACACGCTTAATTTTCTGTGCGCCGACACAGGCCACAATTATTTGAGGCAATAATATATTTTTCTTCCTCGATGATTTTTGATGTTACATGAAGATTTTCTTGTGTTTAGTAAATATCTTGTAACTTTTGATTGGTGTGTGAAATCAAAATACCACCAGAAAAAAAAATCAACACATATTGAAAAAAAATTAAATAGTTCAAGATATTTTTGAACTTGCAGGAACTATAGCTTACTAACTTAAACCCGAGCCGGACCCGAGCCAAATACTGTGTGTCGGCTTTCGGGTCTGATTATAACAAATACCCGTTTCACACCCAACCCGCCCGCCCTCGTGATATATGTAGTCAAGAAATCTTTATTCTCTTTAGCTTGATTAATCGGGTCAAAATTTTAATCTACGTGGTCATGAATAATCGGGTAAAGATCGTTCAAGTTTTGTAACTACACTACTTTCCCATTTTTGTTTTTCTTTTTCAACATAATTTGAATTTAAAAAAGAAAAATAATAATCTAATGCAACTCCAAAAATGAACTGTAGTTTCACACTTCACACCTAATAAGTCCACAACGATTTTCATGGCATTTTTAATTCATAATAATCACAGTCGTGTCTGAACGCTGAAGAGATGTCGGTAATGAATATATTCTTCTAGTAATTCATAAATTAGCTGCGCAATCTAAGGGGAATAATTAAAGTATTATTTGGCCCCATTCAGCCAAAGTGTGGGCCCAACAGATGTCTTTGTACCCAATATATGATGTAGACAATAATCAATAGTTTGAAGATTAATTTCATTTATTAATATTACCTACTAAAATTAACATTTTTACACACCAAAAACATTTATACAACATTATATGCCAGCATATAATACATGTTCATAATTTTTACTTCATTTATGTACGTATATTTATATAAGATTTGTATTCATAGTATATTTTACCCGGTGTAGCATAGTATAAACCAGATTGGTATCTTCATTCCTAAATCGTAAATCGTTATTTCTATATGTGCTAATTACAGGCGATTAGCAATACTTAAAAAGAATATTAAAGAAGCTGATCAAATCTCTAAACAGATCAAGAAAATACCTGGAAATTCACTGCAGGAAAAAAAAAAAAAGAGAATTTTGCTTCACTTCATCCCATCTACAGTTCTAACCCTCTTTCCATCATCATATTCCTTATCCTTCTTACATCCTCAAACCTGCCCGTTTTCCGATAAATCTTAATCAAGAGTTCGAAATTATGCTCACCATCCGGCTCCAGCTCAAACAGACGATTCGCGGCTCTCTCTCCAACATCAGCATTACCATGAAGATAGCAACCGTAAAGCAACGCCCCCCAAACAGTGGGGCCCGCCTCGATTCCCATTCCATTCACTATAAACTGGTACGCTTCGTCAACGAGTCCAGCCCTCCCGTAAAGATTGACCATACAAGCATAGTGCTCCATACATGGACTCATCTCATACCGATCCACCATCATCGAGAATATTCTCTCCCCATCACTCACCATTTCTAAATTAGCACACGCTGACAATACCGACACGAATGTAATAACATCCGGCGTAATATCCGAGTTCACCATATCATTAAAATAATCCAGGGCTATGGAGTCCTTCGAGTGGGCCGAAATTATGGAATTCCACGAGACTACATCTCTTTCCCGCATGCACTCAAATAACCATCTTGCTTTGTCTATACTATTTTGGTTCGAATAAAAAACGATTAAAGAATTAGCGACCGATAAATTCCATTCGAGCCCTCTTCGGAGAATCCACGCATGGATTTGCGTTCCGATTTTCTCGGGCGGCATGCTTGTTAGAACTGATGAAAGTGTGACCGAGTCGGGTTCGTATCCCTCTTTCATCATACATTTCAATATAAGCAATGCTTCGATTATAAGACCGTGCCTAATGTACCCGATAATCATTGAATTCCACGAAACCAATTCCTTTTCTTGAATACTGTCGAAAACTCTTTTAGCTCTGATAATGTCTCCACATTTGGCGTACATATCAACAAGTGCGTTCAACACGAATGTATTGTTCCCACAACCGGAGCGAATTACCTGACGATGAACTTCTTCACCGACTTGGATCATCTTAAGTCCTCCACAAGCTTTCAACACCCTCGGGAAAGTGTACTGATCGGGCTCCACTCCTTCCTCCACCATCTGGAAGAACAAAGCCAGTGCATCCTCGTACAAACCTTTTTCAGTGTAGCCCGAGATAAGTGAATTCCACGGGAAAGCTGACGAATTTCGGTGGGGCATTTTATCGAACATCTCGTGGGCTTTTTCCAACTGCCCGCTACAAGCGTACAGCCTGAGAAGCTTCGACGAGATGCCGGCGTTTCTTCGTAGAAGCCTCTCCGGGATGAGTTCGCGAACTTTCATACCGAAATCGATGGCTTTCAACTGGAAGCATGTTTCGAGAAGAGATGCAAAAATTTGGGGGTCGTCGATTAAGATGCCATTTTTGACGGAGGATTCTAAATCGTTGATGACGGATTCGAGTGCTTGGATCTTCGATTGGGGTTGGGTTTTTTGGTCGGATAATAGCGGGGTTGGATGTGATTTGGGGAAGCGGAGATTTGGTTTCTTGTTTTGGTGAACTATTTCGTGTTTACTGATTTTCTTGCTGGCGGAAGAGCATGAAAAAGCTCTGCCTGAACATGGTGGATGCAGCCCCAAATGCATTTCTGTAGAATGCAGTAAACAGAGGATTGTGATAAAATTATCAAAATGTATGAATATTATTCCGATTTTTCTGGTCTAAGAAAAAATGTTTTTTTTTTTTTTTTGGAAAATAAGATAAAATGTTTTTGGAAGAAAGAAATAATTTAGTTTAACAACTTAACATAATTATTATAAGTTAATGGAGTATCATATATTATAGCAAAAACATTCTTTTTTTTTTTGAATACTGTTAATTAAAGAAAGTTTAAAGTTCGAAATCAACATATAGCATTTTATTTTTTTTCCATTGAAGTGCGAACTTTGACATGCAATGCAAGTAGAATAACTAAATAAACATTTTTAGTTTCTAACAAAATCTCCGGATTTATTAATACAAAGGAGTAGCAAAAAAAAAAAAGGGTAAATTGCATTTAACCCCCCTGTGGTTTCACCGATTTGGGCACTTAACCCCCCTGGGGTTGTCAAATTGTAGCTGCCGTTTAATAAACTAACGGAAAACACTAAATGTCTGAAATGCCCTTTTTTATATACTATTTGTTGGTTCAAACCATGACTAAAACTCTTGTATTTTTTTTTACTAAATAAATATAATTCAAAAAGATTTAATTATAAATAACACAAATTTATAGGAGTAAACTACAATTTTCATAACTTCTTTCCCTAATATCTTATTTCCCTCACCATCAAATCGGTCATTACAGCATCTTCAAGAAAAGAAGAATAGGGAAAAAAAAATCAAAAAATCCTCCAAAATATTCATAAACACTTCCCAAAAACAATCAGAAAACCCGATCAAAAATAAAGAAAGCAGCTCGGATTTTAACCTCAAAACCCATTGCTCGCAATTTTTTTCTTCTTCAGCTATATCTCTGCAACTTTCGGTTTTTCTTCGTGGTGGTTCATCCCCTTGTCGTTTCTGCGAATTTTTGATGTCGTTGTGAAGTGGTTGAATAGTATTTTGATAGTGAAAATTGAAACGGCGGCGTTTTGATGGTGGGCTAGTGGTGGTGGTCGGCAGCGTTTTGATGGTGGGCTATTGGTGTTGGTCAGCGGCGGTTTGATGGTGGGCTATTGGTGGTAGTGGTCGGCGGCGTTTTGATGGTGGGCTATTGGTGGTGGTCGGCGGCGGCTTGATGGTGGGCTATTGGTGGTGGTCGGTGGTGTTTTCATGGTGGGCTATTGGTGATGGTCGGCGGCGGTTTGATGGTGGGCTATTGGTGGTGGTCGGCAGCGGGTGGATGTTTCAATATCCAAAACAATCATCTTCTACATCCACATTTCTTCGCCCTGGTTTTTTTTTCGATTTTTGTCGTCTTTTTTTTTTTTTTTTTTTTTTTATTATTATTATTATTAGATTTGGGTGGATAAAGCCTTCAGCCCTCAACAAGTCCTTGTTTTAATTTTTTTCTGTAATTTTTTATTTATGTTTTATAATTTATATACAGGTATATTTTTTATTTAAAAATAAAAGGCTTAATAAACATATGATTATTGAAGAAAAATATAAAATAATTATAAAGTCAGATATGTAATTTTGAAAAATAATTAATTTAGAATAAAAAAATATGTCATATAAATGTAAAACATAATTTTAATAAGAAAAAAATGAAAGATTGGTGTAACAATTTTTATTAAAGGCAAGACAAAAGGATAACATTGGTATTTTTAAAAAATAACCTTGGAAAATCTTCAACCACTTCAATTTTGGGCGAGTGAGATGCACTCACGGTTAACTCTAACGGATTTTTAGACGGCCGCTACAATTTGACAACCCCAGGGGGGTTAAGTGCCCAAATCGATATCAGAGGGGGGTAAATTGCCAAACGGTGAAACCACAGGGGGGTTAAATGCAATTTACCCAAAAAAAAAAGAAATTCGAGTGTCGTATATTTGTTTATCGGATAACACTGTTGTCACGAGTCTATTACATAGTAGCATTGAGCTACATGATGATCTCTGTCAAATACTTGCTCAGAAACCTCGGATTGATTTCTATGATGTTTTCCAGCGCAGAACAAAACTAGCAAAAAATTTCTTTGTAATATGTACAAAGTATTATTTATGATTAGCATTAGAAACATGGTTTAATCTGCAAACAACCCAAGGAAATGTCACATAGCAGAAACGACGAGTCTTTTTTGAAGTTTCTATAGTCAATAAACTTGCACGGTTCATCTTCATCAAATCACCTGCCAGTAAAGAGCATCAATAGGTAGTTTAGTAAATACTTTATACCAAATAAATGTGAAGCCAAACAGCTCAAGCACACGGATCGATGATTGTTTTAGGAGAATATCAGTTTAAATCCGTTAATGCTAACAGAATATGATGGTTTTCAGCAAAGAGATAAGGAAAACAGAAATCCTAAATAGAGGTGTGTTTTATGAAAAAAAAAAAAAAAACAGAATTATAGTATCATGCATACAAGTTTGATTAGGATTTAGGGTAAAAACAAGTATTCTCGGATTTGTTAAGACGTGATTAAAATAATGGACATAAAACTGCATACCGTAATGCAGCAAAAACCGGGCGGACCCTTTCATATATTTCATCCTCTGATCCAGTGCCGTCAATCTGCTAGCAATTAATAATTGCAAAACTTGTATTATTGGATTTATCATTATCCAAGTAAATCAAACAGATATCCCAGCTATAATAGGAAACATAACAAAAAACACATACACATTAAATGAACATAAAGCAGTTCGATTATTTTTTCTAATGTGAAATTTATCTCTTTTGTTAGACCAAAAAAAAAAAGGTAAATGGTTGATGCCCATTACATACAAAGTGACCGAGAAAATGATTTTCTAAAGTAACAAAGTTGTCACCAATAACTAAATTGATACCTTGTAAAGTTTTCCTTTCTTGGAGTAATGCTCGATGACAGGAAGATTTAGTTTTGTGAATACCTTCAGCCTTTCCTTGACTGTATCTAGATTATCATCAATCCGTCCCTTCACAAGAAGATTCTATATCTTATATTCTGAGAGAAACTTTTGTATATTCTGACAGAAGCTTAGAAATGAACGACACAGGAAAATATTGATATACATAAAGCACCTGATTACGGTTTAATACTCGTTTCACCATCTCCTCTTCAGGACAGTCAAAGAAAAGCACAATGTCTGGTTCCGAGCCAGTCTGCAAACACAGCATATCACTCAATATTCATGATTATGGCATAATCAAACAGGATCTTCATGAATAACATTTTCAATTGGATCCAACGAAAATCCGGACACGGATAACTAGCATGGAAGGACAGTAAAGCATACATTGCTAACAACTTGTAGTTGAAAAGAATAATGAATTTTGGTAACTGCTACGAGAAGAAAAAGAAACTCACAACTCGTTCGTATGCTATACGATTCTCTTCAGTTCTTGGAAAACCATCAATGAGAAATCTACAATTTTCGCTTGATTCAATGGCCTTTTGTATCAGTTTAACAGTCACTTCGGATGGAACAATTTTCCCTTCCTTGATTGTATTAAGAATCATGGAACTGCAATAGAAAACCATAATTCTAGATTTAATAAACATAAGAGTGATACAAAACAAGAGATCAATGCCAGACGAGATGCATATTTTTTATTTTTTACCCATTTTCAGTATTAGAAGATATTTCATGTCTCAGCAAGTCCCCGGCACTTAAGTGGGTGAACCCAAAGTTTTCAACAATTCTTGTACACTGAGTACCTTTCCCACTCCCTGGACCCCCTGAAAGCACAACTATCAGATCAGAACCACTCTTGTATAATTCCTGTGAATCACGAGAGCAATCTTGAATAAGCTATTTTATAATTTCCTGATAAATCTCCAAAGATATCCAACAAAACAAAACAAATGCAAAATTCCATTGTTCGCTTTTCTGAAGTTACAACATTAAGATGACAGAAAACACCAACTATGCCTACATGCTTTTAACATATTTAATCATTATTCCTGGAACACTTGTAGACCACTTGTAGACATAGCATAAAAAGAAGTTCAATATATCACTGAAGAACAATTTTATCGAGCAAAATTGTGTTTGCATAAACTCAAAAAATGAAGTATAGAAATTTTAGTGAGCACAATAGTTGAGTCAACAATCGAAAACCAGCTAGTTCATAACCCAAACAAGCAGCTTTAGTTAATGTCAATTACCCAATACAAATGTCACAAATGGGATTCTTCTTCTATCAGAGACTCCACTTTCTGCCTGTACATTAAAAACATGCACACAATGAAATACAAATCAAAATCTTGTTAACAATTGAAATTACGATTTATGAACTGCAATATAATTTTCCATATTGGAACACAGACGAACTGACAACAACAAAATAAATATCAAATTCATGTAAGGTGTAGGGGAAAAATTTGAGAATCGTAATTCCAAATGTCAATCTCATAAAGAAGATTGCTAATCAGCTATCGATTGCCTAACACAATCCCTCCCCTGACAATGGGGTAAGGCACACACTAATTATTAAGGTAGAAACAGTAATAGTAAACTGAATGCAAAGTGAAAACCGATGAATTTTGTAATTACGATTCGGTTCGACAAAAGTTTAAACATGTGAGAAATTAACATATAGAAGGTGTATGTATCAATATATATACTCCTCCATTATTTAAATTCTAGCTGAATGAGAAAATTCTTTTCATATTAAAATCGTAACAAAAAAAAAAGGAAATCACATTACTCGGAATCTAAACTACATTCAATGGCGAATTAAAAAAAAATGAAAAAATGAAAAAAAAAAAAACTCATTAACACGATACCGGGTTAAGAACTTGAGTAGTGAACATTTGCCAAGCATTGAATCCATAGGCAACCTGCATCAGACGAGATACGAACATTCAGCGCAACAAGCTAGAAATTTCATCAGAAACATCAAACAAATTAGAAATTCGATAGAAATTGAAAATTGCGCAAGGTACTTGGTTGCGAGGACATGATTTAGACGAAGAAAACAACGGCGACAGAGAAGACACGCGCCTCCACATCTCCGATCCTTTTTGCACACACGAGAACAACGCGCAGACGGGAATAAGTAAATGAAAGAGAGGGTTTCAGTATCGAAATTGAAGAATGGGTTCAGCTTTTGAGGGAGACTTTCGTCGAACAGGTAACAGGCATGTGTACGCAGAACGGTGTCCGTATGGGTTGGAGAATTAAAATGCAACTTTCCGCTTGATTTGTTATTTAATTATTATTTTTTCCGTTTTTTCAACCCATAGCTGTTACATTAATTATATTATCTCGTACTAATCAACAGGATTACAGGAGTAATTTATTTGGATTAGTAAGGGCTTAATTTCTCTTTGCCCCCTTGAAATATAATTTTTTGCATTTTGCACCCTCAATTGTTTTTATAGCATTTTTAGACCCTTAAGATACAATGAGTCATACATAATGTCCCTTAAATGAATTTTTTTTTTTTTTTGAACAATAAATGAAATTTTTAAAGCTAACGAAGAAATTGGATGCCGATTATGTATTTTCTACTATTAAAGTTGATAAAGTCAATTTAATAAGAATATTCCAATGTTTAAAAACCGGACCGGATTGATCTGTTCTTGTCCGATCCAATGTAAAAAATGAAAAGGCACAAAAATCGGGTGGAAGGTTTAAAACCGGGAAAACCGCTTAAAATCCGGGTGTATTATATACTTTTAGTTTTATTATTTCTTCTATTTTAATGTATCCATACATAACTATTTAAATGTTGCCAAATAATGAGTTATATTGGTAAAAAAAAAAAAACACTAAATATAATTGTCCCATCCAATGGTAGCGCCCCGTAATTAATTAGCATGTTGCGCGCCCTAATCATCCGCGCACCGGCGGCGTATTTTAGCAACGCCCGCCGCTATCTACACTCCGCCGCGGCTCCACCAATCAGAGAAACCGGACTCTATGGATTCGACCACCTGAAAACTCCCAAAGGTTTCAACCGCATGGTCGATGATGCAATTGAACGGTAATAATTTGAAATAATACCACTACGTTCCTTTTCTCTGGTTTCCTTAACTGCATAAATCATAATGCTGTTCAATTAGGTCTAATGAACTCGTCAATTACATTGCTGGAATGCCTTCAGCTCCAGAAATCATTAAGTCGTTGGATGAAATTTCTGATACGGTGTGTTTTCTATTGCTTTTAGTTTAAGATTGAAGTATGGTTAATTAATAGCTGTTGGGGGATCAGCTGGAAATGGAGTATCTTATAAATTTCTGGAGAATTTTAGTTGCTATAAATGATTTGAGTGTGTGTGCGTGTGTGTGTGTTTTTTGGTAGGTTTGTACAGTTATCGACTCTGCGGAGTTATGCAGGCATACACATCCTAATAGGTGAGCTCTCTCCTGCATTCAACCTTGTCTGCGTGTTTTTCGTTTAGATTATTTAAAAATTATACATATACTTGTAAAACAAAGTGGTTACTAGTTTTCGTGTTTGATTTTTGTTTTAGGGAATTTGTCGAGGAGGCAAGCAAGGCATCTTTCCGTCTATATGAATATCTAAGTGTGAGCTGACTGTTCCGAGTTCTTTGGTTTCATAATTCCGTATCTGGTAGTTGGCTATGCTTATGGAAACCCTGAATTGCACCTCTTTTTTCTAGATTTTTTTTTCTGGAATTTCCAAAATTTTCCGTGATTTTTTATGTGGATGACCAAAATAGGAAGTAAACGTATCAGAAAGTAGCTGCAAGTAGGACATGTGATTATTTTATATTACCTCCGAGAATTCAAAGAGTGTTTTTATGTCTGCATTAAGGGATGAAAAACTGTTCCAAGCTATATGTAGATAATTGATTTTGTTAAACTCCGTGAACAGAAGATCCTGAAAACAATCTTATCATGATACCTGCGCAATGATGAGATTCAAAAGCAATATCTGTCAATGGTTAGTAGTTAGTACAGCAAGAAAATAAAGAGAGCATCTACCGAAATAATGTTTGGGAAAAATTTATAGGCTGTTAGAATTTGTTTTAACAATTTTTTTTTCTCAGTTTCTGTGGATATTAAAATTTGTGTGATGAAAATTATGATCTATCAACATTTTCGTATGAGTATAATAGTGTTAAGTATTATTTCCAGTATCTTAACTCAAATCATAGTTTGTACCGCGCGGTTATTCAAGCCGAGAAAAATCATCATATGCTTAGTGAAGAAGCTCTAAGGGCTGCCCGCCATCTACGTAGTGACTTTGAGAAGGGTGGAATTCATCTCAGCCCTGGTACTGATCCTTCAAAGTAGCTGGCATATCTTCTTCTTGTTTCTTTCCCTTTTCTCATTTGATTCATTACAATCCTCATTTTCTTGACAGAGAAATTGGATAGAATTAATCAGCTAAATACAAACATTCTTCAGCTTTGCAGAGAGTTAGTACATAATTTCTTCTTAGCAATTTTTTTCATTCTTTATTTCTCACTTTTTGGCAGGCTAATATTGTCTAATTTGTATTTGAAACATCCATCTTGGTTAACTGCTTGTTTACTACGTGTAGTATCGTTAAATAGATTCTAAGACAAGGGGGAACTGGGGTTTTCTTGATGCTCCTTTTTTGCTAGTCTCTAACCATTCTTCTAAGTTTTTAACTGTATAATTGATTGACAGAATTTTTTTAATGTTTTTCTTGCTTGATTAGGTTCAATGAAAATATTATCACTGATCCAGGTCATGTGGATATATTTCCAGCATCACGTATCCCAAAAAAATTGCACCATCTCGCTAAGCCCATTCGTCATCCTTCATCATCAGAGAAAGGATTACGCTTAGTAACCGAACCTAACACTTTGTGTTCTATTTTGCAATTGACATCTGATGCTGAGGTACCATCCAACTAGATGTTATATATCTTGCACACAAATTTAACCATATAAGTACAAGTGTTGTTTTATTAGTTTTTTTTTTTTAAACCAATAAAGAGATTTATTAGTGTAATTTATCTTGGTTTATTTAAATCAAATACGTTTTGTTTTCTTAATTTTATCAAGGTCAGAAAACTGGCTTACCTCAGAGGAAATTCTGCGCCACGTGCAAACCTGGTAGTCCTTGATAAGCTTCTTTCAGCACGTCATGAGTTTTCTGAGGTTAGTATGCACAGATACTGTACTGCATTTAGTGGTAGTATACTGGTTATGATAGACTTCGATGAAGGCAGAAGTTAGTTTTTACTTATGATTAGGAAAAGACTGTGATTAACGGAAACATAATTGTATGTTATTTTCCCTCGATGAAAACAAAGAATTCCATTACTTGTTTCTCCGAAGTTACAAACAAATAAACAAGGGTTAGAAGGTTCAAACCTGTTTTGAGTGATTACATGTCAATGCTTGAGAGAGAGACAGAATATGGTGTCAAATATCGAATTTGAGCATCACCTTTTATATTTACTATAATTTGTCAAACTGATTTTTTGAGTCTCCCTAACTCTTGCTTTGCATTTTCATGTTTGTTCTGTATTCTCGTACCTTTATCATTTGTTGCAGAAAACCTAGATCAGTACCATCTTCATAACCCTGCTACGTGGTCATTATATGCAGATCTTGGGATATAACTCTTATACTGAATTTGCTGTGAAGGAAAATATGGCTTCATCACCTGAAGTTGTTCTTTCTTTTCTGCATGACATGAGTGAAATGGTCCGACCCAAGGCTGATGAAGTATGTTACTGAAACTTATGTTGACTCCATACCTTAGGCTCTATCAATTTGTTTATAACTAGTGGATGTTCACACTGCAGGAATTCAAGACAATTTCGGATTTTAAGAGGAGAAAGGGTGGCCAATTAGTTGAAGACTTAGAACCATGGGATGAGCCATACTTAACAAGAATGATGAAATCTTCTGCTCACAATTTGGATTATTCAGTTAATTTTGTTTCTTAGCCCTTTTAACCCTTGTTCTCGTGCAATTTGCATATGTTATAGGGTTGCATCTGAATATGTACACGGTACATAGAACTCTCACATGCATTTAATTATATCTCTTCTTGACAAGTCGTATTATTAACTTTCCTGTGTTAGTCTAAAAACAAAGAGTTATAGCTTGTGCAACTTTGCAGGTTGTTGCATCATATTTTTCCTTGCCACAATGTATCGAGGGGTTAAAAGTGGTGGCTGAGTCATTGTTTGGTGTGAAATGTCATGAGATTCCTCTTGGACCTGCTGAATCATGGCATCCAGATGTACTAAAATTATCTCTAAACCATCCTGATGAGGTGCGTAAACGGATATCAGTGATTTAAATTATTTACCCCACCCCATTCAAGATAAAACAGTGTAATCTTGGTACACATCTGCACCATGCGATATCATGGGCTTTAGTATATAAGTTAGTGTCCTAGTTTGCTCTGACTTGTTCATGTAGATCGATGACATTGTTATTCTGTCCTGTTTTTATGTAGCTTATCAATCTATTACCTAATATCATCCTTTCGGTTTGCTAATTTAAATTAGTTTATTTCCATAGGCAAGGAGATGAGTGTTTAGGGTATAGGCACTTGAAATTTGCATTATGCCATTTCGATTAATTTTAAATAAGGGCCTCTTACAATATATTGCATTTCATATCAAATCTACCTCTGCTACATTGAATCTAACGTTTTTCTGTAACTACTTATTATATGTTTTGATGCAGGGGGAGTTGGGATATTTGTACCTTGATTTAAAATCAAGAAAGGATAAGCATCCTATTTGTGCACATTTTGCTATCAAAGGAGGACGCAGAATTTCAGATACAGACTATCAATTACCAGTACGGAAATATTGCTTCGTTTTTTCAATTTGTTTGATGCAACCTTCCAGTAGTATATACGATATAATTGCTACTGGAAATATATATGCATAAAGCTCTTGCCATTTATGTATGATGGTGAACATATTTTGGTTGAGAATTGGCACCAATTGTTGTTTTTGTTTTTACCTGTGCAGATAGTAGCCCTTGTTTGCAGTTTTTCAGGGTCAAGTTTCCAATCTGTGCGTCTTCACCATTCTGATTTAGAAACTCTATTTCATGAGTTTGGGCATGCTCTTCACTCATTGCTTTCACGAACGGTACAATGCATAACTTGGTTAATTTTGATGAACCTCATCCTTGTAGAGTGACCATGATCATAATTTTTCAGAATGATTTCTCTTTCAGGATTACCAACACTTTTCTGGGACAAGGGTGGTTACTGATTTCGCCGAAACACCTTCAAACCTCTTTGAGTGAGTAGATTGTCGTTTCTCAATAGAATGAACACAAAATCTTGGGATTTTCTGATTTATTTGCAATATGTTCTTTGCTAAAGCATCTTATCATGATCACTTAAGAGCAGTGAAAAGAAAGATAAAGAATATCAACCATAATAGTTATGTTGACCTATGTATATCTATGTATGTATCCACATTCAAATTAATGCAATTTTGTTGCTGTATCTGGTGTGGAATGAGTAAAGTCCTAGCTTTAGGGCATTCTGTTCATCTTTGTTCTCTTATGTTTTGGAGGTACTACGCATGGGATTATCGGGTCTTGAAGACATTTGGGAAGCATTATTCAACTGGTGATCCGATACCTGAAAACTTGGTAAAATCGCTACAAGGAGCCAAACGTATGTTTGCTGCAACCGAATTACAAGGCCAGGTTTCTGTCCAAGGGTCAAATTAATTGACTGTCGAAATTATCACGCTACTCATTAGTAATTCGAAAACACGTGTTTGACCCATTGCCTCATTTGCAGGTCTTCTATGCGTTGATTGACCAAGCACTTCACACGGCAAAGCCATCCTCCGTAGAAGACACAATTTCGATAGTGGCAGATTTGAAAAGAGAGCATACAAGTTGGAAGTACGTGGAAGGAACACACTGGCATTCTCGATTCAGTCATCTCGTTTCTTACGGTGCAGGTATGTCTCTGATTCGAGAGCTACTGCAACATTCTAACACAATTAGTCGCTTAAGAGTAAAATTATTTTATCGAATGGCGAGATTTTATTTTTCTTTTATTCTCCATTAATCCGTCAGCACAGGTTACTACAGCTACTTGTATGCAAAATGCTTTGCGGCAACAATATGGCAAAAGAAATGCAAGGAAGACCCGTTGTCGGTAGAAGCAGGATCTGCTCTTAGGTCGAAATTCTTGCAGTACGGTGGAGCCAAAGATGCACCAGCTATATTGGATGATCTTGTTGGGAATTCTGTGACGAAAAATCGGAATGGAGGAATTGTTCCTGATATTACTTGCCTTGGTCAGGAGATGAAACTATTCAAATAGAGCCAGTTATCTTGATAAATCCAAGGAGACAAAATGAATCGACGACTAAGTCTCCAGCCAGGTATGCTGATTCTTTCGTACCCATTAGGGTAGAGGCAATTTCATTGATTCATCGTATGTGAGTTGTTTTGTTATTTAATTTTTTTTCTGAAGAAAATCCCGAGAGAAGACGTCTAGGCAAAAGTCTGCGTGCACTAGGAGCATGAAATTTTCTTAGGATACAAGTGATAACTTGAGCCGTTCGATAATTATATATTTATATTCTCTGAAACTTCCCATGCACCAACTTACCTCCACTAGTAACGTGAAATTCCCTTAGAACACAAGTAATAACTAACTTGGGCCATTTAAAGCTCAAGACCTGTATGTATAAATACACAAGCTTGTCTACTACAAATTTCATCTCTTATCCTCATATAATAAATAGTACACAATGCTCTCTTCTTCCAATCTTTCCCTCACTCTCTTCCTACTTTTTAACCTATTCATCCTCCACCAATCTCTCGCCGCCACCGAAAAGCAATGCCACGTGGACGATGAAAGTGGGTTATTAGCATTCAAGTCCGGCATAATATCTGACCAATCAGGATCGCTCAACTCATGGAAGCCCGGTACTGATTGCTGCAAATGGGCCGGGATAAAATGCAAGCCCGAATTCAACAACCGTGTCACTGTAATAGATCTCTACGGTTGGCCATCGGACGGCACAAACATTTTAGCGGGCCCCATTTCGCCCGCACTCGCGAAACTCCAGTCTTTGGAGTCTCTAAAGTTCGACCATCTCGGAAACTTAACGGGGCCTTTCCCTGATTTCCTCCTATCAATGCCAAACATCACCACTATAATCCTTTCAGACAACAAATTATCCGGTACTATACCTAGAAACATAGTTAACCTCCTCAAACTCGAAACTTTGGCTCTTGATGGGAACCAATTTTCTGGGACTATACCGAGCCTGGGCAAATCGACAAGTTTATTATATCTCAACCTCGGCAATAATCGTCTCTCTGGTGGCATTCCAATCAGTTTTCGGCGGCTGAGGAAGCTTTCCTGGCTGGAGTTGAGTTCGAACCAGCTCACAGGTAGTATACCAGATATCTTTTCTGGATTAACCTCTATTGTAATTCTTTATCTCTCGCATAATAAATTCTCCGGGAATATTCCGAAAAGCCTATCGTATCTTAAACCGATCAACGTCGACTTGAGCCACAATGCTTTAATAGGGCAAATACCAGACATCTCGTCAAACAGTTTCAATGCAATAAACGGACTTAACCTCTCATGGAACCAGCTTTCTGGGGTTATCCCTGAAAATTTTGCGAAATTCACCCAAATAACCCTTCTTGATTTTTCTCATAATAAGCTAAATGGTTCTTTACCTGAAATGAGAATGGCGAGAAGTATGCACGCTTTGGACTTTTCATACAACGATTACCGTTTTGGGAAAATCCCAAAATGGATTGGTAACACATCGACCAACATTCTAGGGCTTGCGAAATGTGGGATCAAGATGAAGTTGAATGATTGGAAACCGACGGTGATTTATGGCAATGTGTATCTTTCGGAGAATGAATTAACGGGAAACCCACTTCAATTCTTGATTAGCCAGAATACGTATCTGATGGGGTTTTGGGCGTTGGGTAATAAGTTGAAATTTGATATGAAACACTTGAAGCTTGGGAAGAAGATGGTCAACTTGGATCTTTCGAACAACTTGGTGTATGGAAATGTGCCCAAGACTGTTTCGAGGCTTCAAGAGTTGAACGTCAGCCACAACCATCTGTGCGGTCAGCTTCCGGCCACAAAGTTTCCGGCAACTGCTTTTCTTGGGAATGACTGTCTGTGTGGAGCTCCACTACCACCCTGCAAATCTTAATCAGCAAAGTTTCTAGGAAATAAGCTCGTTTGATTTCCTAGGATATTTGTGTTATTAAGGATTCCCCTTTACCATTTGATTTTTTTCTTGTCTTTTTATTTAATCTAGCAATAAATCTGTGGAAAACCAAGAATGTTATGTACCATAATATATCGTATATGTTTATTGTCCATATTTATGCAACTGTTTTCAAGGGTCGCCACCCGTTCCTTGATAAAGTTTAAAGAAATAGATTTTGAAGGATCAGCTCTAATCATCTGCTCAATTTGTTTCTGCACAAAATAGTTTGACATTCGTAATATAATAACAAAAAGGCAGATGAGATTAACCCGAGTTGACGCATCTTGACATAATTGATCATTCTTAACTGTCAAATCAGATATTAATCGTTCGCAGCAGCCGATAATCTTTGGATCCGGCGCCGGTGCGTACTTCTTATTGACTTTGACTCTGAAAACCTTCAATTTTTTTTATTTTCCTCCGTGTCATGACGATAAGGATGTAAGCGATGCTTAGTTATATCTATATTTTATTATGAATGAAAATAATAGAAAAAAGGACTTGCATAATCTCTATGCTTTAAACTTGACAGATCATGCAATTAATTATTCACCATGTAAGCAAAAGTCTGCGTGCACTAGAAACGTGCAATTTTCTTAGAATACAAGTGACAACTTGAGCCGTTCGATAATTATATATTTATACATACTCTGCGAAACTTCCCATGCACCAACGTACCTCCCATAGTAACGTGAAATTTTCTTAGGATACAAGTAAATAGTAATAACTAACCTGGGCCATTTAAAGCTCAAGAGCCTTATAAATACCCAAGCTTGGCTAAGGCAATTTTCACCTCTTGTTTCCTCCTTATACAAACACAATGCCCTCTCCTTCCAATTTTCCCCTCCTTCTTTTCCTACTATTCAACCTATTCATCCACCACCAATCTCTCGCCGCCACCAAGAAACGATGCCACGTGGACGACGAAAAGGGTTTACTAGCATTCAAGTCCGGCATAAAATCCGACCAATCGGGATTGCTCAACTCATGGAAGCGTGGTACAGATTGCTGTAAATGGTATGGGATAACATGCAATCCCAAATCCAGTAACCGTGTCACTGTAATAGATCTCTATGGTTGGCCCTCCGATGGCACAAACATCCTAGCGGGCCCCATTTCGCCCTCACTCTCGAAACTCCACTCCTTGGAGTCTCTCAAGTTCGCCCACCTCGGAAACTTAACAGGCCCCTTCCCTGATTTCCTCTTAGCTATGCCAAATATCACCACTATAGTCATTTCAGATAGCAAATTATCTGGTCCTATACCTAGAAATATAGTCAACCTAGTCAAACTCGAAAGGTTGGAACTTGAGGGGAACCGATTTACCGGAACTATACCGAGCCTGGGAAAATCGACAAGTTTAATCCATCTCAACCTCGGAAATAATCGTCTCTCCGGTGGCATTCCGATCAGTTTCCGGCGGTTGAGGAAGCTTATCTGGCTGGAGTTGAGCTGGAACCAGCTCACAGGTAGTATACCAGATATCTTTTCTGGATTAACCTCTGTTGAAATTCTTTATCTCCAACATAATAAATTTTCTGGGAATATTCCGAAAAGCCTATCGTATCTTAAACCAATCAACGTGGATCTCAGCCACAATGCCCTAACAGGGCAGATACCAGACATTTCGTCGAACAGGTTCAATGCAATAAACGACCTTAACCTTTCGTGGAACCACCTCTCTGGGGTTATCCCTGAAAATTTTGCGAAATTCACTCAAATCACTGTTCTCGATTTTTCTCACAATGAGCTAAACGGTTCTTTACCTGAAATGAGATTGGAGAGAAGTATGTACGCTTTGGATTTGTCGTACAACAATTACCATTTTGGGGAAATCCCGGAATGGATTGGTAATACATCGGCGATGATTCTAGGGCTTGTGAAATGCGGGATCAAGATGAGGTTGAATGATTGGAAACCGACGGTGCTTTATGGCAATGTTTATCTTTCAGAGAATCAATTAACAGGGAATCCACTTCAATTCTTGATCAGCCAGAATACTACTTTGATGGGGTTTTCGGCGTTTGGTAATAAGCTGAGATTTGATATGAAACACTTGAAGCTTGGGAAGAAGATGGTCAACTTGGATCTTTCGAACAATCTGGTTTATGGAAATGTGCCCAAGACTGTTGCGAGGCTTCAAGAGTTGAACGTCAGCCACAACCATCTGTGCGGCGAGCTTCCGGCCACAAAGTTTCCGGCGACTGCATTTCTTGGGAATGACTGTCTGTGTGGAGCTCCACTACCACCCTGCAAATCTTAATTCAACATAGTTTCTAGGTAATAAAGCTCGTTCGATTTCCTAGGATCTGTATTGCGAAGGATCCTCCTTTAGCATTTGAATTTCTTGTTTTTTTCCCTGTAATCTAGCAATAAATTTGCGTAAAACCAAGAATCTTATGTACCATTATATATCATATAAGTGTATTGTCCACATTACTGCAACTGTTTTCAAGGGTCACCACCCATTCCTTGATAATCGAATTCACTTCATTTGGCAGCTCGTCATGAGGACAATGCCCTGTTAAGATAATTCAAGTTTAACTGTTTTCAGGTTATCTTGAAACAGAATGATATAACAGAAAACAAAATTGCAGTAACATTACCAGCATTTATTTCTTTTATTGCAGCCCCTCTGCAGTGTTCTCTGAACATAGCTAACATCGACTTGGAGTCGGACAATGGATCTTTCATTCCCTATCAAAACAACAAAATAACTTGTATGAAGAGATCGAATCACAAAAAGAGAAGCCATTTAACGGTATCAAAAAGGACACATTACCTGTATTATGAGCAACTTCTTCTCAAATCCCTCCAAAAGATAATTTAGAGGAAGTGACAGATCAAAGCTGAAGATGCTTTCCAGAACATATATCACACCAGGGTCATATGACTGTAAGTTTGTTAAGGCCTTGCATTTGAAATTTAAAAAATAAACAAAAAATGGACACTTTCTAGATAAAGCTTTCAACAAATAGATTTTGAAGGATACAGCTCTAATCATCTCAGTTATGAGCCAATCATCAGCTCTATCAGTTTTCTGCATACAGTGGTTTTAGGCATTCATAATATAATAACAAAAAGGAAGCTGAAAAGTAGGGCAACACTTACTGTTGGATAAAAGTTCCTTAGTATATTCTTGATATTGAATCTCAAGTACCCCGAAAGGACTCTGGCCCCCAACCATGCGGCTCCTGAAGTCCGCCTATCCTGGAATATTACTCAAGGGATAGAAGAATCAGGACAAGAGATCCACACACACACACACACACAAAAAAAAAAGGCAATTATGGAAAAATTGAAAAAAAATGCATAAGTGATATGTTTAAAGTTTGTAATCAGCTCAGATTAAAATCTTAGGTAGATATGGAATTGTACGGTACCCAGTAGATATCAGGCTTTTTAATATGCATGGACTATGAACTTAGAAGACTATCAGAACAATTTCACCAACATATAAAAGAAATCTAATACATGAAAACAACAGTTAGCCCTTAACCATAAATTTAAGTATCTCTTACTTTTGAATAGCTCAAAGGAGAATATCCAGGAACAATATTGCCAGCAGTGTTCATAAGGACAACAGACTTGACTAAAGAAGACCAGAGACCAGCCAAAATAGCAACAGAATATCCTGCAAATGAGAGTGAAAGTCAGTTGATGAAACATATAATGAACACATAGAATTAATTTGTTCTGTTCTGTCTGAATCCTAACAATATATTTTTGTTTTCATGACTTTGCCAAGTCAGCTTAAGATGTAAGAGTTGCGCTGGAAGGTCCGTGTACGTACCACCAATTGAGTTCCCAACAAGATGGACAGGTTCCCCAACAACCTCAATTATAAAGTCGCGAACCAGCTCAGCCCATACGAGTTCAGTGTATATGATGTTTGGTTTTTCTGATTTCCCAAAACCAAGTAGTGTGATTGCCCAAACTCTATTGCCAGACTCAGCTATGGGATATACATTATCTCTGTAATGCTCCAAAAACGCACCAAAACCATGCACAAGAAGAATAGCAGGACCTTCCTGACCAGCAACTGTATACTGAGAACATTAAATCAATTTTTATGAGGTAAAGTATTCTTGACCCGGGTAAAGTTAATCAATTGAGTTTTGACTAGAATGATTCCAAAACATGTTGAATATACATTACTCACTTGAATTAGATAATTATTCCATCGCCATATCCGAATTGGGAATTTGCCTGCCTCATTGTTTCGACCTTTCAAATTCAAAAGCCAATACCACTAGCCAAAGTGAAGATTGATGTTAGAAATTGGTCAAGTAATTGCCTGTACAATTAATTAAAATGCTCGAGCCCATAGGTCAGTGAAGAAGCAATTATTCAGAATAGAGTAACGAGTAACAATACCTCCATCGAAACCACAGTATTGATTGTCGCAGCCACTGTAATTGTAGAATACCCAAATGGGGATAAGAATCCTCCATTTCGTTCTTTCTCATATTTGATAGCCTCAAAGTATACTCTGTTTCTGGAAATAATGCCAAGAAGAAGGGCAGAACCAAAGAGGGCTTGAAATGAAGCTCCTTCTCGCGTTTCAGCTAACCGCAGTTTATCATGTACCCTGCAACATAGGTTTTCACAAAATTAGTTAGTTTCTGAAGCTTTTAGCTGTAACATTGAGGCTATCTATTTACAAATAAATCTGATAATCTCACTCATTGGGCCATCAAAGTAGAACACATCAGAACACGTGTGTCCATTAGTTACTTCTGGATTGAGGGACCAAGTAATACATAATAATTTGAAATAATACAGTTTCATTTAATCAGTGATGAAACAGTTACTTCATTGAGTCCAGTTCAACAAGTCAAAACAAAACCAATTAAGCTATTCTGTTTATTTTAACCAAGACAAGCAGTTCACAAACAGGGAATGCAGTAAAGAATAGGAAATAAGAAAATCAAAGTCTTGGATCTAGTAGACCTACTCCTGATATTCATCTCTGGCAGTTCCTTCCAAGTATCGCAAGTAAGCAGCCAAAGCATTCAACACAAGGCTAGATCCACCTCCTACTGAGCTCCCTTGGCTTGTTAAAAATGCTGATTTTTCTGATTTCTTTCTTAGGGTAGTTCCGATACTAGAACCTTGCTGATTGTCCTCTTTCAGTTCTCCTGGCTTCAATACACGATTTTCCCTCAGCTTTCTTTGTAACAGATTTTCAGCAGAGAACTTTTTAATGGAAGTCCATTCTTTTTTTGTATTGCCACCAGTGACATCGTCCACGTATTTTTTCAAATCGTCCAAGGTGGGAAGTGTACCTAAATCATACACGGCCATTTCATTCCAGGTCTCACATCATTTTAGAGAACGTGGTAAAATTTGAAGACAAACAAAATGAATCACTTACCCCAAGACAAACTCATCACATTGCCAGGTAACTTTGGCGGCAGAAGAGGGGAAACAATAGGTAGCTTGAACTTTTGAAAGTCATCAAAAGATGATGGCAGATCCCTTGAACTCTATGAAAAAAATAAGCACCGATATAATCATCCAAAAACTCACCCAATAGTAGTAATGAGAACAAGAGCAATACTAATGATGATTGAAAGTGTAGAAAAGAAGAATATGAACTATATAAGAAAATACCTTAACGTCATAAAACGGGGAGCTCCACATAACAATCTCGGGGTTGTTTCCATTAAAAGATGAAGTAGATAATGACTCCTTAACAAGATCAACCATTAAGCAGAGCTCATACTCCACCTCCTCTTCTACAAATATATTGCTAGCCTGGACCTGTTATAGTACTCGAGATGAACACAAAGAATAAATAGAAAAACACTTGAAATATTCTCATCGTTCCGTAGCTCTAAAATATATCATATTAGAACAAGTGAACTAGATGAATTTAAGCACCTCTTTGACTAGTTCGCCTATGACATTTTCCGCACTTCCAAACCTGACCAACAGATTGGAACCCTGCTCGGTAAGCGATTTCTTTAAATCCTCCAAAGCGAAGAGGAGAAGTTCTAGCATTTCATCCGAAAATCCTGCACATACAAAGTTCTGAATACGATGAATAACAACTACACATAAACCAAAGAGCTTCACCACTAATTCGCATTTAATCAGCACCGATTGAAAAGTTTTACATGTAAGGTTTCATTAACAAGTAGTTCTCCTGATCTACGGTGCACTAACGAGTCAAGTAATTGCATATTAAATTAATCAATTATATATGTATAGTCATTAAACAGTGTGCAGTCATTTTCACAGAAGCGCAATTTGAACAAGCTTTGAGCAACAGAGTAACGATTTACGTGAGAGAATGCGGCGATCGAAGATGTACAGTGGTACAACACAACGATGCTGGGAGGCGGCGTTGAGCCCGAGGTGATCTTCTACGCGGAGGTCGTGCTTGTACCACAGAATAGCAGTACCGGACTTCCCCGCCGCGCCGGAATCAACTCTCGTATTCACGGCGGAGGCGGAGAATCGGCGACGGCGTTCGGGCGCGGAGAATGCCTGTATTTGGAATACTCCGACGGAAAAAAGCCGGGGGTGAAAGTGAACCGCCATGAGAGGAAGAAGAGGGGGCAGCAATTTGGGTGCGAAAATCTGGATTTTGTTTGAGAAGTGAAATCCATTAAATATCAGGTTTTATATATATATATATGTATGTACATATATCTTCTTCGCGTGTATGTGTGATTCAGAAGTATGAGAAAGCATATGAACAACTACATGGCAACGAAATTGTGGTGCACAAATGCCGCTGAGATTCTTCTGTGTGTGTTTTCTGTGTGAGAGAGAGAATTTGTTCAGTGATTATTCAAATTAATCTTTTTGCGGTTTTAGAACATCTAAACGACGTCGTACCGATGAAAATTTAATCTTTTTGTACATTATAATTATTTATTAATTAAAATTAATTTCTAAATTTCTATACTATTGATTTGAAAATTAACTTTCTATTTATCGCACTAGTCATTTTTAGATTCAATTTATATCATTACATTTGAATTATTATTATTTTCAATTTAGGGATTAGCACTAAGTACAAATATATAGGAATAGGACCTCAATTTGTCACAATATATAAATATTTAATTTTTAATAAATACAGTAATACAGTAGACAGCAGCTTAAGAAAGATATATACAGAGCAAAAAGAAAAAAAAGCTAAACAAAACTGAAAATGGCGCTAATACTCCACCAATTATCATCGTCTTCATCTTTTACTACCAATAAACCCCTTTTCCTCCACCACCACATCCTACCCCACCCAAAGCCCACCAAAATTTCCATCAAATCCGAGCAAAATTCTTCAACAGAAGAAACCAATTCGGGTTCGGGTCCGGGTCCTTCCGCCAAGAAGCCCGGTGGCTCATCAACAGGCTTGGGATTCGGCTCATCAACTGCGGCTCCAGCCAATAAAAATCAGCCGAAGGGAAAGAGAGAGAGGGCTTCTATTATCCGCCGAGAGCCGGTGGAGAAACCAGTTTTCGCCACGGCGCAACAGACGGCAAAAGCGGAGGAGATGATGAAGAATGAGAGTGCTTTTCTGCTTGCTTGGTTAGGGCTCGGCTCCATTATTCTTGCTGAGGGGCTTGCTCTTTCTGTATCAGGTTTTGGCTTTCACTTATAATATTTTTTTGCCCCTTTTTTTTTCTTTTAGCAATTTGATTTGAATTCGAAGCTAATTGTGATGTTTGGAAGTTTTATTTTTTTGTTATTGCATAAAGTTTTTAAGGTAGATGCACACCAATTTAAAATCGGAACTTATTAGATTAGAGGGCTCGAAGCCGTTACTCAATAAAGTCATTAGAACCAATTAAACAAAAATTGTTCTATCTTCAAATTGTAGAATGACACACGGGATGAAAAGAAAAAAAAATAACTTGCGAAAAAACGTCACGTAAGAAGAAATAGATAGAGTAGTATGTAAGAGTTAGCAACTTGCGAAAACGTCACGTAAGAAGAAACGAATAGAGTATTATGTAAGAATTAGCAACTGTTACGGACCTAATTAGATTGAATTATTTCCGTACGAGTCGGGTTAGAATAGTTCCCATATGGCATTTTTATCGTGTTTTAATCACGTTTCCACCGATTTCTAGTTTCTAATGATGCACCACGGGCTATTACGAACTGAATTTAAATGGAGTCGATTGGTTCTAATTAAACCACACTCGAAATCCGCTACTTTAGTTGTGCTTATAATAAGCTAAGGAAAAAAAATTAGGATACGTTTCTTGAAATATAGTTTATGATATAGAGAAGAGCAATTTTGCCGTTTCTTTTTTTTTACTCTGGTATCAGTTTAGCCCGATATATATCTAATAGTACTTGGTCAGTTTCGCAGTGTGCGATTGATTATCCTTAGACGTGAAATTTGTGCTGCTAGTACATTGGGATATTTGCTTCGTCCTGTAAATTTTTGTGGTTGTCACAATTAACATTCTTATGTATAATAATGGAGTGATACGTAACATATTTTCGTGTTGTGCTATCCAACTGTAATTAGTATAGGTAGAGGCTCGATCCTCGTACCGGCTCCTCGTTTTTTTTTTTTTTTTTTTTTTTTGCATTCAATACTTTAGTGGTGTGGTGGGATTTGGTTTGAATTTACTTGTATGCATTCACATATTGGATCCATATCATTGAAAAGCTCGAGCTATCTAAGATAGGAAAAATTAGTCATTTTCTGAAGTATTTTGATCTTTAAACTCCATTATTTGTACCGACCGAGTATAATTATTTGCTATTGTAAATACAGGTTTTCTGCCGGAAGCATGGGATAAATTATTGGTCAAATATTTATACCCGTCTTTCACTCCGACTGTGTTCTTGTTTATTGCTGGAACAGTCACCTACGGACTTTTAAAATACTTCCAGAATGTTAATTCGAATACCGAAAACTGAACACTCACCGCAATTTTGCTTTATTATTATTAGCAGTAGTAGTATTTTTTATGTTGTTGTTGTTGTTGTAATGCTTGATTGTTTGTCATTGGATGATTGAAATTCATAACGACATTGTAAAGAAGAAGAAAATAAGTTTTAATATGATAAATTGTTCGGATTTATTGAATTTCTGGTCCATATGAAATGGGTTGTTTCATGTTTCGATCTACACTCTGATTATGCCTTTTAGCAGGTACAGTTTGTTTTCGAGTGTTTATATTGTACCATGTTTCTCTTAGTGTCCGACTTTTTATTATGCTAATTGACCGGATCTATTATTCCCTGCAAGCTATTGCAGTCTTGTGAACATTTCACATCGTTTTTTTCGGTACTATCTTCGAAAAAAGAAGAAAAAAAAAAGATATTCGTATTCTGAATTACAAATAAACTTTTGATGAATCCACCTCACACTAAATCTGCAAAAATCAGGCATGCTTGCCTGCATTTCAGACTATGATCATCTGATAAACTCCATTATGTTGCCCCTTGGAATTTTTTTTTTATTTTTTATTTACTTTCTTTTCTAAATATACCATGTGACAAAGTAAATGAATATTTATCATACTATATACATTAGAAACTGAATTAATTTGTTAATACTATGATTTAATTTGAAAGAGACATGATGTGGTCCGAAGATTTAATATGCTTAAAGAGATGCACACATTGTTGATAAATTGGAAGGTATGAAAAGGTATAAAAATGAAAAAATGAAAAAAAGAAAAAAAAAAAGTGGACCACTGTATAGCTTCTGAAGCAAAGTTGGTCCTTTATCTTTTCAAGAATGGGGCTGCACTCTCTTTTTGTCGAATGATATCTATTTTTTGGTCCCCTACTTATTACATTATATTTTTCTCCTATTTTCCTCTTAAGACCAAATATTAGGACCCTTGTCTAAAAGTGATCGATGATCCATTATTTAAACAAATTTCTTGACTAAGCTTATAAGTTGTTGAAAAAAACGTATAAGATGTTTAATGACTCATAAGTTACTTCAAAGTGTTTAGTATTTTTTTCTCTATAAAATCTTTAAAATTCAAAAAGTAAGCTGATGTTGTTTAAAAATAAGCTTAGTTTAATGTTTTAGGTCCATTTTTTAGAGTTCGGTCAATATGTATTTGGTTCCTCCGGAAAATTGTATGCATGGTAATTAATAGGGCAAATTACTGTCACCCCCTAAAATAAGGTCAGATTACGGGAAAAAATCTCTCTTGTTTATATAATTACAATCACTTTCCTTTAATTCTGTATTATCTTACGTGTTTATCCTTATAGCGTTAAATTTACCTATTGAGAATTTTTTTCATAAAACAATACAAAGTTGATAGGGTGATTGTAATTACTCAAACTAGAAGGGGTCTTTCATATTTTAACTTTATCTTAGGAGGGTGATAGTAATTTACCTTAATTAATATCAACTACTAGATATTTCAACAAAGTGTATTTAATAAGAGAGTTGAAATTCAAGGCTATTTGGTCTTTTTTCCATATTGTCCTTTTCCATTATTGAATTAAATGATATGGATCATGTAATAATGATAAAAATGACTTTTCTGCCCACCGCCCAATAATGAGGTACATGAAGAACATCGACAATTTTATTGAAAATGTACCTAGTGCAATGACAACCCTTTAATCTTTATTGCTTCATTTCAATTTATATAAATCAAGAAATTAAATATTCAAATTTTTGAATGCAAAATCTTACAAGAGTTGATAAATATTCAATTATTATCATTTAAGGTAAGAGACAAAGTTAATATTAACTGCGCAATTTTACATAGATGTACATATACCAAGTAAATATTAACTGTAAGTAAATATGTAATGACGCTAATTATACCGATAAAATTATTCTAATCACAGTTACATTTGAAGTTTAAACGAGTTAGTAAATAATATGTTTAGCTACTCATGCAGCCATTCAATGTTAATGAATGATTTAAGTTTTGCAAAATGTTAAACATAATTTATTTATGATTATTTTCTTTTATGAGAATAGTGTTAAACATAATTCACTTTCACATAATTAAAGCCTTATTTCATCAAATATAGAAAATTTTCGTCTCGCTTTCACTAAACTCCTCCACCCACTTTTTGGTCATGTGCCCTTTGTACAGCAAATTACAGAAAACTCCCCCAAAAATATCAAGAAGATCTTTTTAAAGTATAATTACCAGAAATGGAAAATATATTTCTCTCCTAAACCTAACCACTTTGTTCTCACTTCTCACATCCGGTAAATTTCAGTCCTTTTCAGTTAAAAAACATATATGTAGTTCAGTCATCATCACTTTATTACGGTAAAAGGGTAATTCTAATAAGTTACTACCCCCACTCTCTCTCTCACACACACGCACAAAGAAGAGCTTATTACATTTGGCTCCTTATATTATTTCAAATTGCTATAGAATCTCATCATATTAGTGAAACATATATAGGGTAAATTACGGTCACCCACCCCTGAGGTAAGTTTAAATTACGAAAAATCTCATCATTTTGGATAATTATAAGTTTACAACCACCATCAACGACTAATCTTCTTACATATTCGCCTTTGCAGTGTCAAATTTAGTGAAATCTTGTAAGTTATGTGAAATATTTTCCAGTTTGTACCCGTTTTACCCCCCAATCGAGCTCGATATTTGAAACAAGGTGAACATAAAATGTGTCTTTTTTTCTCAAAACGAGTACAAACGAGATAACATTTCACGAAATCTAGAAAATTCTGTTGAATTTGACACTACAAAGGTCGACGTGTAAGAAGATACATATTTGAGGGGTGTCGTTGTAATTACCCAAACATAAGAGATTTTTTTGTAATTTAGTTTTATCGCTTGATTAGTCAAAACTTATAAAAAAAAATATTGAACCCAAAGAAATATTAACTACATTATCTAATATTCCAACGAATCCATTGCAAACAAAAATCCAAAAATCCCAACAAAAAATAATTTAGACTAAAGGCAAGAAAAGGAAACCCGAACCGAAAGAAGAAAAAGGGGCAAACCAATTAATTTACTGATCAAGTGCATTAGGGCCACTGCAGTAATTCAAGAGATGGTTCCAAACCCACTGAACCAAGAACCGCCGTCGGATCCCGTTCATGTTATACGTGGCACCATCTCTATCGTTCATCATCTGACCCGTGTACGAACCCCCTCCCCCAGTTCCGTAAATGCCCTCGCACAAATCAGCTATTTCCACTGGGAAAACCGGGTCCTGACCCGCATACCAAGCGTTGACCAACGGATTCGTGGCCAGCTCCGCTATCTCATGGGCAATCACGCTTATCATAGCGTCGACGCCAACGTCGCCGTTAGGTGACTTAACGGCCGTCAGATTCGGGATGTAACTCGGCACGGCGAACGGGTAGGCGCAAACGCCGGGGCACAGCTTGGCGGAGTTCCCCACCCAGGCGTACGGCAGCGTGTACCCCACGATCGACGGGAACGTGAAGTAGTGGAATCCGCAGACGTTGTTGCAGAAGTCCTGCACGTACACGTCATCCGACGTCAGCAGGAGGTAGACCCCGCTCTTAGGGTTGATCGGGAGGGGGCGCGTGGAGGCGGTGACGGCGGATTTTATCACGGACTGGACGGAGAGGCGCGTGAGCGACTTGCCGTGGGAGTAGAACCGGTCGTTCTTCTCCTCGCCTACGTGGACGTTGCGGGAGATGTTGGCGCCGGTCTGGTCGGTGTACTGCTGGACGGTCTTCCACCATCCGGCGACCGACGGCGGCTTGGAGTCGGCGGCGGATATGGAGCCGATGAAATCGCGGATAATCCGCTTCTGAGAGCTCTGCCACGCGCCGTACCAGATGGGGTAAACGGTGATGTTCGCCGTGAGAACCGGACCCATGTGGTATCTCAGCTGAACAAACTCCGATGAGCCTTCGAACTTTTTGGACCCACCGAAGAGAAAATCTGTCGAGTTGAGCTGAGAATTGGGCCATGGGCGCCAACAGATGACCGGGCCAACGAAGAAAAAGAGGAGGAAGAAGAGTGGCGCTAGGGTTTGCGCCGCCGTGGGCGGTGGTGCTGGGGGCATTGTTGTGGCTGAGTGAGGAGAGGGTCTAGTGAGAGAGAGTGGGGTTGAAAGGGTTTTTATAGACACAGTGAGAAAAAGGTGCCTAATATGTATATATGAAAGAATTTCGTGTCAACAATTTAAAAATTGCGCTAAGGGGCCCCACCTTTTGTTTATTTATTTTTAAATTCATTTTACACAGCACAAATTAAATATTATTATAATCCAGAAACACTCAATTAAAACACAAAAATCCAATACGTGTGGGGTTCTACGGTATAAAGTCCGGCCCGGATTTTGCTCCGGTTTTGGATTCTTTTTCCGGAGTTGTTCTTTTTTGGCGGGAAAACACTAAATTGAGAGGGGTAGTTTGGGGATTAGGAGTTGTTGAGCACGCCTTTTGATCAATCATTTTGTGGGCCCGGATGTGTTTATCTTTTCAACCCAAAGGCCGAAAGGTGTTTGAAATTAGGGGTAGCATAGCATTATACTGTTCGTACGCGCCAAAAGACTTGTTACTGCTCATTCAGTCATTTGTTTTAGTCCACGTCCTTGTAAATAGATTCTCACTATTCCAATTATTCCTTTTTTTTTTTTTTATATAGCAAAATATAAAATATTTCTGATTTTATTATGATGAAAATTACACACATTTTGATATAGTAGCTACAAGAAATTTACAAATATTAATTAGGGATGAAACTTTTAATTTTCTCCGACAATTGATATGGATTAGATCATATTCGGATAACCGGTAACAAAGATATATGAATATAGTAACATATGCATCGAAGTTAAAAAGATAAATGCATATGTTCATCCAAATTCTGCAACCAAAAAAAAAAAAAAGGAAAATCTATATATGTATCCAATAACTTGATGAACTAGTGCCTCACAAGTGATGCCCCCTGCACAAAAACACTAATGAAAATATTATGTCGGTAAAATGTTGAAATCGCTTCTGGAACGAATTTGGAACAAAAGTCTCATAGCCATAAGCATTCTTGATTGCCTATAAAAGCAACAAGTCATAAGGTTATAACTCAATAAGTCACACTAATAATCATAGGGAACTAAAAATAAAGCCATGTGTATATATTATATAAGAATGTAGATATGTGTACGACAAGTAAAATTATGGAACATATAGCAGCCAGCAGCTTAAGAAGAGCAAAATGAGAAAAAATGATTATTACCTATAAAAGGTCAGCACGAGGGAGAAATTCAACAAAAGTCTACATAGTTGTGTGCGATGGAAACACGAGACCGAAAAGTTTTGGGATGAAACTGAATTCCACGCAGTCCTCATCAACATTACCACCAGCAACTAAGACCATAACATGAATACTTTGTTTAACTCGACTAATTTCAATGAACTGAACGATCTCAAATCAAGGTATTGAGTGGATTAGTTTGATTGCCAGCCCTACATATATATATGGGCCGAAAAACGTAATTTACAAACAGACACGCGTTTGTTCACCACCCACTAATTGGAAAACCACATATTCCGCAGAAATAACAAAATAAGAAGAATCTCAAATAGAAGAAACATAAATCGGACAACCACAGAATCTAGCAATAGCAGGCAAATTGCCAAAATGGCATTGGCCTCCACACACCATCATTTGTTTTCACATATAAAAAAAGGATTACATTAAAGTTAACGCAACTTAATATTTCATAAGCAAAACGAGTCCATGTACCAAGAAAAGAAATTTTAATACCGAGATTCAAAGCTAAGTAGAATGAACCGAGTTCCGGCAACACAGTCTTGTAAATATGTAGATAGATTCTCACTACAAAATAATGAAACACGTAGTAGCAGCAGGTTAAGAAAAAAAAGCAAAACGAGAAAAAAGTGATTATACCTACGGCAGGCGAGGACGGACAAGATCAACAAACTCAACATAGTTATGTGTGACGGAAACCCGAGCTTCGAGAGTTATGAAAACATCATAACGAGACTTAGCGGTAAACACCAAATCCACCATAGAGCCTGTGGTCGATAAATGTCTAGTTGCACGCCCCAGATCCCCCATACTGTATATGTTAGCCTACACACACACATATATAATAAATTAAAAGAAGAAGCAATTATTGTCATCAATCATTTAAACAACAAAGAGAAAAAAAGGGATGGATACTTGGATCTTGTCGTAGACTTGAAGAGCTAAATCGGCGCATCCCTGGATCATTTTAATAGTATGAGCATCACAGGAGGTGGGATCTTCTCCATCATAAATGACAGAGCCCAGAGGAAAAATTCTCATGGGCAAATTGTCTTGATCCTCTGGAAATTCAATGTACTCTACATAATCATTTCTCAGGGAAACCTCGGCCCGAACAGTTATCGGTTTCTTACCCTCCTCCGGCGGCTCGGGCTTAACCTTAAAAGCCATATGCAACATCGAAGTTCCGAATCTAATTGCAGTTGCGTGCACCATTTTCACAAAACTGTATTTGTTGATCTACACACACACACACGCCCACAGAGGTGGTATAAAAGAAGAAGTAATTAAAATTCAAATAAACACCAATTTAAATTATATTGAAAAGAAGAAAAAAACAGAGAGAGAAGATGAATGAATACATACATGTGTTTGGTTGAAGAGATCAATAACTAATTGGGCACATTTTTTCATAATTCGCATGGAATCAGGATCATCGAGGGTCGGATCTCCGTTGTACCAAATTTCCATTCCTCCTGGACTAAAACATTTTGGTTTATTTTCCGGTTCTTTCATCAGAACTTTTTGCACTTGCAATTTCTTCTTCTTTTCCTGTTTCTTCATTGAAACCGTTTCCGGTTCCTTCATCGGAACTTTTTTCATCAGAACAAGCGATCTCTCTCTCTCTCTCTCTCTCGATCGAAACCCTAGTCTGTTTTCACCTGAGGAAATGGGCTGGATTTTGAAAATGAGTTGGGGAAAATGGTTGGGGGCAAACTCGTCTATACCATATTAATGTACTTTACGTAAAATGGTAAAATTGGAATGCCCTAATATGAAAGGAAATTAGCTCCGAAAGGCGTTTAGCATATTGCCAATTTTTTATTTTTTTTTTTGCATAAATATATAGCAAAATATAAAATATTTCCGATTTTATTTTGATAAAAATACACACATTTTGATATAGTATCTACAAGAAATTTACAAATATTAATTAAGGATGACACTTTTTGTTGCCTCCAATAGTTGATATGGATTAGATCATATTCGGGATAAACAGTAACAAAGATATATGAATATAGTAACATATGCATCGAAGTTAAAAAGATATATGCGTATGTTCATCGAAATTCTCCACCAAAAAAAATAACGGAAAATGGAAAATCAATATATATATATATGCAATAACTTGATGCATGAACTAGTGCCTCAAAAGTGTTTCCCCTCTGCACGACTAATGAAAATATGTATATAATATATGTCGGCAAAATGTTGAAATCGCTTCGGAACAAAAGTCTGATAGCCAACTAACTTGCAACTCTCAGCAAAGATGTGTTATCCCTCTCCGAAGTATTATTGATTAATACAATGAAACGAACACGAACGATCTCAAATCAAGATTTGTTTGATCGCCAGCCCTAAATATATATATGGGCCGAAAAATCGTAATTTACAAATTCCGCAGAAATAAACAAAAAAAGAAGAATCCCAAAGAGAGGAAATTAAACATAAATTGGACAACCACAGAATCCAGCATTAGCAAGCAAATTGCGAAAATACAAAAGCTAAACATTGTTCCAGCCATCCACGTGGCATTGACATCCACACACCATAGTTTTTCCGATTAGATTAAAGTCAACACAACTTAATATTTCATAAGAATACTATATAATAAATATGTATAGCTACTGTGAACATGGATCACCTGCAAAATGAAAAAAACCCGAGAGGTGTTAAATGAAAAAAAAAACAACAAATTTTCTAGACTAAGTAGAATGAAGTGAGTCCCGGCGGCACACGGGCTCGTCAACAAAGTCGAGATAGGTTCGATATCATGTATATGAAGAGTAAAAAATTTGAAACATAGAGCAACAACTTAAGAAAAAAAAACACAAAAATGAAAAAAAAATAAAAAAAAATGATTTACCTATAGCAGTAGGCTCGTCAACAAAATCAACAAACTCGACATAGTTATGTGTGATGGAAACACGAGCTCGAAAAGTTTTGAGAGTATCGTCCTCGTCATACACAGGCCTAGCGACGGCGGTAAACCTTATAGTCACCGCAAAACCGCCGGATAGATGCCCGGTTGCGTGCACCAGCTTCAAAAAATCGTATTTCACGTACTATAATACACACATAAACATATTAAATTAAAATAACAAGCAATTATCAATTATTCATTATTAATAGCAACAGAATAAACATGAACAATTTTTTTTTTTTAAGAAAAAGATGGAGAGAGAGAGAGAGAGAGAGAGAGAGAGAGAATACATACATGTGTATTGTTGTAGACATAAATAGCTAAATCGACACATTCCTTGAGAAGATCCATTGTTTTACCATCACAGCGGGTCGGATCTCCGTCGTACCAGACACAGCCCACATCTACCTCTGCAAATTTTTTCACCGTTTCCAAATTCTCCTGATTGTCTTGCGGTTTCGAAACTTTGATGCCGTCGCCGGATTCACAGCAAGCCATATCGGAACCCTAATCGTTTTTCCCCCTTTGTCGGCTTCTAAAAGTTTATAATTTTTTTTTTTTTTGTCTTTATTTATTTATTTATTTATTTTTAAAAAGGGGTTTGGGGATTTGGGGATTTGGGGGTTGGTGGGGGTGGATTTTGAGAATGGGTTGGGCTGTGACACCTTGATTCACTTTTGGATTTCTTATTTGGGGAAATTGTAAATTTGGTCCTATATGTTGTTCTGTTTAGCGGTTTAGTATTTTAAGTTGTTCTATTTCAATTTTACACGCAATAATTATGTAAAATTAGTATTTTTAGTCCTATTTTCAATTTTAAGTTGTCATATTTCAACTTTGAATTTTAGTTGTTGTTTAATGATGTATCTCACAAATTCGTAGAAATTTATTTATATGGACACTTAAAAGTTATAAATACTACTCTAATTTGATTTATAGATGAATCGTCTCACATGATTAAAGTTCGACAATTGGTAAGTTAGATGTTGAATTTATAAATTTCCAAGTGTCCATACAAGTAAAATGCATCAAGTTTATTTGTTCGCGTCATGAAATTAAAAATCATGCAAAAATATGACTGAAAATACTATATTTGCAAAGTTATTGCATGTAAAACTGAAACATGACAAGTTAGAGGACTAAATGCTTAAATAGGCCAACATATAGGACCAAAACTACAATTTTCCCTTCTTATTTCTTGTGATGTCATTTAAATTTCTTATCTCACATTTTTACAATGAAGATATTTATTGTGACATGTGCAGCTTTATAATTAAAAATTGGAGTTTTATTTATAAATTTCTTATTTAATTTATAAATATTTAAATAACTCTACTTAATCAAAGGAAGTTAACCTAATTAAGGGAAATATAACATGTATATATATATATTGTATTCATTGTGCATGATTGCGTTGCATTTCCACAAGGTGACAGCTGCATCCACAATCCACACAAAAATGCATTAACATTTAAAGATTCATTAATCATTAATTAAGAAAAACCCCCTTTCAAAGATTTAAATTCCAAAAAAAAAAAAGAGAAAAAAAAAAAAAGAAAAACAGTGTTGATGCATTTAAATCCACAATCCCATGGCGTGGCATTTCGGCTAGCTAGGTGGAGTAATTTGGCACCAATATCACAAGCAGCAACTAATGCTTCTACCTTGCCCCTATGCTCTTTCTTCTGATGCTATCTTTCCATATGTTTCCTTTTTCAGTTTTTTTCCATATCCATGCAATATTATTAATTATCAGCAGAGGTTGAAAGTGAAATTTCAAATTGTACAAAAAAAAAAAAAAAAAAAAACAGCCCACATAGTAATAAATAATTAGAGCCTTATTAAATTTAGTGCAGCTTCTTTCTTGCTATATTCATTGTTATTACTAATAATTAGGCTCCTAACAATTTAATTTGAATTTTTATTTAACTCCATGTCTCAAAAATCACTAATTTAAAATGGTGGTTAAGCATAGTGTATTAGAGATCATGGCAATAAAATAATAATCCAAATTAATGAAATTAAATCCTTACATCATCATAAGTATATGATCCAATAATTTAAATATTCAAACATTCCTGTAAACTAAATAGAGATTTCAGATATATATATATATATATATATATATATATATATATATATATATATATATATATATATATATATATATATATATATATATATATATATATATATATATATATATATATATATATATATATATATATATATGTGTCTATACATATCCCTCTTATTTTTTTCGTGTATCTACACAATAGAAAGTAGGCAAAAGCAAATACTTCTAATTTTCTGAACTCTTCACAAAATATATGCTCAACTGCAAATATGTTATATTGAATTATTTTAGAATTTATTATGTTCAATATTATAATGCTTCGTATATCCCAAAAATGAACTTCAAGAATAAATATCCAATAATCTCCGTAAGTTAATATTTATTTTTTGAAATTTAACAAAAAACTACAAGTATGCAAATCGGTATAAGTAAACAATTGTATAATTTATTATGTACAATATTTTAGTAAAACTAAGGATAATTATGTACATATATATTTAGTTACGGAATGGATCACATTATCTTTATTATTGGTGATTTTTTGTTAATATATTAATGAAGGAGAATAAACAATCTAACCTTAGTTTAGAAGGAAAAAATGCAGTTAAAATTAACCAACATAACCTTAGTTCTAATACATAATATATTTTTTCATACCAGACTGTTGGGCACAAGCTGTTGGAGCTCTACTAACATACGAGCTGCAATTACATCTACGTAATTCAAACCCCAAGTACAAAAAATACCGTGCATCCGTGCAACATTTGGTAGATCAGGTGTACCAAGATAAGCCCGATAGTGTTGATTACTACAAATCATGTCCGGTATCTAAAAGATACCCGCGAGGACAGAAAAAATGTCCACGTAGTGAAATGGAATTTTACGGGGCCACAGGGACGATAGGGCTATTGTACGCGAAGCACAAAGGAGTCTCGCTAAATTCCGACTACCCATATGTCGGTGGCATACAGAAAAATCATCAGATACCTTCGGTAAGTAATTAATTATAAGTTAATCACTTCTTCTTATAATTCATTTTATTTAATGTTAATTAATGAGTGTTTTTTTTTTTTCTATAGGGTCCAAAAGTTAGGGTACACAAAGTTGTAGCCATAGACGACTTTAGAAGACACAAAGTGAAGAAAATTATATCCAAGGGACATCCGGTTCTTGCTTATATGGATGTGTTTGAGAGCTTTCTAGACTTTGTGGGACCGGTAAATCAGTAACTTTTTTTTAATAAAATTTGTTATAATTTAATAACATATTAATGTGTTTTTTTTAACTATTTTGAAGGAAGTCTACAAAGAAAATTATGGAAAATATTCAGGATCACACATCGTGCTTATCGTAGGCTACGGGGTTGATGCCCAAGGATACGATTACTGGATCGTGCAAAATACGTGGGGATCCGATTGGGGAGATAAAGGATTTGCGAAAGTGCGTTGCGGTCTCGTTAGTATACAGTCGTACGCCGATGGTGTTTTCCTTGAGGTATATATGTGTAATCACAATTTTTTTATATACAAGTATATGCATAATCATTTTGAAAGGATCTATGATAACCTTTTTATTGTTTAAATAATTAAAAGGTGACTAGTTCTTTAAATATAACAGAAAATTGCATTTGTGTACTCTAACTAATAACCATATATTGGTCTGGACTCTTCTCTCACGAAGTTTTGCTCTCTCCCTTTCACTTCCTTTGCAGGACCAACCATAGTCCTACCTAAGTTGAAAGTAAGGTAAACTCACCACAATTTGACATATCTTCACTTAATGTTTTGCATGTTCAAAAAGTTTTTCTTATTATCCGATATCTACACCCTGGTTTCGTGCATTGTCTCAGTTTAATTATCCGATATCTATACCCTGGTTTCGTGCATTGTCTCGGTTTAATTATCCGATATCTAATAGTACTTGGGAAGATTCGAAGTACTGATTTGAATTTACTTGTAGGAGTTTGGAGTATTTGATCCACATCATTCAAAAGCTGGAGCTATTTAAGATGGGAGATCAGCAACTTTCTGAAGTATATTGATATTTAAACTCTGTTATTTGTACCGATCGAGTAACTTATTTGTCATTTTTGTCTTCTGTAGACATTTGTTTCTGCAGCCCTTGAGCAATTTCTGGTTACTGAACGAGGTAGTAACAGTTTAGTTAGGGAATTAACGATTTTCTGTTAGAACAGTGACAATAGCATTGCACGCTTGTGCACATTTCACATCGTCCGTTCAATACTAGATTTATCTTAACAGGAGAAAGGAAATATTTATATCCTGAATTACATATAAAGTTATTGATGAATCTACTTCACAGTTCACACCACATCTGTAAAAACAAGGCACACTTGCCTGCATTTTAGACTATTTAAACAGCTGATAAAATTCATCAATCATCAAGTTGCCAGGACGCATAAATTAGACAACCACAAAATCTAGCAGTAGCAAGCAAAATGTGAAAATACATGAGCTTAGCATTGTTCCACATGGCATTGACCTCCACACAGTCATTTCTTTTCACAAAAAGGGATTCTAGATGCACACAAATTACGTTTAAACTAACACAACTTAATATATAGTTACTGTGAACCTAGAGGCTGGAATCACCTGCAAAATGAAAAAAATCCTGAAAGGCGTCAAATGCTGGTAAAAGTATACAGCGGAACGAACGCTGTTAAAAGGAAGGTTGACATACTTCAGACATTACATTTCAATTGATTAGCCTCTCTCATGGTTCATGAGTTCAAATTTGAGAGATATAAGTACACACTTAAGTGCAATTTTGAAAAGTTTCTTTTTAGATGGCCCTCAATGAATTGACTTTCAAGATCAGGACACTTTCAAGAACGGTCAAAACGTTAATTAAAGTCCTCCGACATTAATTCATAAGAATTAAGAAACATATTGAAATATAGCAACTACAAACTTTTGGACAATTCGTATTAACCCAAAAGAGTGATTACAAAACATCTTTCCGAAGTAGTAATTAAAAGTTATAATTACGTACTAGAGTTATTATACACACAAATTAAAAACTATTTCTTGTTAGCTGAGATTTGGCTGTTTGCTCTATTTCGTCGGTAGCTGGAACAATATGAATAATAAGACATAGATATAACAACGAATGATATCCAGTTCAAGAAATATTAATATTAACCACTTAGCTGCATAAAACCCTGGACCAGTTTCCAAACAAAGCAGATTTTTCTTTTTTAAATGCACACATCGAGATTAATTGATTAAAAAAATAATAAGAAAAAATTAAACCATTGAAAAAGAATAAAATTGATTACCTATACAAGATCCGGTTCATCCGATTCCGGTTCATCCGATTCCGTTTCAGCAGGAGGGGCAAAATCAACAGAGACAACATATTTATATATATAAGCATAAGTAGCTTGAAAGGTTTTGGCATTGCTATCATCGTCATCGTCATCCTTCACAGGCTTAGCGGTAAATGTAATCCTGTACTGATAACCTGCGAATAAATGTCCAGTTGCACGGAGCACCTTCAGCACACTGTATTTTACGGCCTACACACACACACACCCACACAATTAATTAAAATTGATAAAAAAAAAAAATTTAATTAATGGGTATGCATACACAATCAACAAATTATTTTGAAGAAAAATTACATACGTGTGTTTTGTTATAGATGTCGATACATAGAGCTGTATATTCTTCGATCTTACGCATTGTTTGAAGATCACAGCGCGTGCAATAGACTGGGTCGTACAAGAGAGTAGCGCCTCCGACCGTAGCTCTAACTCCGGTCCGAGCTCTAGCTACGGCCCGAGCTCTAGCTCCACTCCGAACTCTGCGCTTGCGCTTCCGATTGCGATTGCGATTCATATTCTTATTCACCCTGCTAGACTCTCCCAGATTCTCCGGCTGATTCATGCCGCCACCGAATTCACAACTAGCTATCTCTCTCTCTCTAGAAGCCCTAATCGCGTATACCTTTTTATTTGGTTTTTAAAAAAGTTTATAATTTAAAATAAATTAAATAAATAATAAATAGGAAAGGTAATGGGCTGGATTTTTAGTTACGAAGGCTTGGTATAAATGACTTGCACCATAAACAAAATAAATTGGGGTTTGTAAATATTAGTGGATTTTTTTTAGTTGCAGTGTGAAATGATTTATTTGTAGAGAAATCGTTTAGAATTTTCAAAATTCTCTTTTAACTTTCAAGTTTTAAAACTTTCTTCATGGTAAAAAAAAAAATCTCCGATACAATCGGTTATAACACAACAATTACCAATATGACGACATAAAAAAAAACACGTTTATTTTGTCTAATTTCGATGTTTTGTATGCATTCCGTGTTCGATTACCCGAAATGAGATATTGCATTTCACGGAATTCAACACGAATTGAGCAACATATTTTGATATTGTCACTTTTTTTTCCTGAAATTCACAATCGAATCGGAACTTTTTGCACTTGCAATTTCTTCTTCTTTTCCTGTTTCTTCGTTGAAATCTTTTCCGATTCCTTCATCGGAACTTTTTTCATCAGAACAAGCAATCTCTCTCTTGATTGATCGATCGAAACCCTGGTCTGTTTTTCACCTTTCGTTGGTTTGTTAAGGTTTATTTAATTTAGGTTAAATTTCAATTTCGCTCCTGTACTCTGGCTCGATATTATTTTACCTATTTTACTCTCAATTGCATCGATTTGCCCCCTTTTAGTTTGGTTCGATAACACTTTACCCCCTTCTACTTTCAATTACATCGATTTGCCCCCTTCTAGTTTGGCACGATATCACTTTACCCCATTCTACTCTCAATTGCATCGATTTGCCTTCTTTACTTAAAAAATTGTGTCAATGTGGCCCTCGTTGTTAGTTTTCATACATTTGACCTTAACACCATTTGACCTAAGTAACATTACAAAGTCTACCCTCCAAGTTTAAATAATTATTAAAAAAAATAAAATATAAAAAACAAAAAAAAGGTTGAGAGGTAATAATGGGCTGCATTTTGAGAATGGGTTGGGCTGCAACGGGTGGAATGGAATGTAACCCGAGCAGTAGTAGCTGATTTACTCATTTCTTATTTCTTGGATTTTTGCTATTTGCTTAAAAGTCCTTTTCTGTTTGAAAGTTTATAATATTTTTTCCCAAAAAGGGGTTGAGGTTTTGGAGTGGGGTAGGGGTGGAAGTAAGTACGAATTTCTTTTATTTCTGCCCATTTCGATTCGGGTTTTTTTTTTATATAACTATTTTTCAATTCGAATTTTGAAATTACGACTTTCTATTTTTCTTAAATTATTTTAATCGGAAATGGAATATAGATTAGATTCTGATTTCTGTTCCGATTAAAGTTATAAAAATAAATCAAAAAATACTGATTTTGTTTTCCGAATATTACAATTAAGATACCAATATTATTATGTATTTTATATTTATTATTTAAGGTAAGCAAAAATTGGAAATTTATGAAAGCTACCATTCCGATCTGAAATTTTCTAATTTTGGAATAAGTATTTTCTTCCCAATTTTCCAAAATTAAAGTTTTCCGATTTTTTTTCTATTTTTTTTAGGGGTCTTCATATATAGGTCCCTGGTGACAAAACTTATTAGAACTAAATGACAAGCCCAAATAAACATTTGCTTTACATCCTTTATAAAATCCATTCAAAAAATACCCCTCCACTCAGTATTTAGTAAATTCAAACTGTATTTATCATTTTTTATTTGCATTTAATACTTTCATTTTTTCATATAACTTTTTTAATTATTTGTTTTACAGAATACCATTTTGTCTTCGTTTTTTTTTTCTTTCTTCATTTCAAAATTTTATACAATTTTATAAAAAAAAACTTTTGTTTTCTTTTTTGTACATAATATTGAAAATTATAAAAAAACATGTTTTTTTTTTAATTCAATTTACATAATTTTTTAATTTTTTATTTTATTTTTATTTTTCTTCTATCAATAAATATAGTAGTCATCTATAGTCATTGTAGTCGATATCGCACATCCTATATATGTTATGTTCACAGTATGTAGTAGACTGTGGTGTACTATGGTATTCTCTATATATTCATAGTATGTAGTAGACCATAGTATACTATGGTGTAATATGGTATACTATGGTTTACTACGGTGTCTATTCCAAAACCCTAGCCGCCAACCCTAGCAGTCAAAGCAACCTCCGCCCAAATCCTTGAAGCCAAAAGTCGCAGTCGTCGCAACCGTAGTCTCCTAACCCCTTTTGCAAAATCTAGATCTACAACAAATCGAAAATAATAACAAATCATATCCAAACGAAGAAAAAACTTTTAAAAAAACAAGAACATCAAATTCAATTAGTCAAAATATGCTTGCAATTACAAATCTTTATAAAAAAAATGAATAAAATCGATTTGTTTATCTATTTTCAATACCAAATCCTTATAAAGAAAAATAGAGAAGAACTGCTCTCTCCACCGCGCAATCCCCCCCGCAGATGCCCACCGCACAACCCTTTGAAACCACCACCTTCTCCACCATAGCATGTGCTGGACTTGTTGTTGCTCCTGCTCCCTTTGTGGCTGCAGCCAGTGGCCTTCAGAGAGAGAGAGAGAGAGAGAGAGAGAGAGAGAGAGAGAGAGAGAGTCAGAATAGGTGAGGGTTGTTGAGCGGCGTGAGATAGAGGGGAGGGGGGGAGGGGAAGAGAGAGAAAGAGTGATTTTTATTAGGTATTGTAAGGCTATTTTGGGGTTAAATAAAAAACAAAGGATGTGTATCAATTTTTATTTTAAAATAAGGGTGTAGTTAAAATGTTTTATTTGAGATTGTCACTTATATTTAATTAGGTTTGGTTTGAGGGTGTGAGGCATATTACCCCTTTTTTTTAAACGGAGTTGGAACTACTTTTCCAAGTATGCTCTAAAACCATTAACAACCTCAAAAGCGACATTTAATGAACGAGCAAATACTACAGCATGCTTAAGTTCATATTCCAAATTAAATTGTTTTATTCCTTTTGAGATAGGCTAAGCATCTTACCAATGTGATGTTGACAGGGTCAAGCACTTTTATTCCAACATTTTCAGATGAATATTTGCAAAATTGTGTGAGGTTTGATCTTTGTAGTAACCTGGATAAAATTAGAAAACCAAAGAAAAAGCAGAGATGAAGCGAAAATTAAACCTAAATCACAAAACGATATACAACTATACAAACATATATATATATATATATATACTAGTCTCGAAGCACCGCACAAGGTGCGGTGTCGGTGCCCAGTTAATTTTCTTCATAAGATATAAATTTCGATTTCTTTTGAACTATTATTATTTGCTTGATGGAGCAGTACCTCAATCTTTTCTTCGTAGCATAAATTTATGTTAGATTATTGTTATATGGTATGGAATGCAACATTAAAACCAGCAAAGTAACCGGCTAAATTTGTTCAATGTATCTTAGAGAGGAAGGAGAACTGTCATGTCAAGAATCAAGAAGAACACAGGTTCAGTTAGATAAAAGAGCGAGGTAAAACAGCGTCACAAGGCGGAAATGAAAATTTCCACATACGGCATAAACAAATGTACAAGGGCGGCAATCCCACAACCTCTTTAGAATCTTCCTCGACTGGGAACTGATAATTCACCGATATTTCTCTGTATGAGCAAGGCAGGGACAGTTCAAATCGAGGGAAAAAGGCTGGTTATTCGTGGTCAACACACGCTTGCCACCTCCGTTGACCGGGACCCACACCTGGATAAGTACGTTCTTATCCCTCGAGCAATCATTAATGTAAGCGAGTGCTTGAAGTAACCGACCGACAACGAAGGCCTAGGCGCAATCCACCACCTTTTGCTGATGAGTTCGCAGCTCTCGAGCAAATAATTTTCGGAGGAAATACGGGACTGGGATATGGATAGATTGTCGGGGAAATACGATTTTTGACCCTCGTGTTGGCCCTATTTTGACGGGCTTGCGCTAGATTCGGTGTTGTGATTGGCGGGTTCGAGTGCAGGCCATGGGAACGAAGGTTGGAAGGGGGAAAATGGAGCTGAGGAATCGAAATTCGAGACCTCGGATCCGTTTGCTTCTAACCAGCAACCTTCTAACAACAGTTCATCCATGTAATCCAAATCCATAAACGGATCCGAAGTGGGGCCCATCATTGTACTGAGAGGAAGAACACCTTGCTCCAATTTTTGTGATGAAAAAATAAATAAAAATCCATTCTTTAAACAATGCCACAAAAGCTAATTTGTTCTTCCACCAGATCTGAATTTCAGACCTAGATTAATTAGCCTCTCTCATGGTTCATGAGTTCAAATTTGAGAGATATAAGTACACACTTGAGTGCAATTTTGAAAAGTTTCTTTTTAGATGGCCCTCATCTTACGGATATGAGTTCCTACCAATGAATTGGCTTTCAAGATTGCGACACTTTCAACAACGGTCAAAACATTAAGAAACATATCGAAATATAGCACATACAAACTTTTGGACAATTCGTATTAACCCAAAAGAGTGATTACAAAATATATTTACGAATAATATCCAGTTCAAGAAATATTAATATTAACCACTTAGCTGCATAAAACCCTGGACCAGTTTCCAAACAAAGCAGATTTTTCTTTTTTAAATGCACACATCGAGATTAATTGATTAAAAAAATAATAAGAAAAAATTAAAACATTGAAAAAAAAAAAATTGATTACCTATACAAGATCCGGTTCATCCGATTCCGATTCATCCGGTTCCGGTTCAGCGGGAGGGGCAAAATCAACAGAGACAACATATTCATATATAACAGCATAAGTAGCTTGAAAGGTTTTGGCATTGCTATCATCATCATCATCATCCTTCACAGGCTTAGCGGTAAATGTAATCCTGTACTGATAACCTGCGAATAAATGTCCAGTTGCACGGAGCACCTTCAGCACACTGTATTTTACGGCCTACACACACACACACCCACACAATTAATTAAAATTGATAAAAAAAAAAATTTAATTAATGGGTATGCATACACAATCAACAAATTATTTTGAAGAAAAATTACATACGTGTGTTTTGTTATAGATGTCGATACATAGAGCTGTATATTCTTCGATCTTACGCATTGTTTGAAGATCACAGCGCGTGCAATAGACTGGGTCGTACAAGAGAGTAGCGCCTCCGACCGTAGCTCTAACTCCGGTCCGAGCTCTAGCTACGGCCCGAGCTCTAGCTCCACTCCGAACTCTGCGCTTGCGCTTCCGATTGCGATTGCGATTCATATTCTTATTCACCCTGCTAGACTCTCCCAGATTCTCCGGCTGATTCATGCCGCCACCGAATTCACAACTAGCTATCTCTCTCTCTCTAGAAGCCCTAATCGCGTATACCTTTTTATTTGGTTTTTAAAAAAGTTTATAATTTAAAATAAATTAAATAAATAATAAATAGGCGAGGTAATGGGCTGGATTTTTAGTTACGAAGGCTTGGTATAAATGACTTGCACCATAAACAAAATAAATTGGGGTTTGTAAATATTAGTGGATTTTTTTTAGTTGCAGTGTGAAATAATTTATTTGTAGAGAAATCGTTTAGAATTTTCGAAATTCTCTTTTAACTTTCAAGTTTTAAAACTTTCTTCATGGTAAAAAAAAAAAAAAAAAAAATCGGTTATAACACAACAATTACCAATATGCCGACAGCAAAAAAAAACACGTTTATTTTGTCTAATTTTGATGTTTTGTATGCATTCCGTGTTCGATTACCCGAAATGAGACATTGCATTTCACGTAATTCAACACGAATTGAGCAACATATTTTGATATTGTCACTTTCTTTTCCTGAAATTCACAATCGAATCGGACCTCCCCGAATCCACAACACTCCGACCCGAACATAATTGAACAACAATCTCTCTCCGGATTGGAAAGAGCATGTCAGGCATCCATTCAGAGATTGCACAATAAAGTATACTCAAGATTCAATAATATTATAAACTATTACAGAGATGTGTTGTGGAATGCATTTATTTTCTTATGTTTATTTTAAATAAGTTGTTGTTTATTAATATAACCAAGTTATTGCATATTAATATAAATAAATTGTGCAAATCACCGCCTCTCTGTTAGTGTTACTTTTCCTAAACAATTTTGTTAGAAATACTCCAGACCTAGCGTTAAATCCAGAGCGAAAAATTGCACAAAACCTTTAGCGAAAAATTAAAATTCGTATGTCCTCAAAGCAATAGGGAATATTTTTCAGGGGATCCAACTAATTTCCCCATATTTCTTGTTGTCAAGGTAAAATGATTATTACCTATAAAAGGTTAGCACGAGGGAGAAATTCAACAAAAGTCTACATAGTTGTGTGCGATGGAAACAAAAGCTCGGAAAGTTCTGGGATGAAATTGAATCCCACGCAATCCTCATCAACATTACCACCAGCAACTAAGACCATACATAACATGAACACATTGTTTAACTCGACTAATTTCAATGACACGAACGATCTCAAGTCAAAGTATTGAGTGGATTGGTATGATTGCCAGCCCTACATATATATATGGACCGCAAAAAACATAATTTACGAACAGCCACGCGTTTGTTAGCACTAGCAGGCAAATTGCGAAAATACATAAGCTTAACATTGTTCCAGCCTTCCACGGGGCATTGACCTCCACACACCAGCATTTGTTTTACAATATAAAAAAAAGGAGTCTAGATGCACACAAATAAAGTTAGTTCATCACAGCCATATTACGTTAAAGTTAACACAACTTAATATTTCATAAGCAAAACGAGTCCATGTACCAAGAAAAGAAATTTTAATATATAGATTCAAGGCTAAGTGGAATGAACCGAGTCCCGGCAACACAGTCTTGCCTTGTCAATATGTAGATAGAGATTCTCACTAAAAATAATGAAACACGCAGTAACAGCAGCGTAAGAAAAAAAGCAAAACGAGAAAAAAAAAAAAAAAAAAAAAGTGATTATACCTACGGGCCGTAGATAGATGAACCGAGTCCCGGCAACACAGTCTTGTCAATATGTAGATAGATTCTCACTACAAAATAATGAAACACGTAGCAGCAGCAGCGTAAAAAAAAAAAAAAAAAAAAAAAAAAAAAAAAAAAAAAAGCAAAACGAGAAAAAAGGTGATTATACCTACGGCAGGCGAGGACGAACAAGTTCAACAAACTCAACATAGTTATGTGTGACGGAAACCCGAGCTTCGAGAGTTATGGGAACGTCATCACAAGGCTTAGCGGTAAACACCAAATCCACCATAGAGCCTGTGGTCGATAAATGTCTAGTTGCACGCCCCAGATCCCCCATACTGTATACGTGAGCCTACACACACACACACATATATAATAAATTAAAGGAAGAAGCAATTATTGTAATTAATCATTTAAACAACAAAGAAAAAAAAAATAATACATACTTGCATCTTGTTGTAGACTTGAAGAGCTAAATCGGCGCATCCCTGGATCATTTTAATAGTATGAGCATCACAGGAGGTGGGATCTTCTCCATCATAAATGACGGAGCCCAGAGGAAAAATTCTCATGGGCAAATTGCCTTGATCCTCTGGAAATTCAAGGTATTCTACATAATCATTTCTGAGGGAAACCTCGGCTCGAACAGTTATCGGTTTCTTACCCTCCTCCGGCGGCTCAGGCTTAACCTTGAAAACCATATGCAACATCGAAGTTCCACATCTAACAGCAGTTGCGTGCACCATTTTCACAAAACTGTATTTGTTGATCTACACACACACGCGCCCACAGAGGTGATATAAAAGAAGAAGTAATTAAAATTCAAATAAACACCAAATTAAATTATAATGAAAAGAAAAGGCAAAAAAAATAAAACAGAGAGAGAAGATGAATGAATACATACATGTGTTTGGTTGAAGAAATCAATAACTAATTGGGCACATTTTTTCATTATTTCCATGGATTCAGGATCATCGAGCGTCGGATCTCCGTTATACAAGATTTCCATTCCTCCTGGCCAAAAACATTTTGGTTTATTTTCGGCTTCTTTCATCGGAACTTTTTGCACTTGCAATTTCTTCTCCTTTTCCTGTTCTTTCATCGAAACTTTTTGCACTTGCAATTTATTCTTCTTTTCCTGTTCTTTCATCGAAACCTTTTGCACTTGCAATTTCTCCTTCTTTTCCTGTTTCTTCATTGGAACCTTTTCCGGTTCCTTCCTCGTAACCTTTTTCATGCCGCCGCAGAAGAATTCAGAACAAGCGATCTCTCTCGATCTCTCTCTCTCGAAACCCTAGTCTGTTTTCCCCTTTCTTTTTTTTGATTAAATTTATATTTATTTATAGGGTAATTGGCACTTTGCACCCTCGAATTGCATGTTATTGGCAGCTTGCACCCTTAAACTGAAAATTTAGCAAAATGCTCCCTCCAATTACAATTTATTTAACACTTTGCACCCTCATTCACCTTTTGACTAAAAGAATGACATGTTATTTGCTTTTCAGATTTTAAGATGGTAAATTTCTCTTTATTTTATTTTTTTTACAAATAATAAAAAGAAAGAAAGAAAACTTAAAATTGAAACTTGAAAAAAATGATTTGATTTAGACAATTTTAGAAAAAAAATGAAATGATTTAGACCTTGAGACAAAAACTAAATAAAATGAAAGTTGTGAAGATTGGATTAGGGTATTTATAAGCGAAAATATTACTTGAGAAATTTTTCAAAATTGTTCAAATCTAAAAAAAAATTCAATCTATCTTTTACATTAAATCGTAACTCCTCATATTTCTCAAAATTATATATATATATATATATATATATATATATATATATATATATATATATATATATATATATATATATATATATATGAATTTGTTATTAATAGAGATTTTTAATATTAATAATAGTGAACATGACAATTAATAATTTATTAAACATTAATTATACAATTATTATAATCATTTTACAGTGTTATATATAAATGTTAAATACAGTTTACACCCTTAAAGTATAACCTCTGTAATACCTACACCATTAAAGTATCATTTGTAACACTTATCCATCTCAAGATTAATTTAATTTGTATTTTAAATCTAATACCTTAAAATTTTCTTTTTTATTTAAACAAATAACTACAAGAATAATTAAATTATACAAATAAAAATATCTATTGAGAAATACAAGATTTAAAAAATTAAAAATATTATCTTGTGTTGAGTACATATTTAATAAATAACATCTATTGTTATTGGAATAAGTAATCAAATATATTCATATCGATAAATTTTAAGATATCAATACATAACTAATAGTAACATTTTAGTTCATTAATTTCATAAATTATATTTCTATTCATTATTATACAATATATATTACTTTTTATTTTTTTTCCAATAATTTATTTTTTTAGTTACTTCTCAATTTTATGATCCAATAATTATTAGATTGTTATGTTTATTAATTTTTAAATTTTAAAATATAAAATAATTAATATGGAAAGAGTAAGTGTTACAAATGATATTTTAGGGGATAAGTGTTATGTAGGCTATATTTCAAGAGTCCAAAGTATATTTAACCCTGCATCTTAAATGTCAAATAAATGCATAAAAAAATGATGATTATAGAATAATTAATAAGTCCAAATAATAAGCAAAATGAATGTCGAAAAACTCAAAAAAGCCTCTTTACTATATCTGTCTGGTCTTTGACTCCTAATCAACTTCTCCCTCTCTCTCAGCTGCGCCTTTCTCTCTCCTCCCCCTCTCTCTCTCCTCTCCTCTCTTTCTCTCTCTAGTTCTTCTTCCCCCACACAAAAACTGGGAGCCCCAAATCTTTCAATCACATTTGTTTCTCTGAGACCCAAATACATACGTCACTTTTTAATTTAGAGAGATTAACAGCATTCTCTATTTTATCTGGAAAAAAGGATTTTTATTTTATTTTGTTGAGAAGAAGATGGGAAAATTTATAAATACCTGGATTATATGTATCTAGATATATAGATAGATGTAAATCTCTGATTTCAGCCGCCATTGTTAATCCGACGAATTCGAAAGCATCCAAGATGGTCGACAGGCCTCCGTACGCCAATCGCAGATGGCAAAATTACTCCGCCACGAAGCTCATCTTCTGGGCCTCTATTTTCGCCGCCCTAATCCTTTTTCTGATCTTCCACTCCCCGCCGCCCGATCTCTCCGCCACCGGACGCACCGCCGCCTCCACATGGGGCGGCCAGACCTGGGAGAAGCGCGTACAAATGTCGGCCCGTCCCCGCTCCAATTCCCCCTCCCACGACGGCGGCGCCGGCCACCTCTCCGTCCTCGTCACGGGCGCTGCCGGATTCGTCGGCAGCCACGTCTCCGCCGCACTCAAGCGCCGCGGCGACGGCGTCGTCGGCCTCGACAATTTCAACAGCTACTACGACCCCTCCCTGAAGAGATCTCGCCGGAAACTCCTCGAGGACGCCGGAATCTTCGTCGTCGAGGGAGACATCAACGATTCCGATCTCCTGAACAAGCTCTTCGACGTGGTCGCATTCACCCACGTGATGCACCTCGCCGCCCAGGCCGGCGTCCGCTACGCCATGAAGAACCCTAGCTCGTACGTCCACAGCAACATCGCAGGCCTCGTCAGCATCTTCGAAACCTGCAAAAACGCAAATCCACAGCCGTCGATCGTCTGGGCTTCCTCAAGCTCCGTCTATGGCTTAAATTCAAAAGTCCCCTTTTCGGAAACCGACAAAACCGACCAACCGGCAAGCCTCTACGCCGCCACAAAGAAAGCCGGCGAAGAAATCGCCCACACATACAACCACATCTACGGCCTCTCAATCACAGGGCTCCGATTCTTCACCGTTTACGGGCCGTGGGGCCGGCCCGACATGGCCTACTTCTTCTTCACAAAAGATATCCTCAAAGGGAAGCCCATAACAATATTCGAAGGTCCAAATCACGGAAGCGTGGCTCGGGATTTCACTTACATTGACGACATTGTTAAGGGCTGTGTCGCGTCGATAGATACTGCAGAGAAGAGCACGGGTAGCGGAGGGAAGAAGAAGGGGCCCGCACAATTACGTGTATTTAACCTCGGAAACACATCCCCTGTTCCTGTGGGCAAGCTTGTTGGTATTTTGGAGAAGCTTTTGAAGGTGAAAGCTAAGAGAAACGTGCTGCCTATGCCGAGAAACGGAGATGTCGTTTTCACGCATGCGAATATTAGTTACGCGCAGAAGGAGCTTCATTACAAGCCAACTACAGATTTGCAAACAGGGTTGAAGAAATTTGTGCATTGGTATATGGATTACTACTCGGTAAATGGGAGGAAGAAGTATTGAGTTTTTGACGATGATCGTTTGGGATAGTATTTTTCGACCCCATTTGATTGCTTAAGCAAGGTACATTTTTCGCCGATCTCTTTTGGTATATACGTTGGTTGAAAAGATAGAATTTTTTTAGCAGTTCAAGAAAAGATGTGTTAGTGAGAGTGATCACATGATTTTTTTTTCTTTGAGAAACCCAAATGGGATTTTTGTTTGAGTTCGAATATTTCTTGTTTGTCTATATACTGATGATTGACTTTCATTTTTTTTTCCTGCACGGATATTTTTTTTTCTCTAACGATTTAATAAAGTTCAATGCGTTTTCGCTATTATTGGATTGTGTGGTTTAGTTTTATGGTATGTGAATAAATTGCATACTAAGATGGTTGAGAAACGAATAGCAATGGTAGCTTTTGAGTTCTTTATTAGAGGTAGAATATTCATTTAGATTGAAATGTTGGATGGGTGATTATGATTTCAAATTTATGATCACAATTTAATCATAGCTTGCTTCTTTAGTAATAGATTCAAGATTCATGTCATTTGAGATCGTTTAAAATCTCTTCTCCGAATCATTCCTCGTATGGAAATCCATAGTTCGAGATGTCTATTTCATTATGATATCTGTCTTCATCCTCATGAAAAAGTGTGCATTATGTCCGATTTCCGTTACGATAAGAGAATATGAGAATATATTCGGGTTGTGTATTTGTATTCGGGTGCTCTGCACTTTCAATGAACTCATTCTACATGTTGCGTGTTAAGATTTTCAAGAAAATCGCAGGTCTTGTTTGATATAAAAGAGATATTCATATATGGTTGTATGGCAAGAATTAATTTGTTTCTATCATTACCACCTCGATAAATAAATTAATACTTTATAAATTAATAACCTCGTTTAAATGTTATTCTAATGAGTACTTTATTGAATCAATTCTATTTCATATCCGATCGCAACTTTGTATAGGGAATTCAAAGGTATCATATTGGAGACCGTAACCAAAATTTATTGCATTTGAAAAAGAGTCTGATCCCAAATAGAGATTCAATTGTACATTGGTTTACAACGAATTTAAAGTTGTTATGAAATATATTAGCAAAACTTTCAAAATTTAACAATCGGCGGGAAGAAATTAATGAAAAGTTTATAACAATTTTCAGAATACAATCCCACTAAAGAACTTCATTTTTAACATCACATAAATTGAAAACTTAGTATCTGGCATTCAACAGTGAGTGAAAATTGACATTACCAAAATATTCCCTCTAACAATAGTCTTTAAAAGTTGAACATTCAAAATTGTAAGCCGAGAAAGAAAACCAAGAAAAGGGAAATATGTGGAGCTCTAAGAATCGGCAATGGTGACCTCAACCTCAACACCAGGTTCGATCGTAATTGAGGTGATCTGCTTCACAACATCTGGCGAGCTGAATAGATCGATCACTCGCTTGTGAACCCTCATCTCAAACCTATCAAAAGTGTTTGTACCTAACAAATCAAAGAAACTATTATCGTTAAAATTATTCCAATATAACAGCTATATAAAATCAAAGAAACTATTATCGTTAAAATTATTCCAATATAACAGCTATATAAAGATGCTGCTGTCAACAATACGAAACTAGAAATTATACAAAACTCAACATGTATTAACTTAGTAATAATCAACATGATCCGAAGCTCAACAGGGCAAATGATAATAATAGTCACACTTGCTACTTTCGGGCTCGAAAAATAAAGCACATCGTCTAGAAATATAATTTTCGGGCTCGAAATAAAAAATGCAGCTAAGAAAATCTCGAACAAGTGTAACGGAATACTTACCTTCACCACAAGGAGACTTCCTGGTGGTGATAAGAAGAACCTTGGTTGGCATTCTCACTGGTCCCTTAACACGGAGTCTTTTGTCCTTGGCCCCACGTACTAAGTCAGCACACACTGTAATCGACACTCAAAAGTCAATAGAGTGTTTAATCGCCCGAAAAATACAAATTATTTCACCATGTAATTTATGAAACCGTTCACGTAAACAGGGCATATTCAAGTATTATTTAGTGATATCCATCTGTTGGATATAGAATCCAGAATGAAAGGGAAGAAACTTCAAAAAGGGCACAAATGGATGCTAGACTAAACGTTGTTTATCGTTGCAATGAGCAGTCAAATTTTCAACAACTGTTTCTAGTGTACACTCAATTAACTAAGTTCATTTCTTCGATTGCAGTTGATGTACAAAAGTAAGGTAAGAACCTTGCAAAATTCTGGATTAACAAAAAAAGGATACTACACTACAAACGGATGATACAATCTTCAGCTAATCCAATTACTACACTAATTCAACTAATAGCTACAGCAGATAAAAACATAACATATAAACCTCAAATTTTCAAAATGCGAACACATTTCAGTATATTTCAATGCCAAACATGGAATAGTGAACATAAAGGAATTATATCTAGAAAATTAACAGATAATAGGGCACAATCAAATTCAAAACAAATGCAAGCGAAATGAAATTAGCAAAACACCTTTCTCCAGATTCTTCACGTTCTTCGAAGAGAGTGTGATGCGGATTTTGTGGATCACCTCCTGCGGCTCCTCTAGCCCTGGCTTCGTCGGCTTCATCGCTGCGTATGCCATGATTTTCCTCGGATTTTTTTCTCACTCTGTAAATCCAAATAATACAATTAAAATAAATGGTGACGAAATCGAACATAAAATCAAAATGAAGGTTCATATTTTGATAAATCTCAATTTTCTGATTAGATTTCTACCGGAGAAAGGGAGTAGAAGAAGTGAGCGGCGGCGCGGAGCTGAGAAAATGAGGATTCTTCTTCCTGCCAAATGAGTGTAAAAAATTTCACTGAAAGAGTTTATAAACCTAGGGTTGGAGACTGATGTTCTGTAGAAATGTTGGGCCTATTTAAAATTCGGGCTCGAGACTGAAGCCCATTTATAATAGTGGAATTTTGTTTTTTAAGTTCCGAAATAAATTTAATGTATTTAAATAATTCATCTGGTTCCAGACTTCCGGTATGTAAGATAATTAGTACATTATGCAATTTTTTATTTATATATATATGTATATACATCATATTTAATTTTATATTTTAATGTATATAATATTATCTTTTATGAATATTTTTAATTTGGCATTCTATGTATTGGTCAATTTCTATACTTCGAGAAGACTAATAGAAGATGCTGCAAATGCAAAAGTAGTTAATCGAAAAGAAAAAAAAGAAGATGCTACAAAAGTTTGAAGTGAAGTACTACAAATTAATAAAAGTGTTCAATCCCAGATATGTAGGATTAAAAACTGGTTTTAGCTACAATAGTTCCGAAAAAGTGAGAAATCACAGAAATACGGTCTCAAAATCTACATTATATATCATTCTACGACGATTATACGGCCTAATTGCTGAACACGAAGAAATCTGTAGCTCAGTTATGACCGTTTTTATCATCTTGCACCATTTCATCTGCATCTTCAAAGCGCTGATCATTTATCTGAAGCTGCAAGAAAGAAGTTTAGTTCTTATTATATATATTATGACATAAGAAGCATTCACAACTCACAAGTCAGAACCAAAGTTTTTCACCGAAAACATAGTACGGATAAACAAAAACGGTGAATTTATTGGTGTATGTAATTATAAATAGCAATTTAGTGCCAGCTAGTTTTGAACTTCTTGAATGTACCTGCACCACTGAATGGACCAAATCGTGAGTCCCGTTTGCACCAATAGAATGGCCCGGATTTTGAGCGAAAGCCCAGTCTGAATCTTCATCCTCTGAAGAGTACAAAAAAAAAAAAGCAAGTTATATGAGAACTTATGAAAGATCGAAACTAAACAGATAACAACGCCTGATAAGATTAGTACCTTCACCATCATTTTCTAGTTGATCAGCACTGAATATCCAATTATGTTCTTCTTCTCCCTCTGATACAACCATAAACAAAATAATTAATATTTGCCAAAATGCACGTGAATTATTTATGTATCTTTTTATTCACGAGATTACACCTACCTTCGGTGGGATCTGGATTCAGCTCAGCACATTCACAAAATGTTGCAAACAGCATGTCCACTGTAACATGTTGAGAATAATCTTTTAGTGTCGGGATATGATATATACTGATAAAGATGACATATGGATTAAGAGAAGGACTTCAATTTTTTTTATTACATTGATCAGGGTCTGAGGGTATGAGTCTCATCTCGGTAATCTTCGATAAGTTTAAGGTACTATCACTCTCAGAATCTGATTCTTCTGATTCATCTTCCTCAGCTTCAGTCTCAATCTTCAAAAGAAACAAAATACGAATTCCATCATAAATATATTGATAATTCATTCAAAAAGAGGTGAGAAGCACGAAGGCAATATGCTCCTAAGTCTTAACATTTTCGGTAGAACTTGAAGACGAATTTTCCAATTACGAGAGAAAATAATCATACTCCTAACAAAATTATTGGTCGTATTAGAATCATCTTATTTATTTATATAATAAAGAACTAACAACCGATCCATAGCAAAATCGAGGAAATTTTCTTAGAACTATACAATCCATACACAAATTCTTAACCAGGTTCACCGAAAATTCTAACCAGAACAGAGCCAAAAACAAATTGCATTTGTAGTTCGAACACTTCTATTAAGTTACATTTAGGAATTCAGTAGCATTTCTAAGCAATTAACAGGAGCATTCAAAATTCAAATGCAACTCGAACACAAAAATTCACAAAATGTAGGTTGAGCTCGAGGGTTAAATTAATGGATCACCTGAGCGTAAATACAAGGAGAAGGATACGCCTCGGGGTCTCTCGACACCGCGTGAAGCGACACCGAAATGAAGTCCACCGCGTAGCCTTTTGCTCTGTCCGTATCGCTCAACCACACTACTTGCCTTCACACAAACAAAGTTTCAGGAAAAAAAAAAACAGCACAATCAATTACATCAGAAGAAATCGAGTAGGTGCGTAGGTAAATTATGTATAGATGCGGTGAAATTACTTGGTGGAGATGAAGAGAGTGCCCGGAGATTCGGGCTGGCGGTTACCGAGAACGATTGAGACGCCTGGCTGCACGAGCATCAACACATCTCCGTGGTCGGCGTCTAGGAATGGCTGTCCGGTACCGCCGCCGGTCCTTTCCGTCACTGATCGGAGTCCGGTGGCCATTTCCTGTGATGTTTTAGCTGTGGCGAGGGTATCGGGGGTTTTAGAAATTGGGAATTAGGGTTTTAATGTGGCGAAGTTGAAAGTGGCCGCCAAAAGTAATTTGGGCACTCTTTTGTATTTTTCCACACTTCTCGTCTTTGCCATTTTATTTTTATTTTTTTTTATAATTATTTAATAATGAAAAGGCAGACTTTCATCATTGGATAAAAAATAAAAATATAGCATTTGAAATGTGTGATGAAGATAGGTTATTAAATGAAGTTTTATTAACAGTGACACTAAATCTTCAACAATATTCATAATTTCACCTTTTATTAATTAAAACTACAAAATTATGTTACTTTACATTACACTTTGAGATTATATTCATATTTTTGGCTTCTATGGATAAATATTAATCTTATTCCCCAAAACACCCCTCAAAGCATTGATCAATTTTACGTATTTTCGTAAATGACTAAAATAAAATACTTGTAAAGAAAAAAATAGGACCTACCGAAAATGTAGCATCAACAATCCCTACCTATTACCATTTTTCAGAAACATTAAGCAAATTATTTTCTGAATCCGACCGGTTATACGAGAGATAGGAGGACTGAGAGTTCACATCAATAGCAATCAAAGTTAACCAAAACCTTAATGAAAAAGCTTGATAACAAATTTCAGGATCAACCAGTCTAACAGCAGCTAAAACATTATAAAGAAAATCGCAAGAGCGATTGGGATCTCGGAAATTGCCATCAATATCTTATGAAGTAAAAAAGTCGTCAACTCAAATAACAAAATTCTAAAATAAATATAATCTTGCCAAAATTCAGTAATTTGCCCTTAAGTTGATTATGGAGTCTATCTCCGCTGCTCAGCCAAAACTCCTCTAGGCAATTCACAAGCTTATGCCACGAGAGTGCTAGCAGTAGTTGACTCGCTGCACGAAATAGAAATTTACAAAATTAGTACTGGTCGAGATAGAGAAATCCAAGAACATAAAAATGAATTTTGACAATGTTTGACATTAATAAACTTGTGCACATTGTACAGCTTAATGCGCTTAAAAGTTAAAACACAACTCTGTGGGGTGGGCGGGGCTTGAAACTTTCCGATGTTTGTCGGAGAAACGAAACATAGCATGTCAAATCATAATAAACATGGCCGAATTTAGAATTGGAGCAATAAAATATACCTCACAAAGGTCATTGCACTTAAATAAATATCTAGGCTTCTTACGAAACATAAAATACCATTTTCGAACATAAGATAATAAATTAAATTGCTTCTTCCATTTTTATCACCCTTGAGTAACCGGTACCCAATTCTTTTCAAATGTGCATATGAACAAACAACATTTTCAGTACTTGGTTTTCGTAAAAGATTCATTTCTCTTATATCCTTGACTGTGTCAAGTTGGATAAACGAATTAATTAGCCAAAAAGGTCGTCACAAAAATCATGATGCTTGACTGTAGAAAGCCAGCCAACTAAATTACGGAACAGGCACCATATATCTACGACTCTCTTCAATGCAACACAATAAGCACAAGTTTAATCGAACATTTGGAGACTTACTACTTCCAGACTGGTGGTAGCTTCTTGGTCTTCTTGTAGTAACGAGCAAGGCGGTGAATCCTGCTCTCCACCAAAATCAACCGGAACTTGGAGTCCTTGTCCTTCCTGTTCCTCTCCAAATGCTTCCTTATCGCAACAGCTTTCTTAATCAAGTGGTACAAATCCTCCGGAATCTCAGGTGCAAGCCCTGTTATATATAAATGAACCGGAAACAAATACAATCAATTACATAAAATTAAATCTTCAATTACAACAAAAACACCAAAAATAATAAAAATAATACCGTGAGCCTTGAGGATGCGAAGGATCTTGCTTCCGGTGACACTCTTCACCTGAGCAATACCATGAGAATCACGGAGAATAACTCCGATCTGCGACGGAGTCATTCCCTTCTTTGCGAACTTGCAGATGTTCTCATCGACCTTGTATTTTCAACGAATTCAAAAAAATAAAAAATTCAATTAATCTGGTACATACACAAATGTACAGATACAGCAGATCTGCGATTTTGATAGGGGAGAGAAAATAAAATACTTACATCTTGAGATGAGATTTTCAACCAGCTTGGGGGAGTTCTCTTGTAGGGGAGAGCTGATGCGGAAATACCCTTACTTAGGTCAAATGCAAAACAATTAATCCGAAGAATACAAAACGATTTTACAAAGAAAATGAGATAAGGACGATGAAGGAAGATGAATTACCCGCGGCTGTGCATACGACCCATGACTGCGGCGGAGGTGGCGCTGCTGCTGCTCTGTGTTTTGCTTGTGGGAGTTCGGTTGGTTCTGAGAAGAAATGACACAAACCCTAGATTCTTACCAAGGGGATTGGGTCGGCCCGGCCCAATAGCTTTTAGGGCCTGACTGGTATCAGATTGTTAATGGGTCGGGTCATCTTGACCCGTAAAACTAAATAAAATTAAAAATTAAAATATTGGTTTTATGATTGCCGTTTAATGGTTGTATTGTTTACTGTTTTTAATGTTTGGTAACTAGAAATTATTACATAGATTGAAATTTGTTAATTAACCTTTAAAAAACCAATATACAATAAAAAAATTGGTTATAATTATAGTAATTGATGAAATTATAATTAAATTGATTCTGGTTATGAAACAAGTCAAAAAGAAAGGAAACCTGGATTGATTCAGCTGGATGTTACAAACATCATTCGAATACAAATAAAAACATATTATGCAATAATCAAACAATCAGAAGAACAAGAATCACTGCATCAAGACTTGGAGAAAAGTCAGCTATACATAACACACGAGTTTGACACGATTAGAAGAAATTGTACGTAGCAAAGTGCTCCCGCTGAATCGTACAAAACATAAAGGGTTCAAAATGTTCAAAACCCGAAAACCTTAACAACGAGACCCCAAATAAAAGACTACTCTAAAAAAACGAAAACAGAATCTCCCATTTCAAGCGAATGCACCCATAACAAGAATCAGCATATCACCTGCAACAAAAATAAAACAAAGCAACTCAGTTCATCAGAACAAAGCAAAATTTACAAGTTCCATATACTATTGAACAAGTACACTAAATAATAAACATGTACTGGTTTGATAAAACCAAGAACATTGAAAGCTAGAATGAGAAATGGTATTTCATGCAAATACCAATAGCTAAGGATGCATGATGATTAGGGGAATCTTTGTTCAAAGTTCAGAAAATTTCACACTCAAAACACGTAAATTAGAGAGTGTTAGCGTAAGGAAATGTCCAACTCCAGCGAGAGCTAAGTATTATGGAAAATACAGTTCCAATTCAAGAAAACAGTACTGTACAGTAAACACCAAATGCTGAATTTATAATCAATCGTTTCATTAGGCAGGGGAAAGTAGTAATATTTGTTAAGAAAGAAAAGAAAGGTAGCTCCAAAATGAGTATTACCATTAGCACTACATTAGAAATTCCAACCATAGGTGAGAAATGCTAGTATAAAAAAGTATGTTAACTGACAACGAAGTACTTCAAATATGCAATTTAATCTGGTTTCATGGGCAACAGCTACTAAGTAACATACACTTCATACAAGAAAATAGTCTAGCTCAGTCTTTCGTGTCTTGATCTCTTTGCACTCGCCGAGTCCTGGTTTCTGGTTTCATTGAGAAGAACACTAAGCAAAATAGTTTACTTCTTTAGAAATAAAGGAGAACGTTAAGAACACTTCCGTACGAACGGGATTATAGTACATCTTTAACGACTAGTTTCAACTCATTCTGATCCATGAGAATCAACTAGAAGCCGAATTTTTTTTTTTTGAAATGATATCCTAGGGTGTTGAGATGGAAAATTGATGGAAACTAGCTTCAAGTCCCTAACGGTTTTTGCTCTATCTTGTCAATTTGATGTATTTAAATCCTAGATCAAATTAGGTTTACGTTCAGGATTGCATCTTATGAGTTCATTTAACCCTTCCACCTACGTTTCTGAATATAAACAGCAAAAGCAATTTCTTACTATCTGTCCAGTTCTCCGTTTTTCTACCTCAAATATGCAATTAGTTGTTTCGATTATCTAAGAAATTATTTCTTCATGATCAAACTCATAGCTTCCACTTATCCTTCATGCTTGTGACTGGAATCACATAAATCCAGAAGCATGAAACACCCGACTTCTGACAGAATATTTAAAACATTTAATCATTTACCTAATCATAACAACCAAATACATTTTGCATATAACAAACATAAATCTCAATAATGATGTTAAAAAAAAAACAAGGTAAAAATGAAAATTGTCATGAAAACCACAAGCAACAGAAGAATCAATGAAAATATAAATTTCAGAAGCCAACGAAAATCACCTAATCACTTGGCGACCATGCGGGCGATGAAATCCTCGTAGCGGATCTTGCCATCGGATCCAACATCGACCTCCCGGATCCATTCGTCGAACTCGGCGGGCTCGAGTTTCTCCCCGATGCTGGTGAGGATGTGCCTGAGATCCGAAACGACGACGTATCCAGTGCCGTCCTTGTCGAGCACCTTGAACGCGTCGCGGAGCTGGCGATCGAACGGCTCCGGCTTCAAATGCTTGGACATTAGGTCAATGAATCTCGCGAAATCGAACGGCGCGTTCAGCTTCTCCTCGGAGATTATCGACTTCAGCTGAGCCTGGGTAGGGTTTCCGCCGAGCGACCGCATCAGGATTCCGAGCTCCGACGGCGCAATCTTGCCGTCGCCGTCGGTGTCGAACAAGGTGAACGCCTCCTTCATCGATGATTTCTGATCGTCGCTCAGATCTTTCCCCATTTTCCTGCAAATTCACCTTCCCTTTTTTCCCCTTCTTTCAATTCTGATTTTAATTTTTATATTTTCTTTTTCGTGCCCCTTTTTTTGGAATCTGGAGTCTGAGATGAGAATGTTCGCAACAAACAAGACTTTTGTTTTGAAATAGAGGGACTTCGATGTAAATAAAAAACATTCAAGGACTGTGTAGCAATTTAATAAAATATTTGGGCCCAAAGAACTCATAGGCCCAATTCATAGTGCTTTGGGTATGGGTTTTTTTGCAGGCAAATGGGCCATTTAAGAAAATAAAAGAAAATGAGTTGTCACATTTTAATTTCTGTAAAATCCGTACCACATATATTCAATGGCTGGCCCTTTTCATTTAAGTCCTTTTGAAAATAAATAAATAAATTGTTTTTTTTTTTACACAATAAATTGTTGCATTTGAAAAGGACTTATTATTAACCTGTAGACCACCCTACCCCTCACCCCCGGTTGTGGGGGCTGAATCTAGTGAGCCATGGACCACCTTTAGGAGAGATACAAAAAGGGTAAAAAAGGTAAATCACGTATCATAAAAAAAGGGTTGGGAGTCCAGACAGGTGGATTCATTAGATAGATGCCTTTGTAGCTTTTTCAGACGCACCACAAAAAAGTTATCAAGAATTTATCAAAGCCAGTTAGATTTCCACCCAATCAGATTAGACCCTTATAAATAAAACTAATGGGGTTCCATTTGCAATATTTGTTTTATAGATGACCCATTATATAAAATAAAATAACTATCATTTTACATAAAGTGCTTCATATCTTTGGTTATGGTGAAAAAGGTTAAAATTAATACATGGTAAAAAAAATTGTCTGGGAATGTCAGTAAAGTTTGAGAACAAGCAGACGGATTTTTACTTTATCTTAAATTAATGTAATTAATTATTACTGTTAAAGTAAAGTGAGTTTGTCTTGAATGGATCAACCTCGTGCTTTTTTATATTTAATTTACCACTGTGTTGATTTTTTATATGAGAAATGTCAGTATATATGTTGGCTGGTTGTTATGTGGAATTGGGAATATTGAGAAATGGCCCCTAGTTGAATTATTTTATGTTTTCCAAGTCCAACATTGTAGAGCTCTATGTTTTCTTTTGGATATATTTGGTCACCACTCTACTACATGTCTTAAATATTTGAGTATATATAATTAAAAACTATTTTATTTGATTAATGCTGTAGCCTTCCAAAAAAATTATCATTAGCATTCATTTGCCTAAAGATTAAAAAAATAATAATAATAATAAAAATAATATACAAAATCATCATGTGAAAATTTCATAAAATATATGGAACAGAATACTTGCTGTCAGTTGACCACTGGTCCACAAGCCCCAACAAGAATCCAATATTTTCACATTTGTACAATCTATGGTCTAAAGTAGGGGTGTGAACGAGCCGAGCTCGCCTCTTTTGGTTGGCTCGAGCTCGAGCTCGAGTCTATTTTGTCGAGCTCGAGCTCGAGCCCAATCTCATTTTTTCTTTTTTTTAATATTTTTTAATTATTATTTTATTATTAAAAATTATTTAAAAAAAATACAAAATAAAAACTAAATTGTGATTATATATTTTTTTAATATTTGTATTTAATTCTATAATATTTTATATTATTTAAATAAAAATAACATATAAAAAATAAAAAAAATAAAAAAATAATAATAAATCCGGCTCGCGAGCCGATGAACAACTAAAATTCGGCTCGAGCTCGGCTCGTCAAAAAGCTCGAGCTCGAAAACCTCGAGTCCGAGTTCGACCTTTTTACGAGCCAACTCGTCGAGCTCACGAGCCGGCTCGGCTCGTTTACCACCCCTAGCCTAAAGTAATTATTAATGTTGTTTATTTCAAGGGAACTTACTTTTTCACCCCTCAAGTTTACACATATTCAATATATTTGATTTCACATGTTTGAATAATTTAACATTTTTAGTCATTTCCGTCAATTTACCATTAGTCAACCAACCACATGCTTGATTTTGTTATTACTAACGCAAAATTGAAGGAAATAACTAAAAATGTTGAATTTTTAAAACATGACGTACCAAATGTAATTTTTGTGAACACGGGGACCAAATATGAAATTAGTGCAAACTTGAGGGATGAAATTTGTATTTTTCCATTTATTTTAATATATTTGATTGTTTTTACTTTTTAGTTTTAAATATCGTATTTAATTACATAATTAACAAATTACCTTAAGAGGGAAAAAAACTAAATGAATAATGATATTTATTCATTTAATTATCCTTTTCTTTTTCGAACTATATTCAATTAATTATCTTAATTAATGCTTATTTTCACAGTGACCTAATGGCTAATGCTAAGAAGCTATACTCTGCATCTCACCTCACCTAAGCCCTCGAAAAAATAAAAACAAATCAACGGTCCAAAATCAACATCCAGTAATCAAGAACCCTTGCAATTTATTCCTCCATCGTGTTCGAATCTCATCGCACCCCTCTCCTTTTTGAACAGTATGGAGCTTTCCTATGTTGTTTGTCTCGACTTTCTTCCTTTCGGACAAAATTCGATAAAAAGCACAACAAGACACACACAAGAAGCTCTGTGACTGTGTGTATCTGTGTGTGAGAGAGAAGTTACTTCCCATTATCTCTCTCTCTCTCTCTCTCTCTCTCTCTATATCTCTCTGCCTGCACGCTTCATCACTGAGATTTTCGAAAAAACATAGAAACAATAATACAGCCATTAAGACAAAAAAATTCAAACGGAGAAGAAGCAACAATATCTTCCGAACATGGGTTTCTCTCCGTTTCTGTTTCTTCTCTTTCTCTCCGTCACGTTCGCCTCCGGCGAACCCAGTTCGGAGCTGACATCCTTACTTGACTTGAAAGCGAGTCTTGACCCGGAAAACTTACATCTCGGGTCATGGGTCGGTTCGGGCGACCCGTGTGGCGGTACCTTTGAGGGGGTCGCCTGCAACGAGAAACGGCAGGTCGCCAACATTTCCTTGCAGGGTAAAGGCCTCGCCGGAAAACTGTCGCCGGCGGTCGGCGGTCTGAAGCATCTGACGGGTTTGTACCTGCATTACAACTCTCTTTACGGTGAAATACCTCTAGAGATTGCAGACTTGACTGAGCTCAGTGATCTCTACCTGAATGTGAACAATCTCTCCGGCGAGATTCCGCCGGCGCTCGAACACATGCAAAACTTGCAAGGTGCCTGAATAAACTGAAAAATTCTCTCTTTTCTTTTTTCTGATTATATTTAATTTGAACCTGCATTTGGGTTTTAATTTGCCTTGAAAAAGATTACACCTTTGAACTAATAATCCTTTGTCTGTAAAGATCTTGTCTTGTATATATATTTGAACCTACATTTGGGTTTTGTCTTGAAAGATTAGATTTTTGAACTAATTAATAGTACTTTTGTTTTGTGTAAGTTCAAATTAGACCTATATGTATATATATGAGCTTAAAAATCTAATCTTGAAACATCCCATTTGTTCTATTTTGTCCGAATGCAGTTTTGCAGCTATGTTATAACCACCTCACAGGGAGTATTCCTACACAATTAGCTTCTCTAACGAAGCTCAACGTGTTAGCTATACAATCGAATCAATTAACTGGTGCAATCCCAGCTAGCCTAGGTGATTTACCAGTCTTGATGAGGCTAGACCTAAGTTTCAACCGCCTCTTCGGTTCAATTCCAACGAAATTAGCCGACGCACCGTTGCTCGAAGTACTCGATGTTCGAAACAACACTCTCTCCGGCAATGTACCTCTAGGTAATTAATAAAATAACACATTCTTTATCTTTTTTTGCCTTTTTCTTGAATTAGAACCAGTACTAATAGATTTGTTTGATGAATGATGATCAATCTTGAAGCTTTGAAGAGATTGGTGGACGGATTTCACTACGAAAACAACCCGGAACTATGTGGGTCGGGTTTTTCTTCCCTTCAAACTTGTGGGCCCAATTCGGAGCGCCCCGAACCCTATTCGGGTGGGTCAATGGGATCCACGACCAAGAACATTCCGGAAACAGCCGACCTAAATCTCAACTGCAGCCAGAGTTCTTGCTCTAATAAGTCATCCAAGACCTCACAAGCCTCGGTTGCTGTGGGCATAATTGTAATTACCGTTATGGTATCTTTCGCAGCTATTCTGACCTTCTCAATTTACAGAAGGCGCAAGCAAAAACTCGGTAGTGCTGCATTCGATGCATCCGAGAGCCGTTTGAGCACAGACAATCACGTGAATAACGAGACTTATAATAGAAAAAACGGATCTCCACTAGTGAGCCTAGAGTACTCCAATGGGTGGGACCCGCTTTCCGATGACCGCCGCTTTCTTGGTTTTGTTTCTCACGAGGTAGTGAAGAATTTTCGGCTCAATCTGCAGGAAGTGGAGACAGCTACTCAGTACTTTGCTGACAAGAATATATTGGGGAAGAGTAATTATTCGGTGACTTATAGAGGGAATTTGAGAGATGGATCGGTTGTTGCAGTTAAGAGAATCACGAAGAGTAGCTGCAAATCCGAGGAATCCGAGTTCTTGAAGGGGTTGAACATGTTGACTTCTTTGAGGCATGAGAATTTGGTTATGTTGAGAGGCTTTTGTTGCTCGAAGGGGCGTGGTGAGTGTTTTCTTGTGTATGATTTTGTTCCGAACGGGAGTTTGTTGAGATATTTGGATCTCGAAAAGGGCGACGCTCGGATTCTTGGATGGTCCACTAGGGTTTCTATAATCAACGGCATTGCTAAAGGTGAGTGTTTTATTTTCTTGAAGTCAAAATTGCAATTTTTTAAGGCTGTTTTTTATGTTCTTTAGATTAAGGCCTCGTTTGGTTGGTAAGATTAGCCACAATAACCCAAAACCGAAAACCCGAAATAACTTTTCGGGCCGGCCAGCAATCTTGAAAAATTGGCAAAGTGTGAGATTATTTAATCTTATCTTACCTAATCTTATTGTTGGAACCAAACGAGGCCGAAAGATTATTGATTTATTTTTTATTTTTTTCGTCTACTTTGAGCAGGGATAAAGTATTTGCACGACAGCAAGGCGAACAAGCCCTCACTAGTTCACCAAAACATCTCCGCCAAAAACGTGCTCATTGACCAAAAGTCAAACCCCGTTCTATCCGATTCTTGCCTGCACAAGCTTCTCACAAACGACACCGTCTTTTCGGCTCTCAAAGCAAGCGCTGCTATGGGTTATCTCGCACCAGAGTACACAACCACCGGCCGATTTACTGAGAAAAGCGACGTGTACGCTTTTGGGGTGCTCGTTTTTCAGATTCTCTCTGGGAGAAAAACGTACTCGAGTTCTATGAGAGCTTCTGCTGAAATGTGCAGCCTCGATTTTATTGACGGAAATTTATTTGGGAATTTCGACGAATTGGAAGCCGCGATGCTTGCGAAAGTTGCGGTGGTGTGTACAAGTGAATGTCCGGACGAGCGGCCGTTTTTGGAGACGATTGTGGAGGGGCTTAGTAACGGGATTTAACTGATGTTTTGATGTTTGAATGTGTTTTCGGAATTTGCATTAGCTGTAGTAACAAGGTAGATTGGTAGTAACAAGTAACAACTACTTTGTAGGTCCATTTTAGTGGAGGACTGACCCTGTTGATTTTGTTGCAGTGTAGTAAGTTAGTTCAACTTAGCCTAGGAATGGTTGTTGTTGTTAATGTTGTTGATGGATTTTCTACTTCACTTTGTTCTTGTATTTAATTAAAATTTGGTCTGTAGTAACATGATTTCGATATTTATTAGATTTTAATTGATGTGGCATTCGGGGTGGAAATCGGATAGAATGATCGGACATGGCTTTTTCTTTAATTAAAAAATGGGGTTCCAAAAAAATTGGAATGTAAAAATACATTCTGATTAATTTTGGAAATTTCATTAGTTTATAGTATATTGTTCCAAATTTGTATAATTTTTACAATATTTTTCTATCATGTTTAAAATTTCGCAGAAAAATGTAAGAAAATTCAAAAGAGAATTCGACAAAATGCAATAAATAAAAACACGTGTACGAACAAGAAATTGAAACATAGTAAAACATGGTTATATTATATACATAGAAAAACACGTTATATATATATATATATGCAAAATTTCTAAACAAATATTTATTTAACAAAATTCTCTTTATATTAATATTTTGAGAATAAATTTACCTACAATCAACCCTAATTATTAAAAAACAATTCATGTGGGAGAAAAAAAATAAAGAGTCGGTCAGAGAATTTTTTTCTAAAAACATGTTTATTTAAGAAAAATCGCTTTATATTATAAATTTACCTAGAATGAACTAATTATTAATAAAAAAAATCATTTAATATTGATGGAAATTGCAGCAAAAAAAGATAAGAGTCTGTCAGACATCTGCTTGACCACCCCAGCCAGCTAAGCTGACAAGGAACGATCCTCTACTGCGCCGCGGCTGTGAGCCGAGGGAGCCGTTAATCACGCTCTGGCCAAGCAGACCCGGTTCATCAACCAGACTTAATATCCTGTCTCCTTAGAACTCAAGGATACAGAGGTACGAGCCTATAGAACAGATCCTGTTCAAGTAAGGTCGTGCCCTATACTGCTCACATTAAAGTATAAATAAACTTCTTATTTTACATAATCTTCCGATGTGGGATATTAATTAACATTCACAATTCATTCAACACATCACTGGAAAACCAAATTCAATTGCTGATTCAAAAACAAAGGTATTTACACTTAATTTGTCTTATAACCCTAACAAATCTCATCTCCTGCATCTAAATCTAAACACTCTAAACAAAGATCAAAATAAAAATCATAAACATAATTGTTTTTTTTTTTTGTTTAATTAAGCTCTGATGGTCCTGCCCACAGAGGATCTAACCCTGAAAACATGTTCTTCACCAGTACATTTATCCACCTTCACAATCCAGTTACTACTCTTACTCTTCTTCTTAGGCACTACTACTGCTGCTATTCTCGTTAGAAGCAATCCTTCTCCGATCGGCAGAAGTTCCGTCCCGAAAGGAATATTCCTCCAAGATTCTTTGCAGAATGCATTGTACCCTAACACAATAGTGTCCTTATCGTGGCGCCTGGATTCTCTCTCTTGCAATAACGCGCTTATGATTTCTTCGTGGTTCTCGAGATTGCAGTCGATTGCTACGAAGTCCGATTCTTTGTAGATGCTCAGTAAGAGGTCTTTCGCTTCTCCGAAGACGAATTCGATGTTGGCCGAGTTTTGGCTTAGGTAGTGCATTTCGTCGTACGCGCCTCGGAGAATGCAAATGATGCGTCCGCCGGTTTGTTGGGCGGCTGCCGCTAATGCTAGGGCGGTGGAATCCGGTGCACCACCGCAAGCCACTACCGTGAGCTGGACGTTGTTACCTGCCGCTAGTGCCGATACGAACTCGGCTCCGTTTGGCTCTTTACCGCTCTTTCCCTACAAGAGAAAATCAATAAAATGTAGTGAGTAAAAATATTTTTGAAATTTTCGTCAGAAATAAAAAAAAAAAAATTAAAAATAATCGAGTGTTCTTCGTGATTTGCTTACCATTCTCATGGTTTTGAGATAAGCGTTGGTGGCGTTTTCTGCAGACCAATTGCAAGCCATTTTAATTTCTCTTCGGATTTCCTTTTCTTTTTCGCTCGTTTTCGAATTGTATCTAATCTTGAAAGTAAGTATTATTTGTGATTTGTGTGATGTGTGATTTGCCTAACTCTTGGAAGTTGATGTCTATATATATATAGAGAGAGAGAGGGAATCAAGATTTGGGACCTGCTGTTTTTGCATGTGGGGACTCTGCCTATCCAACTGTCCATGCTACAATAATTTAAACAATTAAAATAATAAAAAAATAGGACATTAAATTAAATTCAGTTCTGTAATAATACATACCTACTAGAATTTCTAAAAATATATATATACATATATGTATATATTGTGGTAATTTACTGATCATAGGTGAAAATGTTAAGAGTTGACAGATGAATAGTACTTATGTGTGTTATATTTAGCATTAAGTAACATTAACGTGTTAATCGTACTACGAAAGGACGGTGTAAGCTTCGCAGAAATTACGCTTCAGCGATAATTATATATCACTAATTAATGTTTGGTTAATTAATTAACAAGGAAATAATTAATAATCTTAATCTGACACACGTTCGAAGAGATAATGCAGCAGCATTATCCTTGGAACTTAGCTGTAATGTTCTATCTCAGAGGGACAGTTTGAAAACTTGTAATATAATTGGATCTTGTAAATTTGTAATATAATTGGATCTTATAATTAATTAATTAAGATTCTTAAGGGTCAACTTAATCGAATTAATTTTTGTATTTAATTAATTAAAATGCCTGCAAAACTATGTCCTAATATGAACCTGTCCAGTTGCTTCCAAGTGTTTTTTTGGCGCATACAGCTGTGTCGTATAGAAGATATTCCGAATGATCGGAAAATTTATAAATAAATTACAAATGGTTGCTTATATAATATATATGCTAAAAGATATTTTATTTACTAATTAATATAGATTGTAATAATTGAATAGTTTATATTTAACTAGCAGCAGGCTCTGAAGAAACAGAAGGGATCCCGGTTTCATCGTTGCCTTCGGAAAGGCTAACACAGATCTAGATCAGATCAAGTTGTTTCCTTGTCGAAAAAACATAAAATAATAAAATAAAACATGCATAAATTTATCTGTCTCTTTGTCTGCTGTCTGATTCTTCTTCCGAACACGAAGAGCTCGATTTTTTGATCAGAAGGGAATGAATACATCAAGAAAGTGTGCAATGTAACTAAAATGGCAGAGACAAATGAGTTGAATGAATGAAGATAAAAACGACTGATCAAGAAAATTGCAAACGAGCTGATAAATCATTGTAGCCGAAAGTGGAGGCAAAAGAAATTCGTGTAACGAGATTTGTCCCCATCGTCTACTTGCCACATACTCTGAATCGAACGACTACTCATTAATATTGCATGGGCATGCACATAATTTGTCTCCATCGTCTTCTTGTCGTATACTTTGAACGCATGGGCATGTATGTATGTATATGTATACATACATGCATGTATGTATGTGTATGTATTCTTGCCGGTAGAGCGTATGTTCGATCAAATCAGTGTGTTTCCGGAATGTGGAATCGCATGTGGATCTGGACCAGATAAGAGGAAAGGTGGTTCATTAACTCAGCTTTCATGATATGATGTAACAGTAAACATTATTGCAAGAGAAAGGCCTACTTGTTTCCATTTGCTTTAAGCCATATTTGTGGCTTGTGGACCAAAAAAAACTTAACTTTTTTTTCGATGTGGGATATTTCGGTTACGCTTCTTTCAATTTCAAGAAAATTGAATTTGTTTTCATTCAGCAACTAGTTCATCGAATCGACAAATTCCAGGACGAAATAGATAAATAAATAAATAAATAAAAACTCCGAGTAAAGCGACAAGTCACGTAAAGGATGCACAAATGAATTACGTTCAGACTTTTTGTAAGTTCAAAATTTAATGATGTAAAAAAGTATCTTGCGTTTGTTCGGAATATAAAAACGAGAAGAAAAATATATAATAGAGAACTGGTATTTTGTAAATTTTTTTGGAGCTAAGATATATGTACATTGTTCACTGTTAGTTAATTTTATGTTTGTCCCGTAAAATACGATTCACCAGTCGTCTGCATCGATAAATTCCGTCTCGTTGAAGCCAATGTTTAAATAAAATCAAAAAATGTATATATATAAATAAGTCCATCTTAGCAGTCAATATGTGTAATAACTAATGACACTCATTTATCTTATTCTTAATAAAGTACAAATTAGTGATATACATACAGTGTACTGTTATATATGTTAAACATATTTGTGCTGCAGAAAATTAAATTTAATAAAATTAAATACTGATCATATCTTAAACACAATTTTGCAACACTTATAGATTGAAATAGCAAAACAATTTATTAATTTAATCAATACTACACAATCATACATTACAAAATATAAATTGATCTTCCACTATTTACAATTAAGATTCAATAATCTCCACAATAATTCTAGATTACAACAAAATTAATTAATCCAATCTTCAAACGCCTTTTCCTCGAGAATTTCTAACCCGAAAAAAATGCTCTTCGCCCGTAAATTTATCCACTTTCACGACCCACCGGCTCTTCTTACCCGAACCCGAAAAATCCCGATTTTTCCCATCACTTTCATCAACTCTACTCACAAGCAAACCTTGTCCAATAGGAAGCAAATGCCCATCGAATCTCGAATTCCCCATAATACAAAATGCATTATACCCCAAAACCATCGATTTTTTCCCAACACCTTTTGCCGTCGCGAATATCCCTTCAAAGTTATCGATCGTGCAATCGACCACCACGCAGTCCGCTTCTCTATAATATTCACTTCCCAGCAAAATTTCAGCGTCTCCGATAACAAACTTAATAATATCCACACCACATTCGCCAAGGGCTTCCTTCGACGACCGGAGCTCGTGGACCCCACGAAGGATGCATATGACTTCACCGCCGGTTTGGTGGGCTGCAACCACTAGTGCTAGGGCCGCGGTGCTGTCTGCTGCTCCCGCGCATACTAGCACCGTTAAACGAGCGTTTGTGCCAGCTACGAGAGCCGAAATGAACTCGGATGTATCTGGTTCTTTTACTCTCTTCCCCTGCAAAAAAAAAAACAAACAAATACACAAAAAAAAAATCAATATATATATACGTACATAACTCTCGAAAAAAAATCACTAATGAAATTACATAAAAAAATCGAATTCTCGATTTTCGTATACTCACCATTTTGATTGATCTAAGATAAGCATTAGTGGCATTTTCTGCAGACCAGGCAGACATTTTGTTTGTTCGTCTATAGAATTAAAAGGTTTCGATATTACCGAAGAGAATAATTCGAAATTCGTTTCGTATGCGTTGCAATAAATAGTGAACAAGACGATGGAAAAGGACAAATGCATTATGCCACCTCCCCAAAGTTCTATTCACTGCAATAACATTAATGTAACACACTTAGAAGGAAAATTTGGAATTATCTACCGTTATTAATTACTTTCTAGACGATCAATTAATTCGTACGATCATTATTATAATTGAGACGAACGTCTACGGAATATTCAAATACCACACTTAACAAAAAAATTATTGCATATACGAACATTATTGTTTTCAGCAACACATATATATTAAAAAAAAAAAAAATCGGATATATATTTTTGATACGATCATGCCTAAATATATTTCAAATATACGATACGGTAGTTGATCAAAATATCGAGGCAAAGATCGTCATGTTTCGGTATGCGTAAGTACATAATTCGTGTACATCATTAGTTTAAGGATAGTGTAATGATTTAAAAAATGTCCTAATTAAGAAGAGTATGATATTTTAGGAAGCAAAGATTTGGTTTGTGACTGGAGGTGATAACAGAGCTACCCCATGTAAGAATTTATTATTTTCCTATCTTGCTGTCTGGTCCCAATCATGTTTTTTTTTTTTTTTTTGAAAATTATATTTAATTAATTAATTTATTATTTTTTTTTCTTGAATTTAATTTATTGGAAAAAAATTCTCTGGCTGAGAAACCTGTAGAATGGACAAGTTATGGTGTAACATATTGAGGTAAAATAAATATACTTGTGGAAAGCATGGCAGCATGGGTTGAAGTGTCTGGATAAAGAATTTACTGATGGTTCATGTATCCCTCTTTAAAGGGTTCGGTTCGTGGATTTTTTCTATGCTACACCCGGTGAATGTTACACTTGATAAACTTTTACTGTTGATCTACACACACCAATGTGGGTATGTGTCTTTGTGTGTGTATGAATCTAGAGATTTACTCGATCTAGTTCACCCGGTGCAGCATTGTATAATCGGGTTAATGTGAGCCTTCACAAGTCATAATTTGTTTGCAATTTTCTTTTCTACATTTTTATATATCGGGAAAATTACGAACTCCTGAATTAAGTTAAATAACGAAAAACACCCCCACTTATTCGTAATTATCAAAAAATCCCCTAAGTTTTGTTTCCGTCTTACAATAACCCCTCCCCTACATTGTGACTTTTCACGGATATTTCTTGATTCCAGGAAATAGACTTTATACAATTTAAGATATTTTCTTTTTTTCTGAATTCTCACATGTTTAACAAAAGGTATAATAGGTTGTACATATTTTCTATTAAAAAATTCGATCAACAGTTAATCAGAGCGGAATTTTGGTTATCACAGATAGGTGGATGTGTTTTTCTATATTTAGCCTAAGTTCGGGTGTGTTTTTTACTTTACCCTTATATATCAGAAATATTAATAATTTTTTTTTTTATTTAAATTATTATTATATGGGTCAAATTGATCAGCATATGGTTCGTGAGATGTGTATTTAGGCCCGAAGTTTGAATGCAGAATTTGGGCCGTCACTATAGAAATTAGAATAGAAATCCAGGCCCAATAGAAACTAGATCAGTCCGAACTTACCTTATATAAATATTCATGTTTCCAAATAATTTTATTTCAAAATAGATGATATTGTTTTTATTTTATTTTATTTTATTTTATTCTGTAACATAGAAGGCAATTATTTAAAATTCGAAGGTATGAACACAATAAAATATCTAACTTAGAATTTATCTAAGAAGGAAATTTGACGTGAAATAACGCGCCCCTCACATAGCCACGTCGAAACCGTGTGCACCCCAGACCCCACCGCCTTCTTCTTCTTCTTCTTCTTCTTCTTCTTCATCATAAATCGTACGGACCTACAAAATTGATTTCGATTTTGATTATTGCTTTTGATCGACTGAAATTTTGCAGAGAGAGTAACCTAGAAATTTTCTGCGCCATGGGAAACGCTTACTGCGTGATGTGCTCGTGCGTGGGCCAAGCCAGCGTCGGAGTGGTCGAGAGATGGGGGCGGTTTGACCGCCTCGCTCAGCCGGGGCTCCACTTCTTCAACCCCCTCGCCGGAGAATGCCTCGCCGGATTCCTCTCAACCAGGATCAACTCTCTCGACGTCAAAATCGAGACTAAAACTAAGGTCCTTTCTTAGTCTCTTATCTATTCGCGCGCGTCTGTGTGCGCGCGCGCGATTTCGGAGAGTATTGAATTTCATAATTGGATGATTTCGTTTTCTCCTGACATTGATCTCATTATTATTTGATATTAACGTCTTGAATTTCGTATGAATTGTTGAATTTTGGTTAGTGGTAGATCGAATTTCCAGGGAGTGAAAAAGTCACGTATGATTTTATTGAGGCAAATTATAGAGTCGATTGATTTGAAAATCAGATTAGCCTTCAGGAGTCAGAGTCTGACCATAAAACCCTATTCGATAAGTGAAACACGTTAGCTGTTAGTTATGAGGTTGATACACTCCATTTTGATTCAGTGAAGATGAATTTTAATGGCCGCCTTATTGTTTTATTGTTTTTCTTGAAGATCTTTTGTTTTCTCTATTCATTTAAGTTTAAACAAGAGGGAATTAGAGGACATTTGAATGAATGGATTCAGTAACTCTTAGTAGTCTGCTTGTTTTAAGAACACCAAATACTAATACATCTTTAGTGCAACAGGACAATGTCTTTGTTCAGCTGCATTGTTCGATCCAGTATAGAGTCGTCAAGGAAAATGCTGATGATGCTTTTTATGAACTGCAAAATCCTCGGGAGCAGATTCAGTCTTACGTATTTGATGGTAATTTGCAAATGTTCCTAGCATATGGCTTTCATTATATTTCTTATACTCGTCTTATACCGGTTGTCTAATGCCTGCATATATACTTGTATTACCAGTGGTCCGAGCTCATGTTCCTAAAATGAATTTGGATGCGTTGTTCGAACAAAAGAGCGATGTAGCTCAAGCTGTGTTGGAGGAACTTGAGAAGGTAAACATATAATTTCCATATTTACATTGATAATCTAGTTATTTTACGAGTATCTTCATATCTGGAAAATGTTGGGAGTTAGTGTGTTTACTCATTGAGGTGAAAAAGAAGTATCAGTCTTATCTGCATCGTCCTGAAGTTATAGTAGTTGGTGGGATGGCTCTGCATTGTGTATTTGGAAATTACCTGAGAAATTATAGTTGTATATAGACTGATATAATCTGAAGGCTTATCAGGAATTGTAAGAAAAATTGTGCGCGTGTCTTTCTGATACTAATAGTAGCTTACGTGATATCAGTTAGCCAAGTAACTTGAAACAGGGAAAAAAAGAGGTACAGCAAAAAGAGAAAAATAAAAATATCTGTATTGAGTCAAAAGAGATCATTGTTTCAAGGTCATTGTGTTCGTTACAAGATAAACTTTACAACATGTTTCAGACAGATGTCTAACTTGGTCTTTGTAATGTTGAAATGGATTTTGTCACCATCATTTACATAGTTTATTGTATCCTGACAGAGAATCTTGTCCCTTCTCATCTTTGAACTGAAAAATTCTATTGGAATATATGTTGTTTAAAGCGTCCGTTTCAAGTTGATTTCATTTTTCAGGTCATGGGAGCTTATGGATACAACATAGAGCACATATTAATGGTTGACATCATTCCCGATCCTTCCGTGCGAAAAGCAATGAATGAGATAAATGCAGGTTAGCATCTCAGCAGTTTCGCTTTCATTTGCTTGGTTTTCAGGGCAGATTAGCAGAATGCTCAAGTGGTGTTGAATGTGCTGCTTAGAATTTTAATGCTCTCATTTAACCAATCGCCCTGCTGCTTAGAACTAGTCACAATTTTCAGAAGATGAAATTTGAGGCTGCTGGATTATTACCTCATCACCTTCTATATATATGTTGGATAAAATAATGGAAATAAATCTGGTTAATGACTCGCTTGCTGGACAAGTGAAGTTCTTCTTCTTGGGATAGTTATTTCTTAGATAATATATATGACTGAAAAAAAGAAGATGATTTTCAAATGATCGAACTTGTGACATCTAATGTGTAGGTGTAGTTGCTGCAATCTGATTCTGTTATTTGACCCTCTTAAGGATTTTGTCAAATTCATGCATCTCACTTGAACTTAGCCTTCTGATTCAATTGGAATCCACTTCTCCGTTTTTGTTTTTTCGGTTTATATAGTTTATTTCGCCACATGCCCCACTGCTAATGGTGCAAATTTGTGTTCATACGATAGCTCAAAGAATGCAGCTGGCAAGTGTATACAAAGGTGAAGCAGAGAAGATTTTCATGGTTAAGAAAGCAGAAGCAGAGGCAGAAGCCAAGTATCTTGGTGGAGTTGGTGTTGCCAGACAGAGGCAGGCTATTACAGACGGGCTTCGAGAGAATATCTTGAACTTCTCCCATAAAGTCGAGGGCACCTCTGCAAAGGAAGTTATGGACCTTATTATGATCACCCAATATTTCGACACCATCAAAGACCTCGGAAATAGCTCAAAGAACACTACGGTTTTCATACCACACGGCCCTGGTCATGTTCGAGATATTGGCGAGCAGATACGTAATGGAATGATGGAAGCTTCCAGCGCACAGGTTAACCTCATGGAATAATCGAAAAACTCGTTTTTTTATTTTTTGTGTGAATGTCTTCCACTTTCGGTGTTCTTTCTGTATAGACTTTAAAGAGCGGCAATGACTTTCAAGGATTTTTAAGTTGGTAGTAATATTCGAGCTCTTATTGAATCTTCAATGCTTAATATGTGAGATGATGGTTAATATTTTTCAGTTTTACATAGGTGATTTACAGTTTTAATGAAATATACGACGTTATTTGGTGGTTACATTAAATGATGCAGGACCATGTGGTATGTAATACTTGATTGGGTCAAGAATCATTGTATGTTTTTTCTCTTTATTCATGAAATGGCCACAATATATGTTTTTGTACGTATGATTGATACAAGTATGGATGATTGAGTCTGCCCAATTCCAATTCTGAGTTGGGTCGGGCCCCAAAAACGAAGCATGGTTCCTTCGATTTATGGTTTATTAGAGAAATGAAGCGGTATTTCTGTCATTTGGATTTTACTTAAACCATTTTTTTCTTCATCTTACTAGAGAACTTAGGATTAGCAAAAGTCTTGAGAAAAGTTGTGAATTTACATATTGGGAATCTGGAGTGCTAGGATCATGCTGATTTTTCGGGTGCCTGAAAATTTAAACCAAATTATTCAATTCGAGATCATTTGTTAAATGTGCGTTTGAAACTCCTTTTGTTAATATTATGAACAAAGTTTGAGCGTAATTTTTTTCTTCAATAAAAGTAAGTAGTTTGACATCCGAGCTACCCGACGTGTGTTTTCAAGAATACTCGATATTTTTTACACCCCTAGGAGGAGCTCCACGCCACTTTGGCTAATGATGTAGCTTACCAGTTATGCTAGAACTTGCAAGAATTACGCGTGATTTTACTTGCATTTTTACGGCAATCCAATGATTCATCTAACGATCTTTCTTCTGATTGCCAATCTCTGTTGCATTTCGCAAAATAAAATAAAAACATATAATCATTTAGGCAAATTGCAAGAATTAATAATCATACCCCTCAGTGGCCCTAGTGATTGGTTTCTATCACAAGAAAATTCAAATTTCAACAGCAAAAGGTGAAAAGTGATAGTTACCCAACAACTGCAGATATAAAGATTTGTTCTGGAATGAGTTTGAATTTCGAAAAAAGTCAATAATTGTTCGAGTGGGGGTGAAAAAAGGGGAGGGGGGAGGGGGTTTTAATTATGAGGGGAATGTTGTTGTCTTGTTATGTACTAATTACTATACTAATTAATCAAAAAGTAAAAAAAAAAAAAAAAAAAAAAAAAAAAAACATGCTTCATCTTTGAATAAGAACATGAGGCAAATGAGCAATGGACCCATACATGCCCAGAATAATATTTAATCTTCTTAAAGTTTGGTGAGTAGTCAGTGTTTTACTATTCTTGCCGACACGACTACTTATTTGTAATTTTGCTTAATTAAATTTTAATACAGTAAACTAAATATAAATAAAAATGTCGAAAAAAAAGGGGAAAAAGTGGTGTTGTGGCATAATTTTGTTTAATTAAATTTTAATACAGTAAACAAAATATAAATAAAAATGTCGAAAAAAAGGGAAAAAAGTGGTGTTGTGGCAATACATGAATGGTGAGAGAGAGAGAGAGAGAGAGAATCGACGGTTCTGCATAGCAAAATATTGGTACAGTTTTTTATTTTTCGAAAATTGAATTATTCGGTTATGTATGGCGCATATGGTGAAATAATCGAGAATAATCGAACCGAATGTATATCTATGAACGACTTCGTTTTATGTAATATATATATATATATATATATATATATACACACACATTATATTACCTCAATTTTCACTTCCTATCTTTCAATTTTTGCAAAGCAATTTTATATTTATTAAATTAATAAAAGAATCGTAAAATAACAAAAACAGGTTATTGAGGACCTAAAAGACGTCAGATCTCCGAAATTGGTTCACTTCACGAGCGAAGATGGTGGCTCTCGATCGTTGCGTTGTTTCGCTACAAATAAAGTTGGTCTCGTGTCTATACATGTATATCCCGAAACTGCCTCAATTTTCTTTTTCCACTTTCCTCCCATACCCTCGAAAACGAGTAGGAATCCTCTCCAAAAGACCGAACTTTCCAAATTGCCCTTCACCAAACGAATCATTGTAAAATTAATATATGGTTTTTAACCTTACAAAAGGGCGATATATGTTTTTCCTTACAAAATCAATAAATGCTGTAATGAATGAATGCAATTGCACAACATTAGATTCGGCCACCAAACCAAGAACATGGGATTAATTAAACAAGCGGTCGAAGGTAGAACTAACAAGTCATGATCCGTCGTAACTTTGTACTAATATAAACAATACACTTACAGAAAGAAAATCATATTTTTTTGTTCGTCGTCTTTCGCATTAATGTATAATGATTAATGAATATAAATGGAAACGAAAACGAAGGTGATGAGTTTCTATGTTTGAAAGAGACCAAAGTGTATTTCTCCTTGCAAGGCTATATTATAAGGGCATTTTTTTTAAAGTTTTCAATGTGAGAGAGAGAGAGAGAGAGAGAGAGAGAGAGAGAGAGAGCAATGAAGATGTAGTAAAAGAATGATTGAGTAGAAAAAGAAGAAGATGCCCCCTTACTTTTCCACTATAATTGAGGAATATATGGTATAATGACTGAAATTCATCATATGATATGTTGGCCCTCTCTCTCTCTCTCTCTCTCTCACTCTCTCTCTCTCTCTGCATGGATAATCAATCATAGGGACATGTTGAGATGATTGGGACCTTTTACTTGACAGATGCTAATCATTGGACTTCATCAAACTTGTCCCCTTGGCATCTGCAGATAGCCTTCCCCAACTATTATTATATTTTCCCACATTGTTATTTTTTATTACAGACATACACACACTTAAAACCAGAAAAAGATCAGCTCTTAAGTTCGTCTCGTTGTAGTTTTCCGATATAGAAACGCATCCACCCCCGACACCCCCCCTTTGCTTGCGGGTTGCTCAAAACCACTTTTGTTTATCAATCTTCCGACGAACGTTTACTAATTACGTAAAATATTTACTTACAATTTTTCAACGTTAAACGTTGTTTAGATGACAAGTTATCCGAGATGCTGAGTAAATTAATTACTCCACCACAAAAATTATATGTTTCTTGATCTTCCATATTCGAACACTCTAATCTGCATTCTGCAACATGACTAATCGATATTTAAACGATAGATCGTGGCCCTAATTACATATACTAATAACAAGCAGCATTTCATTAATCAAACATTAATCTCATGTTATATATATTTCTGATATAGATTCCTAACTACAAACAAGACTGAGTTTTTTTCTGCCTACCAGTTTCTGTTTCTCACAATATCTAAAGAAACACAGCAAGAAAAGTTGATAAATAAATAAATAAAATCCTACACCAAAAAAAAAAAAAAAAAAAAAAAACTCTAGACAGGTGATGATGTGTCATCAAGAACCTCATCGGAGGGTTCGTTGTTCTTGATTTTCGCATGAGCCGCAACGAAAACCATCTTCTGAACCCTCTCCAAATCCTCCCCCGAAACCCCTTTCCCACAAAACGACCTCATAAGGGCAAAATCGTACTTTACACCACACGAGGTCGCATGGAGGAAAAGAAGCCTCACAGCAACTTTACCGAGCGACCTAAACTCCTTCAAACAAGTCTCCCACACAAGCCTACTACTCTGCGGATTCGCAACCTTCATTTTTCCCGTCTGTGGGTCCCGCTGCCTCACCTGAACCGCGCGAGCGTACAGAGGATCTAAACCCTCCGACCGCCACTTCATAAGCTCCATAACAGCAACGTGAGCCTCCTCGCTCGAAACCAAACGCGTCACAATCTTGTCCACATCCTTTTCTTGCTCGTTCGTCAAGCACTTAAAAGGGGGCAGATATTTCCCACTTAAATCTCTAACTAAATACAAAGGATCGAGAATAAACGCAGCCGACATTGCCGGATGATAGTTCTTTCTAAACCTTCTTTCGACTATTTCCTCAACTGGTCCCTCAACAAAGCTGTATTTACTACACCACCCCTTAACTTTAGCCCTCAACTCCTCCCAAAGAGGAAGGCACTGCCCGATTAAAGGCCTTTCCGCCTCGATTTCTTCAGTCATTCCCATGATAATTTTCACCAGCGAATGAGCAGCCGACACGTCGTTCCAAAACCGAACATCCTGAATGACATCAGCAACTTCCCTAGCTTTATCATCCGTCGAGCAAACGTCTCTATACGAATCGTCCAGTACTATTAGATGTAGAATTCTCGAGCAGCTCAATAAATCGTCCAACATACCAATAAACGGAGATAAATTCTTCGATACGTCGCATTTATTAGGAGGAACTCGGATGTAACTAGCGAAAGCCACCCCTTGCAATCTGATCTTACTGAAAATATTTCTAATCTGAGGCATCGAGTTAACCAAATTCGCGATTTTCGTACAACTGTCGCCTACGTTTCTAAATAATGGAAGTTCTCTATAGAAGTCCTTTATCAGGCTCAAGAACCCCTGAAGCTGACAGGGTAAATTGACCATCCAATGATTTTCCAGCTCTAAATTTTTCAATGCGCTCGATTTATACTTATCCACAACGAACCCCACACATCTCCGAGCATCGCCGCCGCAAATGCCGGCAGCCGTCTCCCACAAAACCTCCTCCACGTACTGCGGCGGCACTGTGCCTCCACCGCCACCGGAATATACTGCCTTTTGGAAAATTCTTAACCCATTGGGGAGATTAACAGTAAAATTAACCAAGCACTGGTTTTTATCAGCCAAAAAATTCTTGCTATTCCACCCATTGGAAGCAATTTGAAAGAACGAAGCATCCCTGATTCTAGCTTCCGATTCCGCTTTAGCTATTTCGAACTTGGAATCGAGCCTTGCAGTCGAAAACTCGGTTTTCGAGACTGCAGGCAAGCCCACCTGATCAAGAAAGGCTTTGAATTTGGGATGTTCGAGACTCGAAAACGAAACCGACCCGCACGATTCGTAGAACCAATCGGCTAAAAAATCGAAGGCGGTTTTGATTTGGTGTTTGCTCAATGTGGGGGCGGGTGAAGAAGAAGAAGCTTTGGGAGTTTTGAGCTTCTTCACACTGTCTTCCAACAGTGCCAATGGCCGGAAATCGTCTCTCCCACCGGACAAGAGTACCGGTGGTTTCAGACAACGAGATGGATCGAACGTGTTAATCGGAGATGCGTTCAGAGAAGGGCTTACTGATTGTTGTGACTGTGAGCTTCGTTTGCGGTGGTTTTGCTTCGGCGAGGAGAGAGGGGGTAATTGTGAAATGGGGTTCGTCGGCGAGGTGAAATTCGGACAGGTTCCTCTCTTGAGGTGCTCGGTGGCGGTTCTCGATGGGTTCGACGCTGAAAATGCGGCGTCGCAGAAACCGCATTTCAGCTTCACGGCTTTAGGCGCGTTGGTTTCGGGGTTTCTGATCAAGATGGGCTCGAGGTGAGCCCAGTACCACGCGCCTTTCCCTTTTACAGCCTTCGTACGGACGGTCACCAGACCTTCGTACCGCTTGTTCACCGCCTTCACCGTCGAGTCCTCCGCCGCGTCGATTGAGGTCGAATTGGGATTGGGGTTAGACATTATAGAAATGGGTGCCTGAATTTCGGCCGGCGATCAAGTTTTCCCCTTGTTAGAAATCGGATCTTTTTTTTTTCACTTTTGGTGAAGTCGGAGAATTTCTCACGTTAAGAAGAGCAGTTCATCTGGGAAATCCGGCACGACACAAGGTGTTGGTCTCCTGGCTACGCCGTGGTTCTGCGGCGGCGGAGGCGGGCAGTTTCCCGGAACATGGTGTTCCACAGTTGACGGAGCAAAATGTGTCGACGGGGTGTTTGAGAAATTGTCTAGCCGAAACTAACATACTATATTGTGGAGAAAGATGGGCATTGGCTGAGAAATATGTAGAGAGAGAAAGTGGGGGTGTTTCTTCTTCTTGTTGGGTCTGCCGGGGGAGAAGAAAAATAGGGGAGCGACTGAATTTTTAATTATTATTATTATTAATTATTTATTATTATTTTATTATAGTATTGGTCCTTCTGGTTGGCTGACGGTACTAGAAAAGTAGAAATACCTTTGTGTGACCACGTGCTAATTAAGGCGCGTGTGCACAATCCCACGAATGAAAATTGCAGGTAGTCGTCAACAACCGGGCCCACACAACCAGGATTTGACTCTTTAGTCAGCGCTAGATTCCGCCCATGATTTTCAATTATATTTTTCCCAATTATTACTAAATAAATAGATATTCATTTATATATTTATCTTTTTTTCCCTAAATTAGTAGCTCGTACATATTAATTTTGAATTTCTTCACAACTTATTTTAATTTATTGTGAATTTAGATAAATTATAAATATTTATTTATTAAATATAAAATAATAAGATCGCCTCCAAAAGAATAGATTTTGAAGGTCAGCTGCTCCATAATGTAATTGGAGATAGCACTAGTGCGAACCAGTTCAAAAGAATAGATATTATCTCTGTATTTTTGGAAAAAGACAAAAAAAATAATTAAAAAATAATAATAATAAATTATAGTGGTAAATTAAAGTAATTATTATTCATATTTAAGTGGGACTAAGTCGGTCGTGTACATGTCTTAATTCTGAATAGTCAACCACTCCATTCTAATTTGAATTAACTATAATTAGATGCATAATTAATGTTGTGATGAACACTTATGAACCGGCACTTAAATACTTAGATTAGACGATCAAGTTTGTTTGTTATTACAAGTGGTTAAGTAAATCGTAGTATTAAGCCACGTAGTTCATTTTATGGCATGAATGATTGTAAAGTGTGGTAATTAGCTAAATCAATACGGAACCCTAATGTTGAAAATTAGCCTCACCATAATTAACTAGATAATTAGACTTTATATAATATTTAGGTCTCATTTGGTTGTCATGATAAGTTATGATTAACTAAATAGTTGGACTTAATTTGATGTTTTGTATCCCAATAAATTGTCGGAACGACCCGCCAAAATTATATAATTATGGTTTATATTGTCTTATCTTGCTTTTTAGTGAGGTTTTTTTGTTGGACGTCGTGAGCTCCAATAAAATAATTGGGTTTCATTAGATTATTTAATCTTATCTTGACAACCATATGGGGCCTTAGTATACTGTATAATTTGTCAGATCGACCCGTAAATATTTGAATTTACATTGAATTATTTAATCTTGTATAGTATACTGTAAAATTTGTCAGATCGACCCGTAAATAATTGTATTTACACTGAATTATTTAATATTAGTTTGATTAATCTTATCTTATGAACCAGACGAGTGCTAATAATATTATATTGAAAGTGTGGCAACTAAAAATAGTTTTTCCACTTTAATTGAGGTCTCATAAAACGTGTCATGTGATTATGGTGTATTGATTTACACATGGTCATAAAAGCGCCTTTATTTTCTTGTCACTATGGTATCAATACCACTTTCGACACATAACTCATAAAAGCGCGTTCTACTATATTTATAATTGGATGTTGTTTTATTTATTTATAAAACAAAATAATTAGTCAACGCCAATACCAAAACAATACAATCGAAATTAGATAAGTTGTACCATAAAAATATTACCTATAAATTTTGAGAGATTAGCAACTATTTATACCCGTGATTAAGGTAACATGGGCCTGGACCTTTAGACAAAGCTTAATTACGCCAGATGGGCCTAAGTTGGCTAAAACTTATTAAAGTTGGGCTCATGCTTATATTATTGAATTTAATTTTTAAACTTAATATTTTTGGGCTTAGGCTATGTTTAGTTGTGGAGATTAATCATAATTAACTAAATAATTAGACTTTATATGAATTTTTTTGTTGGACATCCAGGTTCAAATAAAAAAAAAAAAAATTTATATTAAATTATTTAATCTTATCTTGTGATCTTGTGAGCGAAAAGAGTGCTAATAATATTATATTGAAAGATTTCCTATAACCCGTTAGATTAGCAACTATCTATACTCTATACATGTGAATTGTGATTAAATGTAACATAGCTATACCAATCCAAAATCATATAGTAAGCAAAACATCCATCAGGAACAATTTTGAAATAGATCCATTGATGCATGTATAGTCAAAAGGTCCACGAGCTACCATACTCAACATTGCATATTCAGCACTTACTTTGAAAGTTCTACTGTGTGTGTAATCAATCAATCACCCACTAATTGGAAAATTCATAAAAATAAACAGAGGCAACGAAATATAACTTGGACAACAAACACCATAATCTAGCAGTAGCAAGCAAATTGTCAAAATACATAATGATTAGAGCATTGTTCCTGCCTTCCAGGCATCACATTTTTCACAAATAAACAAATAAAATCAGTTCACAACCCGAGTTACATGAAAATTAACAACTTAATATTCCATAGGCATATGTTATATATATTTATATCCCGGTGGCTGTAATCACCTGTAAATGAAAATTCAGAAAAGATGTTATAAAGCTTGTTAAAAGAGAGTAGATTTCTATAACATAAACTCGAATGAGTACTTAAGACACCACATTGCAATTAATTAACCTCTCTCATGTGTCATGCTAAAAAAATATAAATGTTGTTACCAACAAATTAAACAGGGCAAAATTTTTCAAATAGCAGTCTATTAAAGTTGGCCCGGAGTATAATATAGACAAAAATAAAACCTATTTCTTGTTGTTTTGAGTCCTAACCGAGATTTGGCCGTTCTCTTGATTTGGTCGGTGTCGCGAGTTATTTTGAAAATGAAATACTAATAGCAACCAGTTGGCGGCATAAAACAACAGTTAACCAGGTTCAAACAATATAAGTTCCATGATGGTGGAATTGGAACGAAAAATTAGTGATTCTTTGTCAATAAAAAAACAAATTTACGAGTCCCTATACAAATTTTATTTCAAGGCCTAATTAAGTAGAATGAACCGAGTCCAAGCACCGAGCACAATAGCACATAGTCATGTCAATATCTCACTAACAAACACAAGCAAAAACCGAAAGCCATACATAACAGCAGAATAAAATTGCAAAACGTATAGCAGCAGCGGCGGCTTAATAAAAGAAGAATGAAAAAATTGATTACCTAGAGCAGGTGGGCTTCAGGAGGGACAAGTTCAACAAACTCCACATAGTTATCTGTAATGGAAACCCGTGTTGTAAAGGTTTTGGGATACTTATCATCTTCGTCTATTTGGTGCACTGCCATAGCTGTAAACATTAAATCCACCATAGAGCATGTGGATAAATCCCCACTTGCATTCACCATGTCCAGCAAATTATATTTGATTTCCTACACAAATAATAAAACAAGAAGCAATTGTTATAATCATTTATTAATACACAACAAATTACTTTTAAGAAGGGAAAAAAAAAAAAAAAAAAAGAGATACATACATGTGTTTTGTTGTAGACATCAATAGCTAATGTGGCACATTCTCTGAGGACATTCATTGATTTTTCATCACAGTGGGTCGAATCTCCGTCGTACAAGACAGAGCAATCTAGCGATTTCTTCGCCGGAATGTTTTTCGTTGAATTATTCTCCAGTTTCTCAATACAAAATGGATTATGCCTACATGTGGATAGATATATTCTCAATAACAAATAGAAGCAAGATAAATAAAAATAATAAAACATATTTAAAAAAAATTTGATAAATTTGATTACATATGGAAGGCTTTCCAGTCATCACCAGGGACAAATTCAAAACCCACTGCATATACATAATGACATGTGACGGAAACCCGAGCTCGAACAGTTCGGGTTTTCTTATCAACAGCATCCTCCTCCTCCTCAGGCTCAGGCTTAACGGTAAAAATAATATCCGACGTACCGCCTGCATACATTGATATGGTTGCAAACAGCAGCTCCACAAAACAGTATTTCTTCAGCTGCACACACAAGCACAAGCGTAATTATTAATTAATTTAATTAATGAAATTCATTAAGGTGGACTGAAAATAAACGCCAAAATTAAATTAATTTTATAAGAAAAGGGATAGAAAATAGAGAAGATACACACATACATGTGTTTTGTTGTAGACATCAACAGCAGTTTCGGCATATTCCACCAATAGTTTCAAGTGACTAGGAACATGACAGCTGGCGGGATCTCCGTCGTACCAGACGGCTCCACCTACTCCAACTGGTCGATTGCGCTCAACGTCGCCTAATTCACCTACTCCGACACAAGAAGCCACAACGTCGCCGAATTCACAAGAAGCCATCGCCATCGTTAGTTCGTTCGTTCTCTCTCTCTCTCTCTCTCTCTCTCTCTAGAAACCCTAAACTTTTTTCCCCTTTCGTTGGTTTATATAATTTACTTATTATTACTATAACCACAAAAAAGTTGAGATATATAATGGGCTGGACTTTGAGAATGGGTTGGGCTGCGACCCATTAAAATTGGAAATTAGGAAGTTCGTATAATAGATGATTTAATTTTTGGATTTCTTTATAAGCAACTCCAATATTAAACATCAAAATTGGATTATCAAATACTCATTTGATAATTAAGATAATATTTTAATATTCATTTATAATTTATCTACTTCAATTATGGTTATCAAAATTAATAATCAATTGGAGGTTTTTTAATGGTTTTATTTTTAATTGCCACGTGTCATTTTGTGATTGAATGTTTATGTTAGTTATTTTTTTGATAACTCAATTTACATGATGTATTTCTACATTCAAAGATGTAGAATAAAAGATTATTTCTTTATAACAACACCAATTCAAGTAAAACAAAATGGAAGGAAAATAAAAAAAAAGGTTGGGTTCAATGTATTCTTTTAAAAGATCTTATTTTTCTCCAACAGCTTATTTTTTAAAAATTAAGTTTTTTTTTTCCCTAAATTAGGAGCTTGTACAAATAATTTTGAATTTCTTCACAACTTATTTTAATTTATTGTGATTTTAGATAAATTATAATTATAAATATTAATTTATTTAATATAAAATAATAAGATCGCCTCCAAAAGAATAGACTTTGAAGGTCAGCTGCTCCATAATGTAATTGGAGATAGCACTAGTGCGAACCAGTTCAAAAGAATAGATATTATCTCTGTATTTTTGGAAAAAGACAAAAAATAATTAAAAAATAATAATAATAAATTATAGTGGTAAATTAAAGTAATTATTATTCATATTTAAGTGGGACTAAGTCGGTCGTGTACATGTCTTAATTCTGAATAGTCAACCACTCCATTCTAATACTAATTTGAATTAACTATAATTAGATTCATAATTAATGTTGTGATGAACACTTATGAACCGGCACTTAAATACTTAGATTAGACGATCAAGTTTGTTTGTTATTACAAGTGGTTAAGTAAATCGTAGTATTAAGCCACGTAGTTCATTGTATCATTTGTATGGCATGAATGATTGTAAAGTGTGATAATTAGCTAAATCAATACGGAACCCTAATGTTGAAAATTAGCAGCACCATAATTAACTTAGATAATTAGACTTTATATAATATTTAGACCATGTTTGGTTGCCAAGATAAGTTATGATTAACTAAATAGTTGGACTTAATTTGATGGTTTGTATCCTAATAAATTGTCGGGACGACCCGCCAAAATTATATAAGTATGGTTTATATTGTCTTATCTTGGCTTATCTTGCCTTTTAGTGAGTTTTTTTGTTAGACGTCGTGAGCTCTAATAAAATAATTGGGTTTCATTAGATTGGTTAATCTTATCTTGACAGCCAAATGAGGCCTTAGTATACTGTATAATTTGTCAGACCGACCTATAAATATTTGAATTTACATTGAATTATTTAATCTTATCTAGTATACTGTATAATTTGTCAGATCGACCCGTAAATATTTGTATTTACACTGAATTATTTAATTTTATTTTAATTAATCTTATCTTATGAACCAGACGAGTGCTAATATTATTATATTGAAAGTGTGGCAACTAAAAATAGTTTTTCCACTTTAATTGAGGTCTCATAAAACGTGTCATGTGATTATGGTGTATTGATTTACACATGGTCATAAAAGCGCCTTTACTTTCTTGTCAACATATGGTATCAATACCACTTTCGACACATAACTCATAAAAGCGCGTTTTACTATATTTATAATTGGACGTTGTTTTATTTATCTATAAACTAAAATAATTAGTCAACGCCAATACCAAAAGTCCAAAACTATACAATCGAAATTAGATAAGTTGTACCATAAAAATATTACCTATAAATTTTGAGACTAGCAACTATTTATACCTGTGATTAAGGTAACATGGGCCTGGACCTTTAGTCAAAGCTTAATTATGCCAGATGGGCCTAAGTTGGCTAAAACTTATTAAAGTTGGGCTCATGCTTATATTATTGAATTTAATTTTTAAACTTCATATTTTTGGGCTTAGGCTATGTTTGGCTGTTGAGATTAATTATTATTAACTAAATAATTAGACTTTATATAAATTTTTTTGTTGGACATCCGGGACCAATAAAATAATAGAATTTATATTAAATTATTTAATTTTATCTTGTCAGCGACACGAGTGCTAATATTATTATATTGAAAGATTTCCTATATATGTGATTAGTAACTATCGAGTAAACTGCAAAATGTACCCCTGTGTAATTTCTAAATAGCAAAAACCCCCCTGTGATAAATAAACTAGCAAAAACCCTCCTGTAAAATTTAGTTAAAGGCGAAAACCCCCTGGTTGACTTGTGTGTGGCTTACTCGCGGGTTGCGCGACTGGGAGTTGGTTTTTGGACGTAAAATGACGAAATTGACCCTTAAAATGTATTTATATGTATATATATTATATGTATATATATTTTCTTTTTAATTTGATTGTTTAAAAATTAAAATATTGTTAAAAATAGTAAATAAGTAAATTAAAAAATTATTAAAAATTTGTTAATAAAATTAAGTATATATTTTTTTAAATACATAACAATAAAATTTAAGTTTTCTTTTGATGTAGGGATAATTTAAAATATATACAAAAAATATGTGATAATAAAAATAGAAATAAATTAAAAACCCCATTATACCTTTATAATTAAGATATAACAAAAATAAAATAATTAAAATATTTAAAAAATATAAGGATATATTAATTGCAAAATCCCAGGGGTATTTGGGTCTTTTTATATGAAGTCAGCCCTCAAATGAGTAATGGGCCGAGTGTGCTATTTAAATAATTTCACATGGGCTTTTTTGCTAGTTTATTTATCATAGAGGGGTTTTCGCTATTTAGAGATTACACAGGGGTACTTTTTGCAGTTTACTCAGTAACTATTTATACATGTGAATTGTGATTGAAGGTAACATGAGCTAGGAGATTTAGTCAAGCCTTATTAGCTCGAATGGGTTAAAATATTAGTAAAATTTAGGTTCTAAACTTAATATTTGTAACTGGTTAGCTAAGGTTCATCTTGAAGGGATTAGAAATTTTTCGGGGCTTCGGCCAAAGTAGAAGTTTACGTTTATTCCAAGAGCTGCCAACAATGCTTGTCACCTTTTAGCTACATGGAGGCTGTAATCACCTATAAACGAAAAATTCCGAAAAGATGTTAAATGCCCGTAAAACCATATAAAGCTGTTAAAACAGTGTAAATTTCTATAACATAAACTCGATCGAGTACACATACTCACGACACTACAATTGCAATTAATTAACTCTCTCGCGTGTTCATGCTAAAAGATACAAATGTTGTTACCAACAATTTGAACAGGGCAAAACTTTTCAAATAGAGTTTGCATCAATGAATTGACTTCAAGCAAAACTTATAGCAGCAGCGGCAGATGAGGTTCATGAGGGACAAGTTCAACAAACTCCACATAGTTATGTGTCATCGAAACCCGAATTGTACAGGTTTTGGGATACTTATAATCTTTGTGTGTTTGGTGCATTGCCATAGCTGTAAACATTAAATCCACCATAGAGCCTGTGGATAAATCCCCACTTGCATTCACCAGGTCCAACAAATTATATTTGATTTGCTGCCGTACACAAATAATAAAACAAGAAGCAATTGTTATAATCATTTATTAATACACAACAAATTACTTTTAAGAAGAAAAAATAAATAAAGAGATACATATATACATGTGTTTTGTTGTAGACTTCAATTGCGAATTCGGCACATTCTCTGAGGACGTTCACAGCTTGCCTGAGTAATTGCACCGCGGAGGAGGCAGCTCGGTTATTTTTCAAGAACGTCGTCAAATATTGGGGATTACCGAAGAGCATCATAAGTGATCGAGACCCACGCTTCACAGGACAACTATGGACGGAGCTTTTCAAACTGTTGGGATCCGAGCTTTGCTTCTCGACAAGTTTTCACCCCCTAACCGACGGGCAAACTGAGAGGGTGAACGCTTTACTCGAGTGCTACTTACGGCACTTCGTGGGAGTCAATCAAAAGGATTGGGCGAAGCTCCTCGATGTGGCTCAATTTTCTTACAACATGCTGGGGAGTGAAGCCACGGGAAGGAGTCCATTCGAGCTTGCAACGGGACAACAGCCGCTTATGCCACACACTTTGACTATGGCAACCGATGGAAGGAGTCACGGAGCATTGAAGATGGTTAAGTCGTGGGAAGAACAAGCCGACTTAGCCCGAGCGTGCCTTGGGAAGGTCAGGCGACGTATGAAGAAATAAGCGGACGATAAAAGACGAACACGGGAATTCGACGTTGGGGCCTAAGTGATGGTGAAACTATTTCCCCAACAGTTCAAGGCGTTGCGGAGCATGCACAAAGGTCTTGTGCGGAGGTACGAAGGACCATTCCCGGTGATCGCCAAAGTCGGTAAAGTCTCGTATCGCCTAGAACTTCCAAATTCTTTGAAAATTCACCCGATCTTCTATGTGAGTATGTTGAAGCCTTATCACGAAGACAAGGAAGAACCGAGCCGAGGAGAGTCACATCGAGCACCCCCAATCATGACTAAGTCATATGATAAGGAGATCGAGAAAGTGCTCGGCCGACAACTAAAGCGACGTAGGGGTGTGCCAGCGAGTATTCAATACCTTATCAAATGGAAGGAACTACCCGAGTCTGAGGGAGCGTGGGAGACTAAGGAAAACTTGTGGCAATTTCAAGATCGTCTCCATTTGTTCGAAGCAACGAGGACGTCGCCGGATTAGGCAGGGAGGATGTCACGGCCCGCTAGTTTTGGCCCAATCCTTTGCCAGTTTCCCTTGGGTTGGGAGGTTAAGGAAGCCCAAAACTTAACCCAAATAGGGTTAAGCCCAAGTTGGCCAAAATGTATAGAGATAGGTTCTCTTGGAGAATTGTAGAAAGCTTTCTAGAA